ATGTGCTTCACGGATTTTGCTTCAATCCCTCTAAGGCTGAGCATATATCTGGATGCGTGATTATGGCGACCAACTATGAGTACATCGGTTGCTAGTTGACGACTATTGATACTTCCAAGTCAACCTCAAGTCATCATCGATCTACTGAAGGCCCACCACACAAGTCAAACTCAAAGGAACTGGACCTGTCACCTTCCATTCTGGGATGTGACTTTGAAAAGGATGGCGACGGATCCTGTCCATGACACCAAGAAAGTACAATTGAACGTGTCAAGGCCCAGTACGTATCCCTGTTTGGGGAGAACCCATCCACTAAGGTAACAGTCCAGTGGAGAAGAACGAACCACCCAGAACTTGATACCTCATCCTCTCCTGGATGATGATCGGTCTCAAAATACCAGTACCTGATTGGAGCATGTGCTATGGGCAATTTCACTTGGGAAGATTTGAAATTGCGTCTCTGTAATGTCAATGCCGTCCTTCAGGGTGGACACCCAGAGTGGGGCACCTGGACAGACTCAAAAGGATCACTGGATTCTTGTCAAGATGAACCAGGCAGTAATCAGGATCCGCACCAAAGCCAGACTACTCTCAACTGGAATACCGAACCTACGACTGGACAAGGACGTCTATGGGGAGGCACAGGAGGAACTACCAGTAGATGCCCACAGCCAAAAGGGCAAGCCGGTAGTATTGACGACCTATGTGGATGCAAAACCTATACCACGATTGGTCAATGGCAAGGCAGTCACTGGTGTACTGCACTATGTGAACCAGACCCCATTCGAATGGTACTGCAAGAAGCAAGCTACTGTGGAAGCAGCCACATACGGCTCTGAGTTCGTTGCTGCTAGGGTTGCCACCAACAGGCCATTGCAGCCAGAGTTACACTCAGGTATCTTGGTGTGGAAGTAAAGGGGCCAACATACATGTTTGGCGACAATGGGTCTGTGGTGACAAGTTCCACCCAGCCCCATTCGCCCCTCAAGAAGAGACATCACGCCCTCTCCTACCACTTCGTCAGAGAAGCCATTGCCGCAGGGACCATCTCGTTTCATCATCTACCGGGAGCAATCAACCCCGCAGACATCCTGACGAAACACTGGGGTTACTCCCAGATATGGCCCATTCTGAAGGCAGTTCTGTTCTGGCAAGGAGACACAGCTGATCTCCTGGACACCACCATGGACACATCACATGGTGGGGAGCGATGAGTGGAAATCCACGTGAACCCCATTGTGGTGCGAAGCAGCTGTGCTGGTTTAGCCAGGTGGAAGGATCGCTGTGACATCTGTATACTCAACAGTAGGGTCAGCAGTGCAGCCATCTGGCAATACAGAAATAGCTGAGGAACTCTATATACCCAAGGATGATGCAGTTCTTCAGCCAAGACCAATATAGAAAGTTAGCTTGCCAGCACCAGCCAAATGAGATGCAAGAGAGCCAAAGCTGCATGGCTGAGTGCTGTCGAGGATTTTGGTGTTCAGTTGATTTTAGCATAGTTTTAGAAGAAGAAGTAATGAAAGGATAGTTGACCAGATACAGCCTCAGTAGCACTAGTTTCCCCACAGTTGAAGCCTTCCTGTGTGGATTGTGCCAAGGCAAAGAGTGAGTTGTTCAATCATTGCTGTGGAGATTGAATAGCAGCGGCAGCCAGCTTTGTGGCTGGCCCATTCCCACTGTCAGAGGAGTGAAGCTCCAAGCAGAGCTCTCCACTCCCAGCCAGCTCTTTGTGCATCTACCCTGACTGGATCTCATCGTATTCAACATGAATATATTGAATGATCCAACTGTGTTGGAAGCAATTTTTGCAAAAGATGTGCATCCACCGCACATGAAACAACATCGTAGACAATGAAGAACATCGTAGTGAGTTGTAGATTAAACATGGTGATGAAATATTGTAGGTTTTGTCCGTACCTTTCGAAGCAGTTGAGTCGCATCCTTGTTGATAGCCAGGTGTGGTTCATAGTTCTTGGGAATGTCTTCCTGGAATCCAGATCGTCTCAGTCAGTTCGACTTGACCCAACCTGTTCAGCAGACACAGTACGCTGAGTCTCCTGAGATTGGTGTGCGTTCAGCAGCCGCAGTAGAAGGAACACGTCTTGTTGTTGAAGAACAACAGGCCAAGTCACCAGCTCAAGTCACCCAGCCTGCATTCGGCATTTCACCGTGGTCTCCTTGGTCGCAAGATCAGTTCATTGGTTTGTTCAACGCAGAGAAGAAGATGGCACGTTCCAATAGTAGCAAACGCAAGATCGGCAATGGAAAGTCAACTCTGGTTGCAAGGAAGAAGAAGCCGTCTTCTTCTTCGAAACAAGCCCCCAAACTTCCTCCTGCCGCAGCTGTTATGCCCACCGCCAATGGAAGTCCACCCATGCCACCATTGCGTGCTGGAGTGGACAATCGTCGTGGTGTCTGTGAAGTCATGGGGAATGAGAAGTGTCCATACCCCAACCTCGAAAATTACAGGCACAAGTGTAGCTCTTGTGGACTGTATGTCCACGCTATTGCTCCCTGTACCGGTGCTCAAACCAGCGATGGGGCACTGATCTGTAGTCTTTGCGTGGCTGTTGAAGAAAGGTCCAGCGATGGTGAAGAAAGCGAGGATGGTAAGTTGTCCCCTGACATGTTGGCTGCCTCCAAAGCTTCTGAGAATGTGGAGTCTGATGATGAAGAGGACGACGATGATGAAGATGAGACCCAGCTTGCTGCAACTTCTCAGAGAGTTCCTGCAGCCGCTCCTCGCCAAGATATTCAGCAGAGGGCTTCTCGCGCTGAGGAAGTGTCTCAGCTTCTCAATGGTACTCAGCAGAAGGAAAGGCAGAAGCGAGGAAAGAACTTCACTCCAGAGGAAGACGAGTGTCTTTCTCAAGCCTGGGTGAGCACAACAATGGATTCGCGCAACGGCAGTGATCAGAGGCAGTCAGACTTCAACAAGAAGCTGTACAGCAACTTTCAAGACTTGGTCGAGGATCTCAATGGAGATGCTGATCCCCCTTGCCCTCCATTGCCCATGGACCGAAAGCAGAAGAGTGTTGTTGCGCGATTCGGTACCATCAAGCAGAGCACTTTTCCTGTCGCTCTGATAACTTTCTGGAAAAGCATTGGTGTGAGTACATGTGTATGTAACGCTGGGGAAAGCCAGTTAAAGTTAAGGTTTATCGGAAGATCCGAGCTGCCGACTTCTCGCGACCCCTCTCACCAACACCACAACCCACAAAGAAGAGACAAAGGGACAATTCCAGAGAGATAAAGGTAACCATGGATCTTTCCCAAAGGTCTTCCAGCGGGGACAAGACGGGTGGGTCGTCCCCCAACAAGTTTTCTGGTCCATCGAGCTCTGCTGCCCAGGCTGCGTCGTCGCTTGCCTTGTTGTTGCAGGAAGATATTCTGTTGGCCGACTACAATCTTCATGTGTCGGGTAAAACGGAAGAGGTAGCATTTGCCTACTCGGCGGCATTGCTCCAGAATGAAGAGGCAGGCCATGTCACCCAAAAGGCAACTGATGCCTTGGCAGAAGTTCAACGAAAGCTTGCCCTAGTGGAATCTTTGGCAGAGCGTGTGAGCCGGACAAGTCCAGCAGCTGTGGCAGCTCCGCTGTTACGATTGCACGGGTACGAAGCTCACCAAGAAGAGGAAAAGGATCCAGCCGGCACTTCCAATGCTACTACATTAACCACTATCCGAGAACGAGGTGAAAGAATCAAGCGACAAGGTGAAGTTCTCGATGGTGTAGCGCGGCGCGTCGAGACAAGCCTCAAGAGAGGAATGAAGCGAATGGAGACTGTCACCTCTCGCCTTTCCCGAGTGCTTGCCTTGTCGGCGACATTGAAAATGATTTTAAGAGTCAAGTTTGAATCATCCAAGTTAGACGGATACGACTTGGAAGATTCCAGGGATTTAACCAGAGCTGCTGCCTCGGTCGCTGTTATTGAGGACCTGCTCTCTCGTCCCGAGTTGAATGGCACACAGCCAATCCAGGCCGTAGAGGATCTTAGGCCTTCGATTGTTCGTACGGCATCTGCAGTGCGCGCGGCTGCTGCTAAATTATTGGAAAGTCACAACAGGAGTGCTGCTGTTTCAACATCTTCGGTTGTCCTCCAGCTAGGAACGACGCTGCAAGTGTATTATCATTTGGGAGAATTGCCACAGGCTGCTTGGAGTGCGGTTGACCATGCCATTGCATCGGTGCAAAAAGTTACCTCGGCATTCTTTTCGGCCAAAAACATCACTTCCATCACTGATGATGCTACCAGCGAAGCCAAGCGTCTAGCTGGAAGTAAATTTAGTGACGCGCAAGGCCAAAGAATGCTCAAGAAACAACTCAAGGACTACAGGGCGGCGGCAGCTTCAAAGTGGGCCACGGGAATCACAGATGCGGCACTCCGTGTGTGGAATTTGCATCGCGTGCTCTGCCGCAAGACAGATCCCGCCCAGAGACTGGTTTATGTGGATGTTGTGTCACAGGCAGAGATTCCAGATCAGTACAAACGTTCCAACAAAAACAACTCGAGTTTTATCATTTTTTCGGCTTTCTGGGAGAAAATGTGTGAGGTGCTCGCCAGTCGTCTCATGGAAACCTTGGAACAAGACAGCCAAAAACTCGCGGCTGACACTGCGGCCCTCTACCCTGCAGCCAGAACAGCCTCTTTGGAAATGATGGGTTTCCTTTCGGATACCATGCAATCGGGAGTTGGGACTGTGGCGCTGGACGATGGATCGTCCTCGTCTCCTAGCGGCATTCTCGGTGGATCTGTAGGACTGGATGATCAGTTCATTGGTTGGAGCTCCCAGAACAACACTCAAGTAGCGGAAGCCGCTGGGTTGGGTATGGACAGTGCCGACAGCTGGACAAGGACGGACCGCAATCCCTCCGTTCCGGATGAAAAGGTTGTTTCTTCTGCATCAGCTCTGTCCCTGTCCGTTATCCTACAGTCACCAGAATGGAAACTACTCGAAGGAAGCAAGGCTTCGCAAGGTGGACTTTATCCACTCCAGAGTGCCTTCCAAGAGGAAAGCATGAAAAGGTACGTTCATAATATATTTTTCAGTTGGAGTCCTCGTCTCGACAGTGTCCGTGCCATGCAATCGCGATCCGTTCCTTGCACGTCTGTGTCTCCTCATCATCGGCCTTTCGGTCACGGTTCTTTCTCTCTCAGGTTGTGCGCTCCTTTGCAATTCATGTTTCCTGAGAATATTGCTCTGGATGAGACTGGAATGGAAGCTGCTACGCTGCCGATGCTTCCCTCCAAATATGATGTGCAGCGATTCGACACCATAGTTCGAGAGGAATTGTCCACTGCAGACAAGCGGGAAGGCGGTGGTGATTTGTCTGCCATAAAGGTTGGTCCTTGTGGAATGATTTAGTCTGTTGTGCTGTTTCCATGTCTGCTCAACTCGGACGTTGCTTGCATATGCATTAACGTTTTCTCGTATAAAGATGATTGCCGGTTCGATCTGCGAGATGGTGCGCTTGTTTTGCAAGCAAGCCCAAAACGCAGTTTGTTCCCCTCCCGATTCTGCTTGTTTGACTCCAGAAGGATCTACGACAACAACCATGCAGCATGACGTGAAGGTCACGAAGATTCTGGTGAGTCCATTCCAAGCAGCCCGCCTACGACTGTACATCCAATGCAAAAGTGTCCTAACTCTTGAATTGTTGCCGTAATTGTTAGTACACCTTGACGACGTACTTGAGGCAAACCCCGGAGAAGGTTTTTATTGCGCCCTACAAACCTGCAACCAGTCCTCAACATGAGGAAGCTGCCAGGATTTGCCAATCTGCCTTGATGCCTGCAATCAACACCCTTGATCAAATGGTCAAAACCATTCTTTCGCCTCTAATTCGCGCTTTGAACCAGCGAGTGGCGTCAATGATTGCTCGTATCCATGCTGGGGCGTACCACGACGAGAGCCAGAGTAGCAGCCCAGACGCTGAGAATCTTTCGTTTGTTCAAAAGCATCTATCAAAGACGTTCGACGCGATTGCTGCCAACCAACTTGCGAAGCTGCCACCAGACTACGGGTAAGTAAGGCGACACCTTTGGTTCCATATGCGCTGGCGCTGTCACTCTCACGCGGTTTCCTGCAACGCACAGAGCGACGGTTGCGTCGGCTGTAGCAGCTTTTTCGATGTACACGTTCGTGTCAAATGTCGCGCTGATCAGACCCCTCAGCACCGCTGGTAGACTGGCTGTCGTTCAAGATCTTGCTGACTTCGAGTTGATCCTAGATCAGTTCGTTGTCAAATGCGGGTCTTCCCTCTCCCTCGGAAAGATTGAAGGGGGCAAACCTTACAGCGAACTTCGTGCTGTCCGCATGATGCTGTTTTGGAATGGGCTTGAAAACAAGGAGAATCAAGCCAGTGCAATTGCAAAGACAATGCTCAGAGAATCCTGGATTAAAGATGTGCGCACATCAACGGTCTGTCACTACCTGTTTTCGTACGCGCCAAGTCTGTTGTCCTCGCCTCACCATTCAAAGCGGATGCGAGAAGAAGAGTATGTTGGGACCATGGTAGGTCTAGATGCTGGCACCGAGGAAGGTGAAGCAAAGGCCTGGATGGCCATCATGGCCTGCTGCGATGCGTATCAGCAACGAGAAAGCGTCGAACGAGGCGGATCAGATGGTGACCCTAGAGTCGCCAGTATCCTGATGACCTTGGGTCCAGAGTTGTTGAGAGGCTCTCGTCGCCATTAGCTTAAAAAAGACCCAGCAGGCAGCTTTTAGACTTTTGCCTCGCCCGATCGAGCTCACAAATACTTAAACGATGATTCGATTTTACGTGTCTATAGCTAGTGCCGATGTTACATGTATGCACCATTGATTTCAAGGGGGCATGTGACGTAGCTGATACCGGTACCTGCAACTCCCATCGTTTCATACACAGCACACAAAGCTGGTCCGACAACAACAAAAGCTGCAACGTAACCAAGGGGTCCATTTAGCAAACATAGAGAACATAGAACTACTTTCACTTGAGAAGGTATCCATGTCCATTATTTACAACCGTATTGAACACGTCACAAAAGTCCTCACTGGAAGAATTCAAACTGCTTTCGCTTTAGAAGGTATCCCTGTTCATTCATTACAGTTTCACCACACCACAGAAGTCCTCGCTGGAAGACTTCAATCATTTCAGCACACCACCACAACCTACCGGTACCTACCGTAGTTGCTGGCAAGTTTGGTGCACAGAAGGGGCACTTCATCAACCTTCCTACAGTACCGGTACCAATCGTACACGTCTATTTTTTGCCGCCAAGCCTGAGATTGCGAGGAAGAGTCCCATCCTTCACGTCCTTTCGGATCCTATCACAGACTAGCCCAACGGATGTCACTGGCCCATAATGGTCATCGATGCATTTGACAACATCATTGGGATCTCTGCCTGAGTACACCAATTTCGCCATGAGCTCAAAAAGCGGCTTCTTCCTCCACCATGCTCCCTTTTCTTTGCGTCGGTCCTCTTCGGTCCAATCCTTCACTGGTAAATTGCCTCCTAACCCATACATCCATTCTTGCCACGCAGACGCAATGGTTCTGTACTTGGAAAACCTACGGGGTCGCCTATCATTGGCGGCGTTCGCTTTGCTCGAGTTTACACTTTTTGGGGGCCTTGATGGAACGCTCTTTCTCGCACTGTTTTTGTTGCTCGCCATCATATTGGCCACCACTGTATTGTTGATCATTTGCTGCGTTGCTGCTGCTGCTGTGTTCACCATCATTTGCTGTGCTGCGGCCGCCAAATGATGATGCGGCAGAGTCTGAATCACGGGTGGTGGTGGGGGTGCCGGAGCAGGAGCTATGAAGGCTTGAGGTGGCATGCTCCTCATTGCAATGACGCTATAGAGAGGAAAAGGAAAAAGAAGGATTCAAGGTAAGGGCGGTAAAAAGCCTGACTAGCTGGTTTGGTTGGTCCTTACCTGCACATTTTTGTCAATTCCACTTGAATGAAGTCTCTCATCGCAAGATTGGATCGTTCCCTGTCACGTGATTCCTTCTCGATTTGCTTTTGCAGAAGCTTCAATTTTGCAAGAACTTGATGCAGGGGCCTCTCGTTGGTCATTGTTTCAGGGATCGGTGCTGTTTCAACCTGATCCCCCCCTGCTGTTGTCTCGACTTCCACTGCAGCTGGAACAGCGGCTGATTGTTCTGTCTCTGCAGCAGCTTCTGTTTCCGTAGCTGCCTCAGTCTCTGTAGCTGTTGCGGTCGCTGCTTCGGTCTCTGTAGCCGTTTCTTTCTCTGTGCCTGCTTTCTCTAAAGCTGCTTCAGCCTCTGCTGCTGGGGTAGTATGAATACTAATCTCATCCAAATCAATTTTCTCTCCTTCCGGAGGGTCAGCACCCTCTGGTTCTTCAGTTCCCCCGTCCCGAGTCTCCGGCTGGTCGGTTGCTTCTTCAGTCTCCGGCTGGTCGGTTGCCTCTTCCGTCTCCGCCTGGTCGGCTGCTTCTTCAGTCTCTGGCTGATCAGCTACTTCTTCTTCATCTTCCGGGTGTTCACTGCCTTCTTGTTGTTGCGTCAGCTCCAATTCCATTTCTTTGACTTTGAGTTCCTCTTCCAAAAGAAGCATCTTCTCTTTTCGTAGCTCGAGTCTCTGTCGTTTGAGTTTTACCTCCTCCGCCATCAGTTTCCTCTTAGTGCGGCTGGAGGAATCATCATCCTCCATGCGCTTCCTTTTCTTCCGGCTGGAGGATTCGTCAGGCTCTGTTTCCTCTTTGTCGTCATTGGTTTGCTCCTTGAGTTCAGGTGCATCTGCCTTGTCGTCTTCATCAACATCAGGCGGCGAGTTCTCAGACTCTTTGTCGTTCTTTTGTTCTTCTCCTTCTGACGAAGTGGTCCTGGGCAGCGGCGTCCCGTTAGCAGCGCTGTCATCTTGGTCCTTGTTCGCTTCGGTCCCTTCTGCCTCCACCTTTTTGTCCTTGTTGTCTTCACCTTCAGAGGACATAGTACTGTTTCCCATTCTCACGCAACAATATTGCTAAGAGTAGAAATAAAGTATAACAAACAAGTCGATAATAGACGTCAACCAACAGTGGACCCAAATCAAAACCACACTATGAGAGCCGGAGATGCATTTCGTTTTGTTTTGTTTCGCCGTTGAATTTGCGACCATTCAATGACAGAAAGCAAGATGGCGATTTATGGTTTACGACGCACTCTAAGTATTCTCTGTAAAGAAATTCAGTACCTGGTGTACGTACGACTGTACATGGATGGTACTTGGGAGAGCGCCGAATGCGTTTAAAAAATGGCACTCCCTTGAAGCTAAGATATCTCAATATTCACATCAGGACTTCACTACCGGTACCGTACGTACAGTGTACCGGTACCGGTACGCTGTACCTGGTAGTCTAGCTAGCTAGTTCCAGTCTACGAACCAAATGGCAGCCCACACGGTACACTGTGCCTGGTACGACTGTCCACTATCTTTCCTGAGCCCATTATTTGCACTTCTAGACTACAGTACTAGCTAGCTAGCACTACAGCTGCGCGAGAATTGTATGTATGGGAGTGAACCATGAAAAAGCTGGGTGCCAAGAGGAGGAGATACAGTACTAGCTAGTACTAGTATACGGCTGGTACCAGGTAGGTCTAGTTCAGACTCCCTACAGTAGATACAGTATGCCTAAAGAGGAAAGCAACCTTCGGTAAACCGGACTACGAATGACGAAAAAAAGGATGCTTGTGCTTGACACTACATACATTATACTACCGTAAGAACAGGTAGTAGCTAACAAAGAGGATAGACGAGCCTTTCAAAGCTGGTACATGTTACACCGCAAACCAATGTTAGTTGATTTGATTCTAGGCGGAGATCACATGCACATGACGAAGAACGCTATTGATGGTGTCAACCAATGCTGCTTCCATTCCGACATTGCCGATGACAGCTTTCTTGGCATCACTGACTTCCCTCAAGAATTCTTCGAGGCGACTCTGGCCTTGGACGGTGGCGGAAAAATGTGCAACCACTTGCCCGCATCTGTAAATAGTGGAAGCTGCATCGTTTGCTGCTTTCTCGTCCCACTTTGAAAGCGATGGAGCTTCCCTTCTCAACTCGGCAGTGATGCTTCGTGCCGCTGTTGTCACGGCGATATCGAGTGCGTTTCCACAAGCTGCAACCATAGCTTCGTACTTCGCAAACCCGATTGCATCCTTCAGAGCAACAATCCGCTCGCAAGCTAGAAGCACAGTTCGCTGTAAGTCCAATCGCACCATTTCCGTGAGGATCAGCTCTACAAACGCTGCGTCGATGGTGTCCTCGTCCTTCAGGCTCATTTCCAGCAACAGAAGCAAGAGCCGGCCCCTTGACCCCTTTAAATCTCCGTCACGATGATGACGCCACAAGGTACGGGCATACGATGAGAAATGCATAGCACTGATATTGCCAAGGTCGCTGTGGGCCAGTGGCATTCCAATTGTTTCGCACTCGCTTGCGATAAATACGCCAAAGGCGCACATCCCAAGCGACAAGCTCGTAGTGTCTCCTGCAGGTGCCAAGTATCCCTCTTCGTCCACTACTTGTTCGAGTGCTTCTTGTGGTACCAGAACCGCAGCCGACCTGAGGGCTCGATGACGCATGGCAAACGTGACAGATTTGCTCAAATTTCGATCAGAATCGGTGACAAGCTTGGATTCGCACCGAGTTTCTGGCTTTGCGAAGACCACTTGCAAAAGGTGACGAGCACAGTCTAATGCATATTGATTCTGCTTGGCGCCAACCTGCTCGATTCTTGCCAGTAATGAGCCAGGTTTGTGTCGCCCCGCACTTCTGGTAAGTTGTCGTGTCTTTGGAGATCGAGGAGTGTTGTCTCCTGTTGATGCATCGGGATCTTTCAGGTCTTGACACGCTAGAACAAAGGCGACTCTCAATGCTGCTCGTGTCGTTTGGATTTCCGACTCCTCTCTCTCCGTCTTTGTCAACGCAAATTGTTCTTCGTCGGCGGTAATATTTTGGCCATCGTTTGGCTTTGCATTTGCTGCCGGAATCTCGTCGCACCAAATTTGAGTGTCTTCCTGAATGGCGGAGAGGTCCATGACAAAGTTGATGGTGTCCTCTTCCTCCTGGACATCCCCAATCGGAGATGATTTGATCACTAGGCGAGCATTCTTCGTACCCTCACCACCACCAGACTTATCGGTTTCCATAGTTTTGCTGCCCAACCCACCTTGGCTTAGCCAACTACGAGCCATCGCCCATGCTATGCCCCCCACATGGATATGAGAGTGTTCACTTGCCAATGCTTGACACGCTGTATTGACGAGCAATGAAAACTGCTGAAACTGTCGCATGGACAGTGGAACACTTTCCACGCATTTTCGGGCCGCCAAGCTTGATGCTTCGGCCAAAAGCACCTCCACCACTCTGTCCGACGTCGGTAGGTCAGTGCTTGACTTCCATAGAGTTTCTTCAAGCGTTTGCAAGAGTTCACTGGCAATGGAATCGAGGCTGTGGTCCTTCTTCAGGGCCTCCACAACAACAATTTTGTCTGATAATGATGATTTGGCCTTGCTTAGTCTCTGTACTTGTTCCAACGCTTGCATCACTTCCTGCGCATGACTTGTGTCTGTGTTCGTGCGAGAAGATCTGAGTTGGCGCTGCTCGGCTTCATTGGAATGTTTGATGGCACAATTGAGAGCCAGCTCCAAAACATTCAGTCGCTCCCCGTCATCGTCACTGTAATAGTTCGAGCACCATTCCGCAAGCGCAGCCTTGTCGGCGGAAGCTTGAACACGGCTAAAGACCGGTAGAACGTCATGATCATAAGATGGCATCGAAGAGTTCTCTTCGAGCGCCAACCGAAACTGATCCATCAGAACTCTGGCATTGATATATCCACTTGGAAGACCCAAAGGAATACAAAGAGGAGACAGTGCTGTCGCAACGTTGACTTCATATGCGCGAAGCAAGAGCCCGTTAAGCGGTTCAAGAGGATCAAATGCATTGGTGTCACATTTTTTGTCATTGCCAAGGATCCCACAAGATGAGACAGCCACATCTCTCGAGTACTGCGAGAAGTCCAGCGGCAAGGGCAAGAAAAAAGACGGAAACGATGGTCGTTCGTGTTCCTTCTCTTTCTCGAATACGCTGGATAGAATTGCCAAAGCATCGCGTCGACGCTCGATCGATTCCAGTTCTGCCTCCAGAATCTGTTGGCCAAGCTTCTTGCCAGCTGCCGAATTCGTTTCTCTGAGAGACATGAGAATATTGCGGTACAAGCCCAATGCCAGTGCATGACGTCCATAATCCTTGGAGGCACGCTCGTCCTTCTCAAGTGCCACCACGCAGGCTCGGAAGAGCAATGCCCGACCTGTGCCAGGCTGGAGTAGAAAAGAGAGCTCCCTGACGTACTCCTCCACCCGACAGAGATTGAATCGAATGTCACCAGATGCACTCGTTTCGTCGGGATACGACAAGAGATACCGAACGTATAGCTCCACAACGATTGATCTCGGAAAACCAAATGTATCGGCGTATCGCCAGAGGATGTTCAGGGTTGCTTTGACTGGACTGTTGCCGACATTTGTATGCATCGTGGAAAGCAAACTGACTATCAAGGGTACAACCAGGGATCGTGAGTAGGGCGAGGCCTTTGAATCAGTGGTTTCGTCGAATTTCTTGTGATCGAAGGCAATATGGTTCTTCTTGATGAATCGCCACCATACAGCACGCTGGACATATTGCTTGCATTGCGAAACAAACTTGACTTGTTTCTGCCAGCTGTCATTTTGACCTGAAGCGGCTCGTACTCCGATACCAGCAAGTGAGATGACCCTTGAGTAATCGCCAGTGGAGAGTGCTGTTGGAAGCGCGTTTTTGAAAGCCTGGCAAGAAAGAACACACGAAACGATGTATTTAGTATACTGCCAATGCATGCATGTATGAGCAAACCAGACGGCAACCGATATTGTTATTAGACGTACCTGGAAAGCAAGTTTTATGTTGAGCGACAGCAGGAACGATACTGCCTGCTGGGAGTCCACAATATTGCTGATTATACCGCTTCCGGTTCCTCCAAGGCATCGCTCAACAGAAGCGGCGACCACATCTTGGATACTCTTGGCAATTGATGAGTACGCAACATTCGGCATGCCAGAACACATGATGAGAACGGAGGAGCAGGAGAGAAGGCGCAAAGCTACCGACAGTGCTCCTCGATGAGATAGAAACTTGGACATCTCACTTATTCCTCCACTAGTCAAAGGCACAAATCTCCTTCTGTGGGAAACTGACAAAGTGTTTATCATCTCCTTGCAGAACTTCAAGCTGCGAGTGATCGATTCGGATGGGGGCAGCAAAAGCCCATCTCCAATGTACCATGTTGTGTACAAGGGAGGTACGCGACAGCGTGAATGGAGCCCATCGGTGCCAGGACTCAGAGAGCTTTGGTGGTTCTGATTGGGTTCGAATTGTTGGGACCAAGATTGAGCCAAGAGCCCCCTTCTGAAAGTCTCAAGATTTTCACCAACACATTCATCGCCTCTGAGAAGCACACGCCAAACCATTTCCGAAAGAGTCAACAAGCTCTGAGACTGAAGAACAAGTTCATTGGGGCACGACACGAGACAGTAATCTTGTACAAGGGCAACTGATCTTCCGATATCTTCGTTGAATGTCATCTGATGGTCTGGTCGAGCCCCAGTCGCCATTTTCACGCAGAAACCAAAGGCAACCGACAGCACCGTACGTGCCGTCACTGGACTGGTTGACGACAAACTTGCAAGGACTCCAACGTCACGAAGAAATTCAAGGCATCGTCCATCGCTCCATTTGAGAGGGGAGGCTACAACTGAAACAGTAGCCGACCAAAACTCACTCTCCCGACATTCAGAAGCTGCAGCTAGAAGCGAACAAGCTCTCTTCGCTCGACCTAGCTTGATATTCCAAGTCTTCCAGTCGCCGGCTATGTAGGAATCTACTACCGGAACCATCAGGGTCTCCGCTACCTTCAACAGCTTTGTTGTGTTTCGCAGGTCCGAAAAAGATAGAAAAACTGAATGATTGCGCTGCATTTCGTTGATTCGTAGGAAATCGAGTTTGAGGTTTTCCAAGTTGGGAATGTTGGTGTCCACTCTCGGTGTGCTAACGCTAGTCAGTGTCGACAGAGACTGTGATCGAGCGAATATCATGGGAATGATTGCACATCCCGCAGAGCTTCCATTCAAAGCTCTCTTCTTGAGAGTCTGGAGACGGCTCAGTGGCAAGTTCAAGGATAAGTATGCCGAAGATTCGTTCACAAGCTCGCAACAAAATGACACCACTCTAATGCACGTGTTGTCAGCAAGTCCTGGGTCCAGTTCGTAGAGCTTTTCCAGGATATCCGAACACAGGTCGATACAACTGCCGTAAATAGCATGGCTGCAAAGGGCGACACATGCGTCCAAGCGATTCAAGTGACTGAAAGCGTCCGCAAGATCCAGCGCATCCTTCAGGACCGACTCTCTTCGAAATTGCTGCGTTACATAGTCAAGAAGACGCAAGCCATGGCGGGGATTGTCAACTCGGAAAAGATCGCAACTGTCGGCACCGCAGTAGCTCCTTACAATGCTCTCAATTGAAAGGAGCCTCGCTGCTTCGACCAGTTCCGACCGGAGTCCCAAATCAAGTGCCGACCACTCTACGGCCTCCCTCGACAGATCAGATAGCCATGTTGGAGAGTATTTGACCAGTAGAGCAGCACGGAGCACAACGAGCACGCATTGGCACTTTATGGGAACGCTCGTGCAACACTGAGCCACTGCGCGTTAAAAATTGATAGCGTGAGGGATTGTTATTGGCATTCGAAGACGTCCTTACTTCAATCTGTTTGCTTACTCACCAGAGGCGGCCTCCTGTACAGACTCTTGAGTGGCAGTCTTGCTAGCACAGAGACTCTTTACATATTCCAACAATGATTCGTCAAAGTCGATCGCAAAGGTCTCGCAAAAGGGCTTTAGTTTCTCCTGGAATACTGCGGAACGGCAATCGTGATCACGGGATGACGCTGACAGGAACCGGACCAACTCAGTTGCTACGTTTTGTGTCCCGCCAAAGTCCTCGAAAGACTTGAGACTTGTTACGCGGTTGTCCAAACCTAACCTTCTGGCGGCAGAGAGGCATGTTGCGTGAATCAACTTATCCCGAACTTGAACAACATCTTTCGTAGAGTCTTCTCCACAAGCGTTGGCCTTGCTCGAGATGTCCTTAGTAGTGAGATGCGAGGACTTCAGGGGTCCTCTGCTCATCTTCCCCAACTCCAAAACTGTTGGAAAAGCACATTCCTTGCTGGTGCTCGTCGCAGGCGTGGAGACACTTCTTCGTTGGGGCGTCGCGATACTGACAGAATTGAAACTGGTGTCGGCATTGCTAGCTGATGTGTTGTTTCGGAGAAGGAGCACCTTGCTCTTCCGGGAGGCCGCGGGCCTTTCGATAAATGGCGAATAGGCTGAAAACGATCGATGCATCTGGAGTTGCAGCCTGTTGGTGGCTCGTTCCATCGACTAGAATAATGCCAAGTATGTGGAAAGGGTCAGTTGGTGGAAGAGTGAAGGGATCTGGATCTAACTTCTGTTGAGTCGAGTCATTTACTTACCTGAAGAAGCCCAATCGCTTTCTCTAAATTGTGAACTTCGTCTAGGTCGTCGGCTAGTTGACAACACCAATTGCAAATTGACGGCAACAATTCATAGTCGATAGTCAGACTTGGAAGAACCAAGTGTTCCAACAGCCCCAAGTATGCCTGGGGGTCCGACTCCGTTCGTATCTCCAGGATAGCCCCGACTGCAACCTCGGGTTGAATTTTCGGTCGAAGGTGGGAGTTCCACAGGCCTTCTGCGGCACTAAAGCATGAATCTGCAACTAAATTGGCGAAAAGTTGGCCGGGGTCTCTTGACCCTTGAAAGCGCCTAACAAAAGAAGCTCTATCAATGCTTCTGTCAGGCTTCGCCTTCGCGAGATAACGAATCGTCAGTAGCTGATCTTCCAACTGTTCCTTTTTCCTTTCAAACATTTCGTGCCTGTCGGGTGGTAGTATCTTGATGACTTCGCCGAGCGCTTTCACGACCGTGGATATGGCTGTTGTGACTTCCATGAGGCCCGGAGGATTCGGGGATGATTTTGGAGAAGCCCATTTGGCAAGAGACTCGGCAGCTGCGGCTAAATTAAGTCCTGCTTTGAAGTTTCCAGATATGCAACCAGAAGATAAGCGATGAAAGCATTGCTTGGCTTGCATCATGGCAGCCTTGTCGCTAACACTGCCTCGTTTGAGGAGGTGTTGTAGGCGCCCCAGGGCCACTTCGCTTGGCGAGAATTCCGCGTAGCTCTCCGACACTAGAACGTTCTCTCCGAGATTGTTGATCATATGGTCTGCTCTGTCAAACTCGCCCGATTGGATGAGCAGCCGAATCCTCCCTACAGAATCCCCTTCCGACAGGAATGCCTTGCAAGAGGATGAATCTTCGCCGTGCCACACTCTAAACAGAAACGAGTAAGGTCCACTGCTGTAGAGCTGAATAGAAGCCATGGAAAGGAACGTAATGTTTTCGTTGATTGGGATTGTATATACTGGGTGAAAAGATTCCAGTTCCTGTCCGTTGAAGCATGTCTGCATGATCTGGATGGTTCCTCCCTCCGCGTTGCTGCCGATAGGCTTGCAAGCAACTGCTACAGCAAGACCAGACTCGACAGTAGAAATAGGCTCCATAGCAAAGACCTTGGTGTGATTTTTCTTTTTGTATGGTTTGTTGGATTGATTTGGAACATCGAAAGAGCCTGCGACACACAACTGTGCATGATCCAGAAAGTAAACCGAGACACCCTCGACGTGCTGAGCACAGAACATGACGAATTTTGCATCTTTGTTTAGTTCATGCACACGAAGGCCAATGGTCAAGTCAATGGATCGCACGCGATTATCTGGTTTCCACGAAACCGGCTCCATTGTTGACGTGAACGGGGTGTCGACACCAGCATAGTCCTGCCAAAAGACATTCTCCTTTGAATCGAGAGCAAGGATTCTGATTCGACTGTCACCCAGAAAGCCCCCGCAGACTGAAACAATAGAGTTTTTTCCACAGTTCAGTTTCAAAGAACTATGAATGGCCATCTTTCGAGCGGCTTCTGCCACGTGCAGAGGATTCTTGCTGTTGAGACGCGACGAGTTGATGTTGGAAACCAGGAGAAAGTCTGTCTGCTGCTTGGTCGAAGGAATTCGAATCAGCAAGGCATCGTTGTTTTGGTTATTTCCATCGCTGGCGATGAAGGATGCATGAGCTACCGGCAAAATGCTGCTTTCGGCTTCTGATGTAACTCTTCGAGTGGCCAATACGGAACCGTCAATGCCACGCATGAGGGCCACAGTCCCTGCATCTGTGGTGCATGCAATAATGGATCCATCTCGATTGGAAGTCACCCGACGAACGTTGTAAGGAGCAAATGATGTTTTCCAGCTGAGCCATGGCTCTCCTTCTTGCCCTGTTTGCCTTACACCAAAAACAAAACTTCCAAAGGCCACTGCAAAAGGACACAAAGACGACTCCGGTGGCCGTGAAGGGTGATTATTAGCTCCATCTCCTCCCTCCCAGGAACCTACTCGATGAAGGTCCAAGTCATGCTGCGCCTTCGGAACAGGAAGATCAATTATCATCGTCCTAACATCAAAAAGGCTAATGAAGATGATGTTTCCAGGAGAAGGATTTGGCCTCGGATCGTCGTTGTTCTCTTCGAGAAGCGTTTGAATTTAAATTATAACCGGCAGGGCTGCCTTTGCACCCTCCGGTATCTAAGCTCATGACCTCTTCTATTCTAGGGTGCGAGCTTTATTGACGTCAGTCCATCAGCTGCACTCATTTTTCTTGGTTTCCCACCACCCAAAATGCCTCTAGCTAGTACATGAAGATCCATGGAGCTCCAAGAAAGTCCTGCATTTGGTGAAAATCGTAAATCCAATTTATCGTTATTTCATTCATCATTTTCAACTCCAATTCATCACATTTCTTGGTACACTGTACTACATGTAAGCCTTTATTTGCATGAGAATTCAATTCATTTTCGTCATTTCGCATCAAATGGCCAAAACACAAGATGCACATTATTTTTCCACTTCGAGACCCGAACAGTATGCCCTTCACAGAATCGAATCTGAATGTGGATGATTTTATTGAATCTTCGTCCCTGACCATTTATTTCTGGACCGGCGAATGCAACCAAAGAGCTTGCATCTTGCCCTCAATCCAATTTGCCCGAAGAAGTTCCCACAGTAGCTGGTATTTTGTTTTTGCCCTCCTGCATGCAGCCATCGCAAAACGTTCCCCGTTGTTCCTTATCTCATAAAAAAGTTTCAAGGATACCGCTGTTGGTTCTTGGCCAAGAAAAGTGAGAGCCATGGCACCGGCAATTATTCACTATTATCGCAAGAATGAGGCTCCTCGGTCGCTGCTTCCTTTAGCACACGAGGAGCTTACAACGAGGGGTTTTCCCAAAGATTCCAAGTTGGTTGTCTCTGTTGAGACGGAAAACTGTTTCAATGTGGGCGTCTCCAAGGAACTCAGTGACATTGAGCGAGAGAGGTTGGAATGGCTATTGGCAGAAACATTTGAACCAGAAAAGCTTCAGCTCGAAAAAAGTACCTTTACTGCCAGCGACAAAAAGTGTTGGCAAGTTGAATTCGGTCCCCGTTTGTGCTTCACATCAGCTTTTTCTTCCAACGCCACCAGTATCTGCGAGGCTTGCAGTATTCCCGTCCATCGTCTCGAAATGTCCAGGCGCTATCGCTTCTATTTGGAGGGTGACATAGATTCAAAAGCCATTGATGTATTGAGGAGCCTGCTTCATGATCGCATGACGGAGGAAGAATACACGAAGCCATTGCATTCATTTGAATCAGGAAACAAACCAGAACCGGTCAAGACTGTGCCCATTATGGAGCAAGGCAGAAAAGCTCTCGAGGAAATCAATGCCGAGAAAGGCCTCGGTTTTGACGATTTCGATTTGGATTATTACACAAACTTATTCAAGGTACCGTAATACGCAAAAAATCGATGGAGAGATTTCATGATCTTGATTTTGACATCTGACTCTTCATCAATTGCTTTTCGTGAAACAGGAAAAGTTAGGCCGTGACCCTACAGATGTTGAATGCTTTGACATGGGACAATCAAACTCGGAGCATTCTCGTCACTGGTTCTTTGGTGGAAAAATGGTTATCAACGGCGAAGAAAAAGAAAAGACGCTGTTTCAATTGGTGAAGGAAACAATGCCAAAGGATAAACCCAACAACTCTATCATTGCTTTCCATGACAACTCCTCAGCCATCCGCGGGTATGAGTGCGAAGCACTGATCCCTGCTTCCGTTAGCACAGCTGGACAAGTGCAAGTTGGGAAGCAGTTGTTACACCCAATCCTCACAGCTGAGACTCACAACTTTCCTTCCGGCGTAGCCCCCTTCCCAGGAGCTGAAACGGGAACGGGGGGTAGGCTCAGGGATGTCATGGCGACAGGCCGAGGAGCCTATTGCGTGGCAGGAATCTCGTCCTATTGTGTTGGAAACCTTCAGATTCCAGGATACGAGTTGCCGTGGGAAGACAAGACCTTCACATATCCATCCAACCTGGCATCTCCTTTGAATATTGAGATCCACGCTAGCGACGGCGCATCTGACTATGGCAACAAATTCGGTGAACCTGTAATTCATGGTTTTACGCGGTCTTTTGGTCAGCGCCTACCCAGCGGCGAAAGGTTTGAATGGGTGAAACCTATCATGTTCTCAGCCGGCGTTGGACAGCTTGATGGACGACATACCGAAAAAGGGTCACCCGAAAAAGGAATGTTGGTGGTCAAAGTAGGAGGCCCTGCCTATCGCATTGGAATTGGTGGTGGCGCAGCTTCTTCCAGGGTCCAGAGCGCAGAGAATGCCGACCTGGACTTTGATGCCGTGCAGCGAGGAGATGCAGAGATGGAGAATCGGATGAACCGTCTCATGAGAGCGTGCTGTGATCTGGGCGCCCAAAACCCTATAGTTTCTGTTCATGACCAAGGAGCAGGAGGAAATGGCAACGTATTGAAAGAAATCGTTGAACCTGCCGGCGCTTCTTACGATATCAGAAAGGTATGGCCACTATCATAGGATTCAAGAGTTTGCTGTGGACGATCTAACAAAATTCTACTTTTTCATGTCGACAGGTTTACCTTGGAGACGACACGCTGTCGGTTTTGGAAATCTGGGGAGCCGAGTACCAGGAGAACAATGCATTGCTGATCCGACCTGAAAGTGAAAAGATATTCGAGGATATTGCCAATCGTGAAAACTGCCCGTTCAGAATCCTTGGAGAAGTCGGCGATAACGGAAGAGTGACAGTGCATGATTCGAGCAATGGCACGACCCCTGTGGACCTCCCATTGGAGCTGGTGCTGGGAAAGATGCCACAAAAGACATTTGTCGACAATTCTGTGGAGCAAAAGCTCGTACCCATCACCATACCCGAGGGTGTTGATATGAAAGCAGCCGTAGATCGAGTGTTGAGGTTGCTGTCGGTAGGGTCCAAGCGATTTTTGGTGCACAAAGTTGATAGATCCGTCACGGGCCTCTGTGCGCAGCAGCAATGTGTCGGCCCTTTGCAGCTCCCTCTCTCCAATGTTGGTGTCACGGCACACTCTCACTTCAGTCTTACCGGTACTGCTGTGGCATGTGGCGAGCAGCCAATTAAGGGTCTCATCAATTCGGCAGCTATGGCTCGAATGACAGCAGCCGAGGCGATGACGAACCTGATGTGGGCAAAGATTTCGAGTATCGATGATATTAAGTGTAGCGGGAACTGGATGTACGCAGCCAAGCTACCAGGGGAAGGATCAAAAATGTATGAAGCTTGCGGAGCACTTCGCGACGCTTTGCTTGAGCTTGGCGTTGGCATTGACGGAGGGAAAGATTCTTTGTCCATGGCAGCTCGATGCGGCGAGGAAGTTGTCAAGGCTCCTGGAGAGCTCACACTGACTTGCTACGCGACCTGCCCAGACATCACAAAAACGGTGACCCCCGATCTCAAATGTCCAGCCGACGGATCAAAACTGTTGTTTGTGGACCTCGGCGATGGCAAAGCCTGTCTCGGAGGCTCTTCCTTCGCGCAAGTGGTGAATCAGATTGGAGACGCGAGCCCCGACATGGGAGACTTCAATATGCTCAAGAAGGCCTTTGAAGTCACACAAAGCCTCATTGACCAGCGTGCTCTCCTTGCAGGCCACGATCGCTCCGATGGAGGAATTGCCGTCACCTTGATGGAAATGGCGTTTTCAGGAAACTGCTCGATCGATGTGAAATTGCCAAACGCGCATGGGCACAGTGACTTTGAGGTGCTTTTTAGCGAGGAAACGGGCTTTGTTGTTGAAGTTACTAATGGTGACACTGCCAAGGTAATGGACGCATATTCTTCGGCAGGAGTGCCAGTTGTGGAAATCGGCACGGTTAGCAAAGGTGACTCGATCAAACTTGCCGTCGGAGATGCAGCGCCCTGCGTAGACGAGAAAATGACCTACCTCCGCGACGTTTGGGAAGCAACGAGTTTCCAACTGGAAAAGCGACAACGAAATCCGGAATGCGTCGTGCAAGAAGAGGAAAATCTCAAAAATCGGCAAGAACCCAAGTGGGGACTGACCTTCACTCCTGCCCCTACCGATTCTGCGATCATGACAGCGTCATCCAAGCCAAAGGTTGCAGTGCTGAGGCAAGAAGGTAGCAATGGTGACCGGGAGATGTTGTCCGCTTTCATTTCTGCTGGTTTTGAAGCCTGGGACGTTACTGTTAGTGATCTGCTCAAAGGAAACACATCGCTCGATCAATTCCGTGGAATTGCATTTGTCGGAGGATTTTCTTACGCTGATGTGCTCGATAGTGGCAAAGGATGGGCCGGTGTTATCAAGTTTAACGAAAAAGTATTTGAGCAATTCCAGGCCTTCCGAAAGCGTGAAGATACCTTCAGCCTGGGTGTTTGCAATGGATGTCAACTGATGGCTTTGCTCGGTTGGATTCCTTCCAACGATGGCCTTCCCGCAGAGAAGCAGCCGCGGCTGCTGCACAATCACAGTGGAAAGTTTGAAAGCCGTTTTCTGAGCGTGCAAGTGCAAAAAAGCCCGGCTGTCATGTTCAAGGTATAGTATGCTTTTCCTGTATGCGTTTCCTTCGTATCGAAGAATCAATTGCTCACTATCTTGTCCCGCCTGTACAACCTAGGGAATGGAGGGCTCATCTTTGGGAGTTTGGATCGCTCACGGCGAGGGTCGTTTCCACTTTCCCGACACATCTGTCCGTGACCATGTCTTGAGCTCTGATCTTGCACCGCTACGCTATGTCAACGACAACAACACAATCACCGAGGAGTATCCTTTCAACCCCAATGGCAGTCCCGAGGGTATGGCTGCTTTATGCTCAGAAGATGGAAGGCATCTTGCGCTTATGCCACACCCAGAGCGAGTCTTCACACTATGGCAATGGCCTTGGACGCCGGAGAGCTGGAAAGATCTTGAAGCAAGTCCATGGCTTCAAATATTTCAGAACGCGAGGAGTTTCTGCGATAGTACGATGTAGCTAGCTAGAAAGATGTCGGCTGGTTATAATAGTGGCAAGAAAATATTCAAAAATTCAACTTTGAAGACAACTATTACCACCAACTATTGCCACCAAGTCGTCGACCCACGAGGCTTAGGTTCACTTTAACTTAAGCCTTACTCTTCTTTTTCTTCTTCTCCTTCTTTGATTTCTTCTCCTTTTTGGACGGTTTAGGGGCTGCTTGAGCTGTGTTCATGCCCATTACTGGAAACGGTTGGCCGTAGTTTGCAGGTGCGAAGGAGGTGGGTTGCGAAGCTGGGGTTGGCAGCTGTGGCGGGGCTGTCGTTGGTTGCAAACCGAGAAGGTCCTCAAAGGCGTCGCTGACGGCGTTGCTGCTGGCCACGGGAGGAGGTTGAGCCTGCGCTGGAGCCATGAAGTTGCTTTGTGGCATTGTTTGCATGGGAGGATTGGACTGGACCGGCATGGGGCTCTCGAACCCGAGGCCGAGAAGGTCGCCTTCGATACCACCCGACGCTGCCGGGGCCTCCTCTGCTTTTTCCTTTTTCCTCTTTTTCTTCTCTTTCTTGGTTTTCTTTTCTTTTTTGCTTGCCCTCTCACTCGGTGGATTATCAGGTACAGTCCTATGTTTACGTTCTGGCATGACTTCGTCGTGTCTCAAAGGCTCCGATAGGTCGACACGGGCAAGACTTGCAAATTCTTTGCCAGGCTTCTTAGCCTGGCGCCCAACTGTCAGCTCCTCGCCTTCTTCGTCGCTGTCATACACAGCCACTCCGAATCCACCCACCGCGATAGTATTCTGATGATCACTCTTGCTTTGTTTCTTCTTTTTCTTCTTCTTTTTGCTTTTCTCGTTGTGGGTTTCTTCCCCGTCAACGCCAGTGAGTTCGATCATTCCAAATTGGCCAATGTCTTGAGTCTCCGTTGTGGTGGTGTCGTTCGTGCGCAGATAGAATGGATCGTTATGGCGCATTGGCGAGCCACCTGCCGTCGCCGCAACATTCGACACGGCCCCGAATCCAGCACTATCAGCGCCACCAGAAAATCTGGAATTGTCGAACACTTGCATCGACTCCCCTGGAATCGCCCGCGCTGGTGGTGGCCTTCCTTCGGATAGCAATGTTTCTTTTTGTTTGGTGAACGACACTTCCATTGGTGTGAAACGCGAAACTCCATCCAGCAAGGAGGAGAACACCGAAATATCGACCGAAGCAATATCACTCACGTCAACGCCGATGGGTGATTGAGATTTCTTCTTTTGCGATCGGGCGCTTGATGGTTTCATTGGCCCTGGCTTTGTTGTGTAATTCAATACAGAGGCGGCGTTACGATAACCAGGCGAGCGTCCTGTTAGAGGAGGGTCTGGTTGTATCGGAGTGATATCGGCCTCGGTCGAGTTCATTCCCAGCAGATCACTGGTCTGGTTTACTACTGGAAGAGCTGCCATAGCACCACCACCACCACCGGTCAGGCCAAGGGAAACGAGAAGTGCATGCGAGGTGAAAGCCCTTTCCTGTACTTCGACGTCCGTGCTGCGCAAGTACAATGGCAAGTTTTGTCGAAGGGTTTTGTATGTATCCTCTAGTTCTTCTTCCGGTGCTTGTGGATCTGCTGTGGCGGCTGCAAACACTTTTATCGCCGTTTGTAGGTAAACTTCCTGTGTGCTCGCAGCTAGTTTGTCGCAATTGGATGTGGCAGTACACGCCTGGACAATCGAATGATACGCGCTTTTCTTGTACCGTTCCAGAAGGCGACCTTCCTCAGCATCCGCGAGGCACATTCGAATAAGATCCGAGTACTCTCCCACAATCCATGCCACGGCAGGCAAAATCTCGGGCATAATGTTGGTTGTACCGCCATTGTCTCCGAACGGGTCAGACGACGGCACACCGTTTCTTTCCAGCAGTATTTCAATGGAACGGCCAACAGCGTAGCGTCGCACTGGAAGCACACGCAAGGCAACGTCTGCTATTTGTGAACTCAAAAGCTCAGCATGTGCTTCCAAGCCTTGTATGTGACCCAACTGGAACAATACATTCAGATACCATGAGAAATCCGGCAGAAGTGCATACTTTTCGCTGGAGCACATGTCAATGATTTTGGACACGAGATCGTATCTGTAGCTGCCAGTGGCCTGTTCCACATGCTTCAAAAGTTGTGTAACTAGTTCGATGAGGTTCCTGCGTGATGCCATGCCTGAAAGCAATCCCAATGCCCTTGTTCGGATGGTAACATCCTGGTCTGACAAACAAGCCAGAACGATGGGCCGATATGCCGGAGTGGTGAGCACCTGAGGGTGTGACTGCATCAAGGATCCAAACCCCACCAATCCCAAGTACTTGAGATTTTGATCGGCCTCGTTGACAAACGCTTGTAACGTTTCTGCACACAGAGTGACAATTTCTGGCACGTTGGCGGGCATGCTTCCATCTGCTCTCTTGCAATACGGCAAGCATAATGTAATGGTGTGTACAGCTTCGAAAAGCAAACTTTTGGCCTTTGTGTTTCTGACAATGTCTGCCAATGGTTCCAAAAGTTTTCGCGCGAGCCGTGGCTCTTCAGGAACCAAACTCCCCAATAGCTTGACGACTTTGATCAACATCCAGTTATTACTGGAAGTGGTGAGCAGCTTGAAGAATTGTGGTGCCAGAGGGAGGTAATTTTTTGGGTTTTTGTCGCTGAGTTCAGTGATGACATTGACTGCACAGGAGACCACTGAGGGATTTGGATCTTCAAGACATTGCTGTATTCTGGCAAAGGTGAGTCTGAGTCCTTGTGGATATTTGACAAAGACCTTGAATAGACATAAAATTGCCTTTTTTCTCAAATATGGCTGTGGATGAGACGTCAGGCCTGTCAGTTCTGGGAGGAGGTCCCTGGCCAGATCTTCCGTGACAATATTGGATATGCAATTGACGGCCAATCCAGCCTCGTAGACTCCACCGCGAAGTTCTTTTTTGAGCAAGTTGGTTGTCAGCAAAATCACGTCGGTATCTTGCGTGAAGCCTTGGCAAGCCGCGAGGTACCCAATTCGTTTGTGTGCAAAGCGCGGTGAGCTCATGACTTCAATCGACGCAAAACTCGCCCAGCTCATGTTGTATCCCATCATTTGCAGAAAGGTCAGTTTTTGAAGAGCATTTGCCTTGACAAACATATCACTCGAGTTGATTTCGGCCTTGATCTCGGCAATGCATTGACTGATGTAGAGACTGGTGTCGCGTCTCGAGGCCCGAATGCCTTTGACGACATCTGTCAGAGTTTTCTCGAACATGGTGACATCCACAACAGCAATCCTCTCTATACTCAATTCAATGGCTATGGTTTTATGAAGTGAATGTATTGGCGCTCTCAACAACGGCAGAGCTTCCACTGAAACCATGCAAACCCTGGCACTTCGGAAGGTGTTGGATCCAATGCGTTTAGCCCGACCCCTGATATTGGAGTTTGTGGGAGTTTAGGTAACGCTAAGGTTAAGGTGATTGATTTTTCGAAGAATTCAACCCACAAGAATAGGTTTACCGTATCTACCCGATTTCAAACGCTGTCTTCCAGCCACAGAATGACCTTGGCGGCTCTCTCTCCATAATCTTGTCACGCCAAAGTCAACAAGCTGTGTACCAGGTAGCGAAATCAACCAACCAACCAATCAATCAAACAAACATGAGCGAACAAGCAGCAGCCGATCCTCCCAAGGAAGAAGAGAAAGCCGTAGCGGGTGGTGAAGATGCTGCCCCTCCCAAGGAGGAGGAGAGCACCGCAACATTTGAGCCAGTGGTGAGTAGCCCAAAGACGTCGTTTTACCGCAACAATTGGCGCACTGAGTCATGTCTGCATTCAGCATTTTTTTTGTCTCACGCTGTCACCGTGTTCTTGTCTTTTGCGTTTCATCAATACTTCGTGACTAAAACTACAGGTCAAGCTAGAGGAAGTCGAAGTAAAGACTGGAGAAGAGGATGAGGTGAGTTTGATTGGAGCAGATCCAATGAAGGATCTCTCGCAGCGTTGCAGCATTTATTTTTCCATTGGCTTCTTTTCCACTTGTACCATAGTACCATACTCATGCAGTGTTTGTCGGCTCTGTGGTTGCTACCGTCGAATCCAGGAGGTCCTCCACTCGGTTCGGTCAAAATTGTTCATTTATGGCGAGACAATGTTGAACGTTGGTACTGGAAATAAAACGTGGAACGAGCGAGGAATTGGAGAGGCGCGCATTTTGCGTCACCGGGAACACCAGCGACTTCGTCTATTGATGCGTCAAGAAAAAACGATGAAGGTGATTGCCAATCATGCTCTAGATCCTAGAATCAAATTGGAACCCAATGTTGGTTCTGATCGATCGTGGGTGTGGAGTGCCTTTGATTTTGCCGACGGTGAATTGGCCGAAACGGTCTTTGCTCTCAGGTTTGGCGACTCTGATATTGCCAATGAATTCAAGGTCAAATTCACGGAAGGTCAGAAAGAAATGGAAAAATTGTTGGCTGGTGAGGACAAGGGTACGGCTGATGACGCAGCGCAAGCAGATGAAGCAGCACAAGCTTTGAGTGCTCTCTCCACCAAAGACGGCGAGAGCTAGGGAGTGTGGATTGACAAAATATCCTTGCAGTATTCATTTAGCAATTTGCAGTCGAATTTGTGTCCATCTTCTCTTTATCATTCTAGCTTATGCCTGCCGACCGAAGAAGAGTCTCAAAGGTGCTCACACACACACGAAACAAAATTCTATCAGCCCCTCGGAAGCCTGGACTTGCTGTTGCCGTCTGGCTCTGTCTGTCTGGTATCGTAGTCTTTTATAGAAATACACACATCTACTAAACGAGTTTACAAGAAAGGAAAATTGGTTTGCTGTGCGTACGTTAGATAGCCATCAGAAATCGAGCTTCCGCGGGGGGGGCCGTAAACCAATGGTCCGAAACCTCTGGAGAAGAATAGCCGCGGCATTTGTTTGCCGCATGGCACATAGAATGATAGTTTAATGTTACTCTAGCCAAAAGAGAGGAGTGAATAGAATAGTGAATTCAATGAGGCAACTCCCTAGCTAGGAAGAAACCAGCTGACTTCCAAGTTGAGACGAGCCCTTCTCAACATTTCGGTTTGCATAGTTTATCACTCGATAACCAAATCGAGATAGCTGCGACTTGACTTCATTGTCAAAATCCAGAACTATTTCTGCACGGGAAAGCTGACGGACAACAGCAATCCTTCCAGTGGCTGTGGACGCCGCGATGAACCTGTGATTGGGCAACACAGAAGTGTCTAGCCGATCTGCATCACTGTCGCCTCCTCGCAGCTTAGACTTGGCATTCTCCAAAGCCTCTGGTGTTACACCGGATGGCACCACCAGAATGACCAGAAGGTTGTAGTATGTTGAAAATAGCCAGAGCACACGCCTCAGCTTGGGGCAGCCAGCTTCTTCCAACGGCACCGAAACCACAAAGGTACTTCCACGGGAAAAACTTCCAGCGTCGGCACTCCCACCCTCCAATGCCAGCATCTTGGATAGAGCCCGTGCTCTCTCTTTGCGATTCTGTGCCGTGGCGTCTTCTCCACTCGGTGGTTTGGATGCCTGCTCAGCGGAAGCAGCTTTCGTGTAGCGAAATGCTACCAGACCATCGGAGAGCAAACTGGCTCCATTCTTCTTTTGATAGCTCTCGGCAACATGCGATGGAGACTTTGCACATTTAGCTAAGATTTTGTCAATATTGGCGGAAGAGGAGTCACTTGATCGGTTGTTGGCGGTTGCATTATTGTTGACTGCTGGCTGTTGCTGTGCTGGTCGCCGTTGCTGAATGACGGGGTTATTATTGCCTCTTTCACCCTGTGCCGGTGCCTCGTTGACTGGCCTCAGCACAAATAGATAAAGCGCTATGCTGATCGCTCCAAAGGCGAAAAAGGTTGCGATCACTGCCAAGTATCCTTCTTGGCTCACCATCTTTTGTCTTTTCTGAAGTGCTGTGTGACGGCTGATTGTCTTGCTCTTTGTGGCTGTTCGATGTCGGTCGCGAACGGCTGTTCTACAAGTTAGCTCAAGCCCTAATCAACGAGAGGTGTGGTGGCATGGGTGTGCGGCACGGGCACGGCAAACGGATTTGAGCGCACTACTCTAGCTAGAGCTAGCTAGTAGTATACGTCTATACTACTGGCTAGCTAGACTTGACTCTAGCTAGAGAATGCCCTTTACTTGCTTTGTTGACTTTGCTTAGAGAACCGTACCGTTTAGTCTAGCTAGCTAGCTGCATAGCTACCAGGTACACATAGCCAGAGGTTGGGAATGCAATGGGGGACACTTTTCTGGGCAACACATCTACTGGTAGCCAGCTGGGTAGCAAGACAGGCAGAGCAGCCTTGCCCGGTGGGTTTAGCAGCAAGAAATAAACAAAACACCTTGGAGACATCCAGATTAAGGAATCCCTGGTGGCTCAGGCAAATGTATGGTTACCAATCTGTCAGTGGTGAGTACGTCCTTGCTACCACTGCAATTAAACCAATCAAAAGCAAAGATTTGTAGCCTTTGGCTGCTTCAAAATAAAAGCTGTGTCTTCTTCAATAGTAGTTTGTATGTCAACACATACACCACGGCTCTCTCATCGTCCCATTAGAATGTCTCCCTACCTACAACAACGGGCCTTGACCACAGTGACAATGGGCTTCGTGTTGGCCTTGTAGGATTGGTAGATGAGCGACCACCTCAAAGGTCCTTCCTTCATGGTAACTGGCAGGCCGCAGCACTACGTACCGGCCGTACCGTATGGTGACTTCGTAGCACTCTTGTGAAGGTCCAGATGAATGGTGAGGGTGGAGCTTCATCCAATAATGCCGTCATACGAGATGAACAGTCCCCGATAGCTAGAGTTAAGAATTATGTTGTCAATCAATCAACCCAACTACCAGGGGCAAAATGTAGCTTACAGTGGTGGCGCTCTCAGCCACCTATAGCTCACCCATGAAAGAGTAGCTGACCATGTCCGTTGCTTTCGAGGAGGAGCGTATGATTTGCGTGTTTGCCAATGGCATCTGCGCATGGATATGATCACAACGCCATCGTTCTGTACAGGTATGCGATGAGATGTGCAGTGAGGTATGAAAGTACGGCTGATGGCGTTGGCGTTTCGTTGGGCGTATTGTCGATTTCAGTTCATCAAGCCTTGGCGTTCGTCTCCTCCTTAGCATCAATCGAGTCTGAAAGTTGTGATCCCTCACCAGCAGACTCCGCGACTTCTGTGGTGACTTTGATTGCGGTACTAGTCAGTTCCGGTTTGTGCAGCAACTCCACGCTTTCCTCGTTCGGTTGGGGATTCTCTACATCATGTGTGTCCATCTTCTCCGCGCAGAACAGTTTGTCGGCTGGTACTGTTGCGGTGATGGTTGCCGCTGCCTCACTTTCCTCTTCTGTTTCAGGTTGTGCCTTTTGTGCTTGTGTCGCCAGAATGGCATTCCAAATCAAGTCCACCGAGTTCACCCAGAGGATTCTGTGCCTGGCCGGGATAACCCCGTAGGTGATACAGTGTACCAGGGGCCAGAACTTCCAGGCAGTAATGACAACGCCACCAATTTTGTCTTTGACTGTTTGTGTGGATGTTTCCCAGCTATCTCCGGAGAGGAGCCCCACAGCCGAAATGTAAATGCTACACTTGACGGTAAGGTAGATGGTTTGATCCATGAATATCTTTTGTATGCGATTGGCCAGACCTCCCTCCACAGGCAAGATGTGATCTGAGAATTGATAGTACTCGTGTACCAAGGGCCCAAAGCACAGTCCTGCGTAAGACGAGAGAGAAGACTACACGTAAGACACGGCACAGGATAATGGGCTGAAGATACCAGTCTTGGTGGCTGCTGTACTTTGGTGCCAACTAACTCACCGATGAAACCATTCTTGAGGGTCCTGGAGACGCTAAAGTCCAGTACGTCTTTCTTCTGAAAGACAGTTTGACTGAGCCAGTCTCCCAGAAGATAGATGACAACATTAATCAGTGTCTTTGTGAATATGGGCTTTTCCATCAATGAGCTTTCGTAGTTGGACCAGTTATCCAAGGGTATCCTCATGGCAATCTCACTCTGTGTCCAACCACGCGTCATGCCCGCATCAATCGTGAGAATGGTATAGGCGGCCCAGCCGAAACATACCGCCAGGAATATACCGTTGAGAATCGATTTCGTCAAATCTTGCACATCCATCTCGCTGTCTGCCAATACCAGAGCCGAAGACGCCGACTCAACCAAACTCGCTTCCTCTTCCACCAAACCATTTGGCCGGTCGTCAATGTCGGCGGCGGTGGTAGCTTGAACAGCGCGCACAGAGAAGTTATCTCTCGACTTGTTGCTGCAGTAGGTGATGGGAAGATGATGCGAGGAGGCTCTTGGGATCGAAGAAAAGTGTCTTGCCGTCTGGTGGTGGCCGCACCATGCACACGCAGGAGCAACCAACAATGCCATGGCCACCATGGCTGATACAACAACACGGGCAGGCATCATTCTTCCGCAAAACGCCATCTTTGAATGGTTTCTTGAACCTAACTTTGTAGCTGACGCCACTTACACACCCACCTCTGGAGGTTCTGCCGGCAATAGATTTCACAGAGTTGAGTCAAGTCAAGTCTTCCAGGGCTGCAATTGGATGGGTCGGGAGAGAATGGTTTGTTGAAGCTTGGCAGCTGGTGGATGATGAAATGGATGAGCTGGAGCTGACGACGATCGATCGAGAGTCGCGGGTTGGGTCACGAGTGTCAGGCGACTCCCACCATTATTGATACCAAAATAAAAAAATTCAAAGGTTGTTTCCACACAATTTTGGCGCAATTCCTCTCTGGGTGCCAATGACGCTCTTCACCGCGGTGCCGTTGATTCGATTCCATTGTCTTGAAGATTGGTGTCAGTGATGCATGCTCCTCCAGACTTCAGGTTGCAGGAGCAGAAGTCTACAACTACTAGCTAGTATAGCCAAGGGTGCCCAACTATCGCCGGTAATGGCAAAACAACTTTTTTTGGTGCAAAGACCGTGACCTGCTTGACGAAGTTTGGCACACGGATGATTGAGATAAAAGTAAAACGAACTACATGTACTAGCTAGTGGTGGGTTCTCGTGTTGAATTCATTACTTAGAAGTTCAATCACTACTTGTCTACTTTTACTTCCCGACGGAGCCTAAAGACTGGTAATTTTGATTAGATGACCGAGATGGAGCAATTCAATTCCAGAATGTTGTCCAGAATTAGGTCAACAGTCGATCCAATAGCGCTGGCCAAATCCTCTTGGTCACCAACAGGAAGATCCGCATACTTCACAATGAGACCGCCATCAATAACACCTTTCTTCCTGTCTGTGCTGCGGCACCCTCCTCTTCTGTGCGAACGTTTGTATAATCTCCAAGCTCGTTGGCTCAGCGAACAGTCACTCTCCAGAGCATTGGCCATGACACTTTGTAACGCAGCAAGGCGCCAGTACACTGGTTCGCTCAATGGAATGATTGCCCCAAAGCCCCCATCAGTCGTTCCAAAATGAACACCGAGTCTCTGGTCATCCTCTGATCTACCAAATAAGGCATCTTGTTGCTTTAACGCAGCCAAGGTACTGGATGGCGAAGCACTGTTAATCCACAAGCTGGACCTGCAAGAGTGATTCCGAAAAGCTGTCGTTTGAGAACCCAGGTGGAAATCGCCCCGACAGACAAGCTTATTGCCACCACGTGCTGCGGCCTCGCCCGGGGCGTACTGGAAAAACTGGACATTTTGCCGATCGTCCTGGGTAACAAAGGTGGCGTTTCCCCCGCGACTCAGCACCCCGGCGGCATAGACACACAACGGATCGTAGTCTTTCGATAGCAACGTCAGACTCTTATCAGATTCACGAAACACAAGAAAGTACAACGAATCATAGCTGGAGGACAAATCGAGGGGAGTAAGTGAGCAGAGAACAGAGAGAGGGGGGCACCGACGGACAAAAACAAACTTACGCATCGCTAAGCAGCAAGAAGTTCTTGAACATGAAGATATCCAGAATCTGCATTGTAGCTCTGAAGAAGCCAACTTGCGTCAGCTTCCCATTCCCCCACTGTTCGACGTTGACGTCAGCTCCTGCACCGATGATCAACCTATGTTTTCCTTCCGAAACGAGACAGCTGAGGCTCGATACTGGGCCGTGGAAGATTTCTTTTTCGCATACAAGCGCCATCTCCAAACCACTTGGCCCCTGAGTATCACCCCTCAATTCAAACAAAAGAACTCGGCCCCTGGCGCTCACGTCTTCACCATTCTTGTCGACCACACCCACACCAACCGTGATGAATTGTATACTTCCCATGTCCTCAGAATCTTGATTGGCGTTGGAGCTTCCGGGTTCTTCGGGGAACTGCAGAGACGACAAAAAGCAGGCTCAAGGTTCAGGTCCAAATGTAACAATTTCCAGCTTTCTACGATGAAACTTACATCAGTCAGCGACATTACTTGCATTGCCAACCCATGGTCATGTTCTCCGAATTCGTAAGAGTCCAAAACAATCCAACCCTTCCCTGCATCTACGATCCAAAGCGAGTAAGCCGTTCGTGTCAATGGTGGAGCCCCACCCAGCTCCTTATCAATCCGGAAACAGTCCTCTCGTTCAATTTCCTCCACCCACTCTTGCTCAACGTCAAAGCCACCCAGATCTGCTTCCACTTGCCGCTGAATTTTGGCTTTCTCCTTTTCTTGTGCAATGCGTTCTCGTTCTTCTTGAGTTATCCCATCGTCGTTCAGGTTGCTCGAGTCGGCGTCTAGCTCTCGCGAGACGAGTACAGCGTAAAGGCAACTCCCTCCAGATGCCACAGGGCTGTCTGCGATGTACTCGATCCGCCGAACTGTAACACCCAACTTGATCTTTTCAAATAGGAAGCCACCTCCTGGCAGCAACCCGTCTCTTTGAAATATGGGGCTAATCTCTTTGTGCACAGACAACCTCTGAGTACCAAATCTGCCAACTCTTTCATGAACAGTAATGAAGGCACCATCTTCATCCTAGTACATTCCAAAATGAATCAAAATCGTTAACAAAAACGAAAGCTGTCGTTTCAACAAGAGCCAGGGCACTTACCAGATCAGAACAGAATCCTGACAATGGGTACGCCTTCCCGCCTGCAGGAGCAGCGTGCCGTGCCCTGTGCACAACAGGCACAGGCTGACCTCTGTCAGAACAGAACCACAGAGGGCGCGCAACGGCAGCAAAGAGGCCATCTTGGCCTGATAGAGAGAGAAAACGATGCAGTTTGATGTGCCGGAACGGAAGGCTGCCATCGGGACCTGCCACTCGTTTAAGTGTGGAATTGTTGCTGACGATTTTCCTTCGTTTCAACTTCGCGTGAAACCTTCCTTGTTCCTGGCTGACTCGTGATACCGTTCCCAGCGGCACTCGTGTAAACCGACAACTCTGCTCTGGCCCATCCCTCGGGTCAGCAGCATACAAGAGAAGGTCTCCATTGGAAGTTTCAATGGCAAGGCAGAGCGGCCGAGGAGAAAAATATTCCTCCTCATCATCTGTTGAAGGCCCACAGAAGAAAAACCGTATCTCATAGACGGTGGCTTCGTATTGTCGTGCTGACCTCGTACTCATGCCTGACAGCGAAGTCTGTCCGTGAGCACAACCCCAAGTCGACCACAGAGCCTCCTCGTTGCCTGTGAGCATGTCAGCAACACAGCGGATTTCCATTTTGCCGTTTTGGCGGCAAACTGCCACAAAGAGAGCTTTGGGCTTCCATTGCTCGGCTTCCGATTGTCCAACCCTTTCAGTGAAGTTTGAGGACCCCTCTGCTGACTTTGTCGCGCTTTTTGAAACAAAATATAGATCGTCTTCGTCCTGATCCATTTGTGAATAACCTGTTCGGGCCCCGCCACTAGCATCCCCGGCAGAGGACCCCGTGGCAGCAGCCGTCGACGCAGCGAAGAAATTCGAAGGGGCGTGGAACAAATCGACAGCAACAACGCGCGAGCTCTTGCTACTTTGATTGCCTTCTTGTTCGGCTTCATCAACATCCATGGCATCAGAAGGATGAGTGACATCATCTGATCCCGCGATATCAACGCATTTGAGAACGCCAGACTGGTCAAACGCCACCAAGCTCGCAGATCCTGTAGACCATGTGCACGTGATAGCAACTGCAGAGCGGTTTTCATGACTGCAAGCCATCATTGGAGCAACGTTCACAATGTTACCCTTGTCTTGCGACGGAATCCAGAAGAAAGAAACGAGATTGAGGACGTTCGAGGTTTCCTTCAGAACTCCAATTCCGTAGCTTGGTGCGCTCTCGTTTTCGGGCCGAATAGCCACTGCCACGCAAAAAGCGCCGCTGGACAAGTCAGAGCACGAAACCAAGGTTGCGTTCAGGAACAGTTCCCTTGCGCTCCAGCCCTGGGAATCGTCTGTCGTTTCTGCCGACAGGTATTCTTCCGAATCAATCTCCATCAAGACCAACCCTTCCTGGCTTGCATTGTTCTGCTCTATTCGAAGTGCTTTGATCCCAGCTTCGGCCTTGCCCAGCAACACAAGACGGTGTTTGCGAAGACTGAACACAGCTTCCACGCCCAGGCAGTCCGCTTCTGACAAGATGGATCGTTCGTCCTGACCCGGAAGAGTGAGCACGGCCAGACCACCACTCGACCCGAAGCCACACGGAAAAACCATTGCCGTCACCCCTGGAACGGACAGTGGCGTTTGGTTGATTGCATTGTCTTGTGGCGGTACAGTGCGAGAAGCAATGGGCCCTTGACAGGGAGCCACCAAGGGCCCTAATCCCACAACGGTATCCAAAGGATTGACTGCCCTCAGTATCACCGCCTCGACCACCCGGGTGGGCCCACGTTTGGACGCAATAGCTGAAGCCGCAGTGTCTGTTTCATCGTCACTTGGTGGGACCACATTTGGTGTTGTTGATTGTTTGGCGTTGTCGGGTGTGTCATCAGTGCTAGAAGGGGCGTACAAAGCCTCTTCCTCCAGTCGCATGATTTCATCTTCTTCCAGCGAGACCATGATTGGCAGCGAATTGTAGTTTAATACCCCCTCGTCACTGTGTTTTGACTCAACAACAGAGTCTTGTGCCTTGTCATTATCTCCATCATCCCAAGGCAACGTCACTGTCTCAAAGGCATATCCGAGTAGATAGGAATCTCCGAGTCGACTTCCTGCAAAGAGCAAGCCCATGGACAAGGAACTACTGTCATCTTTCTTGTCTTTTTCTGTCATTTTGTCGTATAGTCCTCCTGCAAGTGTTGCTAATGGCCAAGCCAGTAGGTTTGCAACATTGCCACAAGCTCCCAGAGACCTTCCCACAGGAAACAATGTCAATTTCATGCTGCCGATACGGCTGTCACTGTTGAGTTGCATTTGTAGAACATGCAAAGCTCCCGTCCGCAACGCCACAAAGGCGGTTCGGTCAGAGCAAAATGCCACTTCGGCTCCATCCAATTGAATGGCGAGCTTGGGGAATGGTTTTGGGTTTGGTTTGAGTAGTCCCAGCAATCTCGTAGGACAGGTGGATCTAGCGTATCCATTGACTGCGAGTACGTCTTCAATTCTCCCCGCATTACTAATGGCACAAAGCGAATTGGTGCATACAACGAGACATCCTAAAGATCCCATGGGGTGTACCTTGATAGCATCAATTGGAACAGCCACGGACCATAGTACAGCCGACCGCTTGTGTGCTACCGTGACACTTATGGCGGTGAGTACCATGTTCGTGCGAGCACCTGGTTGCCAATGTGGTCTTCCCAATCGCCCCGACCAAACTCTGCCGTGACCATACAACTGGGAGTGTAGGAGCACCAAGGTGGGTTCGCTGTATCCTGGCAGAAAAGTTGAAGAGATGATATCTCCAAATCCTGTAGCAATGGAAGCGACAGTTGAGGATGACGCTGCTGTCTGCGCGTTTGAGTTTGGATTCTTGCTACTACTGCTGGTGGTCATCACTGTCTTGCCACTGTTTTGGGACATGCGCACGGATGCTTGCAATCGTTTGAGTGGGAGAAGGAATGGTTCCGTGGCAATCCATCCTCCTTGTTTTCGTAGAATATCAATACAAGCCACAGCAACTCCTCCTCCCAAAGTGACGGATACAGTGCCTCTATCGGCATTGTTCTTGGCAATGACAGTGGTGGCCATGAGATCTTGGTCCAATGGAGTAATGGATCCACTCGAACTATCAATGAGTGGTTGTGTCAAATCCATCAAACTGGTTGCCGACAAGACTTTGGGGGAAGTGGACAGTTCTGATTTATCGGCCAATTTGACAATGGCCAGTTGAGGGTGACCGCAAAACCCCACCAGTAAAGAATCCATCTGGATATGGTTACTACATGTACTTGTAGCAGTGGAAGATGCAGTTGTCGTCGTTCCATCATTGTCTTGGGGATCGTCTGCCGCTGGCAAGGTTTCCAAATAGCAAATATTTCCTGCCAAATCGGGAAATTCGAGATGTTTGCACAGCTTCCCAGACGCTTCATTGAGTGTATAGACAACCAGAGTGGATGCTTGAGCTGTCACCAAGTTGGGACAATTGGGAGGTCTTGTGGTTATGTATGCCCAGGTCGAATACTCAGATCCTCGACTGCCTCCCGGAAACACAGGCATCACACATGGATGGACAGGACGAGAGTTTGGGGCGGGCATGGTTTATATATAGATTGATACTTGCTCTAGTAGAGAGATAAACAGTGGAAACTTGATCGATGCAGCAAGTCAGTTGTAGAATCTTAGCCACCCATGGCCAGTCTGTGTTTCTGTCTCGTGGCTCGTTGCTTTTGGCTTCGAAATCCTTTGGTCGAATGTCGGAGGAAGGGGTGAACGACTGAGATTGAAGTCCAATCGAAACACTATTATGACGTCATCACTGTACGTCAGCCAATTTTGTCCCGATCCACTCAGCCCATCCTTTCCCCACAAGATTTTCCATCTCATCATCATCTTCAGCACTTCGCTTCGCCATCTCCCACAACCCCACAGATCTTCCAGTTGGCAACATTCCAACTTCTTCTATACATTTCCAATTTCTTCACATCCAGTTCTCCTTCAGTCAATCAAATCAATTTGCAAAGATGAATCTCATCAGGTCCTTGTGTCTCGCAGTAGCACTTTCGCTGGCTCCTCCAGCTGCAGCATGGGTATCCCCCTATGCGGGAGCAGGAAGAGCATCAACATCATCAAGGCTCCAAATGGCCATTGACTACAACGATCCCGTCGTGGCGGAAGAATTTACCCAGGTCCAACCAATGGCCTTTGAAGATGTCGAAGAAGAATTGATGAAGTCAGGGATTCGAGTACCACCTACCATGAATGATATGGAAGCCAAGCTCATGTTGGTGGAAATGAGGTTGAGATTCTCGGGAAAGCTCGGAGGAAGACCAGAAAAGAAACGACCCGACAAATTCTCTTCCAAATTCGAAGAAGCCATCTGGACCAAACCTGCATTTGATGAATTCTATGACACGTTGAAGGCTAACGGGGATCCCAATGCTCTCAATGTGGTGAGTACAGCACAGTACAGTACAATCAATATACAAGCTAGCAAACAAGCAGGGGGGGGGAATGAAACCATTGTTGATTGACAACTCATGCATGTTTGATGTTTCTTTGTCTTGCTTTCTTTTAAAAAGGTTGCTGAATATGTAAATGTAAGTGATTGTGCAGGTTTCCTTGCGTCAACCTGTTACAGCTGTACCTCCCTTCAAGCCGGCTCTTCGCTTCTAATCAAAAACTGTCGATTCTGCCACTCACCAAACTGTGATGATAATATCGCAGAGCCCAGATGTTGCCCTGCAACGATATGGAAAGGATTACAGAGGACTTATCCGTCAAGCGGAACAAGCACTCACCGCACCTCCACCTGTCAAATCCAGCAAGCTCGCATTCAGTGGTTTCCCGGCCAACATGGGAGAGGATGCTTGTCGAATGACATTGGAGGCGCTTGGAGAAGTCGTGGAATTTGACTGCGCACCAGACGAAGATTTCCCCATTCTTACTGGAACTATCGAATATGCGGATATCGAATCCGCCAAGGCTGCTGTGGCGCAATACAATGGAATGGATATGGGCATGGGTACGGCACTCAGTCTCAAGTCTGTATAACTATCGAGCCTCATCATTCTAAAGGCACTAGCTAGCTAGATTGGCCGTCCTAAGGACTTCTTTTTTACGACACTAGTTTGAAAATGAGACTGGTCCTGGCTTTGTCCTGCTGTCATCGTACTGCAGGTTAGGTTCTTTTTTGTGGAGAGGCGGAGGCATCAGGGTAGCTTCTGTGAACACTCCGAGCTAGATAACCTCCCTACCAGTATTCAAAAACCCCCGTTACTCCTATTCCGACAACACAGGAAGTCATGGACCGATACAGTCGTAGCCGTACTAGCTAGTACTGTATGCATACATGTAGATACATAGTATTACATACAGTATAACATACTAGAGTACATGGTGAGGCTTGACTTGGCACAAACCGCAATTCATTGACCGTTCCTGAAAGAAGCTTTCTCCGTTCCAATGGGTGTCTTCGCAGCCTTCGCTGGTTGGTAGCAAGCTCTCTTTCAACAAGGTCAAATCTGATTTGCTGCCAATTTCAACTTGCCTCGTGCGTGTCCTTCGCGGACTGATGTCTGGTTTCTTCCATCATCTGATGTTTTCCACGAAGCTTTGCTTGGGGTTCCATTGGCGGCTGGTCTTGGTCGGCATTCGGGGACGAACACTCAAAATTCCTAATACCGGCACTAGTCTAGCTAGCTAGTAGTAGCACTCAGGCTCTCTTTCTTACCCAAGTGTCGAAGTCAGTGGTCGTATTGCAAAAGATCACCATGAGGAGATATTCAGTCGCCGTTGCTTCAGCCCTTGTTTGGCTCTGTCAAGGTGTCACGGCATTCCTCCCGTCGCCTGGTACAACAGGCCAACGGTATGAAGTGCAATTGCCCGCCACGATCGCACCAAAAGAATCCCTCGAGGAGAACATCAACCAGGACTTTTGGATGTCGCTTCAAGAAATCAATCCCATCATCAAGCTTGGCAGTGAGCCAAAACAGAAGGTCATCAACTCGTTTGGCTTGTTTTGTATGGCTGTCTCTCTGGCGATCTGTCCTATCTGGCTAATGGCACTCCAGGCGTGCGAGGCAAGCTACAAAGTCATCGGAGATGATTGGGATCCCAACCGCGAGTTCTTCGATGGCCTTGGCAAGGTCTGGGCAAAATCCTTCCTCACCCTCACTGGCAGCTATCCTAGCTTCTCAGGAGAAGTGGAACTCCTGGAAAAGGGCCCCCACAATCAACCGTGCTTGTTCGTCGCAAATCATGCGTCTTGGTTAGATATCCCTATTCTCTGCACCTGCCTAGACCAGGTGTTTAAGTTTGTTGCAAAAGGAGAGTTGGGTAACATCCCCTGCATTGGACACCAGCTTTCTGGGGTGAGTAATTTGGTAGCTTTACCGTTGTACTCTTGGGGTTGCGTTCTCGACTAACGAGACTTGCTGCATAATGCTTCCGATCTGATGTTTGTTCAGGGACAACATATCCTGATTGACCGGGAAGATAGACGCTCGCAACTACGAAGCTTCAAACAATCCATTGGCTGGATAAAGAAAGGAGTGCCCATCATGGCGTTCCCAGAAGGAAAGAGATCCGACGATGGGCGACTATTGGAGTTCAAGGGAGGCCTCTTCGCAATTGCAGTGAAAACTGGAGTCCCAATCGTTCCCATTACCATCAGTCATGCACATGCTGTGATGCCTTCTAACTCCCTCGTCCCTGTTCAACCAGGAGGCGGAAAACTTCACGTGCATGTCCATGGTGCCATCCCATCAGAGGGAAAGACAGAAGAGGACCTAAACCGGCTAGTGAAAGATTGCTTTCTCGAGACTCTCCCCAAGTACCAGCATCCAGCTAACTAATGCATTCCAATCGCTATAGCTATTACCGCTAACATCCTGCATCTAGACTGAATCTTTGTTTTTGCTCCTTATGTTGCTCATAAAGCACACGCAGACGCCTTGTGGGGGCCTGGACTACCTGAGAATTTAGCACGCAACTTCATTCTTTTCATCAAATTGGTTTATTGTTTGAAATACCACTATTCTCGGCGGCAACGCTTAACGATGCGCCAGCTTGCCTGCAAGTCCCGACATCGCCTTACTCTTTCCATCAGGGACCATAAAAAGTACGAGAGGCTTGTCTCGGCTGATGTAGGGCCTATCCACGCGGTAATAGCCACGGCGCTCGAGCTGGATGATCTCGTTGTGAAGAACCGACTTCAGGGCCGCATCACCCACTACCTCTGTGACTGCCTCGGTATTGGGATTTATGTAGTCCTCGAATTTGTCAGTCTCTTCCAGCTTCTCTTTCGTGATAAGGTTGTCATGCTCTGTCAGAATCACACGAGTCGAGTTAGACACCTTAGCAAGCCAACTAAGCTTCTTCTCCGCCGCCTTGAAGTCCCCGTCTGGGACATAAGTACCCTCGAGTTCGTCGCCCACTTTTGTAATCTTGACAACACCTGTGAAACAAAGTAGGAGAGTAGCAGGCGTGCCAGTTTGAGACTACAGCACAGCTCAGCTCACCCAACACGAGCAAACGATATCAAGGACTGACTTACCCCACCGAAGCAGAACGATGGTTTCGTCGACTTGTACGCCTTCAACATCAGCGTTCTCAAGGAGAACCGTGTCAGAGAGTCGAATGAGCCTGTTTCCGAGGCTTGGATCTTTGGGGTGGACGCTGGTCTCGGCGAAGGCAAAATCTTCCTCTTTAGGCCCACCGGTGATACGTAAGATTGTATGCTTTTCCGCATCAATGGCCATAAAGCGTTTGGCTCTCTTGTCGATCTCCTTTTTGTTCTCTGCCCAAAACTTGTGCCAGACCATGTTCACCACTCGACGCGAAGCACCTTGTGCATACCTGATTTTTGTGTGCAAGAACAAACTTAGCATCTGGAGTCAAGTCCAATTTCTCATGCATTGGCTTTCCATTTCAAGGTAGACGTACATGAAGCCTCTTAAGGCTTGTGTGTCAATTCCTCTGCGCACCACACCACGAACAGTGGGGAACCGAGGGTCATCCCAGCCAGTGACATATCCATTGTCAACGAACCATGCCAATTTGCGCTTGCTCAGGACCGTGTTGGTGAAGTTGACGCGGCTGAATGCATGAATGCGAGTGGTGCGCAAATTCAAGGCATTCTGAATCCAGCGGTACTGTTCGTCCCGATCATTGTACTCTATCGGTCAGTTGGAGAGGGGAAAACAAAGCAGTTCAGATGGCAAATGTGGAACCAAATACATACCCGTAAACACTGGAACCAACCTGTTGTACGAAGGGCATGACTGACCCCTTCCAAAGAGTCCACAATAGGACATGCCAAGTCATAAGTAGGATACGCCTTGTACGTCGTTCCCGTGCGGTGGTGGGGCTCCGTGTTTTGTCTAAACAACACTGGATCGCGCATGGTACCGTTGTCGCTCTGCATTGCGATTTTGGCTCGAAGACACCACTTGGATCCTTCTTCGCTGCCACTGCACATGAGTTTGAAGCACTCCATGTTCTCTTCGATCGATTGCGCTCGTCTAGCCGAATCTTTTCGTTCCGCCCGTTCCGTTTTCATTTGCTCCTGGGGCGTGTCATCCATGTATGCGAGTCCCTGTTGGATCATGGACACGGCGCATTCATAAATAGCTCCAAAGTAATCGGACGTGTAGGTGACCAAATCCGGCTGTACGCCCAAGAGTGCGAGATCCTGCACAATAGATTGTTGATATTCTTCCTTTTCTTTGGATGGATTGGTGTCATCAAATCGGACAATGAGACGACCATTGTACCTCCGAGCATAGTAATCATTCAACAAGACAGCCTTGGCATGCCCAATGTGTAGATATCCACTGGGTTCTGGAGGGAAACGAGTGACCACTCGGCCTGGAATGGCACCCTCGAGGAGATTCATGCCGGACACCAAGGGCTCGAGAGCCCCACTATCGTCAAAGACAGCTTCACCGCCAGCCACACCCATGGCCATCTGGAAGGCCTCTTTGACAGGGAGAGAATTTTTCATCATTCGCAGCCATCGCTTGGCGGGGGTAGCTTCTGGTGGAAAGTACTGTTCGACATCCTCCGAATCGACAGCAGCGGGACATCCCAGCACAGCATACAGAGCCAAATCCGCAATTGTGAGGGTATACCCGGCGGCGTAAGTGGCGTTATCCAGAGACTTTGTGAGAGTGGAAGCAATGGCTTTGGCTCTCTTGTCGATATCGAGGAGTTGCAGAGACTGCGCGTAGTTGATCCAAGCATCGACTACAGCAGCTTCCTCTTTGGATTCTGGGAACAACGTGGAAGGCTGCTTGGCTGTGCTAACCACATACCGAGCAATGGCGAAATCTCCCACAACGGCTCCTCCATTGGGAAGACCCAATGCTGTCTGCTTGGAACGATGGTCACTGACCAACTCGTAATTCGAAAATGTGTTGGTCAAGACGGCGGCGGCCAAAGCAACTACGGGACGTTCCTTCATGGGTTGATTGGGATTAATGACAATCTGGAAACTCTCGGCGACAGGGACGGTACGAGCGGCAGGGCCTCCTCCTCCTTTGTTGGGATTGGCAGCCGCCTTATTGTTCGCGTCAGCAGGAGGTCCACCGCCAGTAGCAGCCGCTTCCTTCATGGCGGCTTTCTTGGCCTTGGCAGCGGCTTTCTTGGCTGCCTTCTTCTTGGCACCGGCGGATTCTTCCGGTTTCGCTGCTTCCTCTTCGGCTGTCATGGTGATAATGGGTGATTTTAATCTTTCCTCCTCCTCCTCCTCCTCTTCTTCTTCCTCTTTTGAAGATTGGGCTGTCCAGCAATACCTGAGCGGGTTTCTAATGCAGCCAACACCACAATCGGTCATTGCGGTCGAGACCTGTGTGGTTGGGGGGGGGGGGTGCAGGTCGTGTCGAGCGTCGTCACTCTCTCAGCCGTCCATTATTTTCCTTCAAATCGAAAATTTTCATTTTGTGGAAACATTTCGCTTTTTTCCAAAAGATAGAGTATCTTTTGTAAGATCTTTGTCCCGGCAGAGAGCCTCACAGAACTGCCACCAAAAGAGCATCGGAATCGAATCGAATCTTGATCTTGCTCTGCTTCTTCTTTACTGCATGCGACGAAGGGAGAGTTCAGTGCATTTGAGGGAGGTTTTGAGGGCTTGTTGGCTAGCTAAAGGTACATTTTGCGTTTTCAAGATGGCAGACGACGATGATGACAACGATAACGGTGGTGGCGAAGAGGAAGAGGAGGTCAGTGAAAAAGAAAAAAATTGTTTTGGATTTTGTTGACACAAAGACACAATCAGCTTATTGGTATCCTTCTCTGAGGTGTCCATTATCCTGAGTAAACATTCTGATTGTTATTTGTGTCTAGTATGGCCACCAACGTTTTCGTGCGCTTTGACTATTGACTATGGAGAAACTGTTTGCGTCTGCCTCTCTGTGACCTTGATTTGATCCTGTGAGATTACTTTGATATTTTATCTTGATCATGAACTCTCAACTTAAATTCCGGCTTTCGCTCTTAGGAGGATCAAGAGGAGGAGGAAGAAGACGAAGCCGAAGTGAGTACATTCTGAGAAGGAACATATGAAGAGTCTGAGGAGATACGTCGGTATCATATGTGTGTGGGTATCTCAATCAATCCAAATTATTTGGTTGCTTGTAATTTTTTAGGTAGAACTTGGGAGCAAGGACACACACTCAGAGGAAGAGGGAGACGAGGAGGACGCAGGAAGCAACGGTGGTGATGACGACAATAACGAAGACGCAGACGATGGAGAGGAAGGGGACGAAAACAATGGAGAAAATGAAGGCGGGGATGAAGGTATGTTTCTTCTTCTTCAAAGAACGTAGTGGGGAATCGTTTCAGTATTGCAAGTCCTCAGAGGACTCACTGGTCAAATCATCATGCATTAATAATTCTATCAGAAGATGAATCCGATGAAGAGGAAGATAGTGACGATGATGATGACAATGGGCTTGGGACAGCTGCTCTCTTGGGTCCAGAAATCATCGACGAAGAGGATGCAGCCGAAGATTTTATTCCCCCGGCGGACGCTGATGATTCCGACCAGGAGATTTCAGACGAAGAGGGTGATGAAGACGGTGATGAAGAAGACGACGACGATGAAGAGGGGGATGGTTCGGTCGATGGAAAACCACCTTCGAAGAAGCCAAAAATTCAATAGCAAGGACAAGAGAAGTGTTGCCCAGGCCCAGGTAATTGGAAGTGAATGTGGATCATACGATTTTAGCAAAGAGTGACTGGATTAAGCAAATTTTACTGAAACAGGTCACCATACCCTCAAAAGTTGGAACAACTCACAGCCTAAAGTGGAAAGAATGCAAATCTGATGTTGGCGTTGAGAAAAAGACCAACACGAAACAGTTGAGTTGGGACTGCTGTACGCCTCCTGTGCAATGGCAACAATGGTTTGCATGGGCCTCATTGACGACGTCGGAGCACGGGTATCATCAATGTCTCAGTTGTGACAGAACACCATGATAGGCCAGTGGGATCAGACAATCTACTAGCAGACTAGCCTGTGCTGTTTTCCGGGCTATCACCTGAAACCACTGCTCCTTCTATTTGAGTTTAGTTCAAGATACTTTGGTGTGCCATGTTGTATCGAGGAGGATTTGATGTGTAAACTGGGGCGCTAAGGGCAGGAGAAACGTGGGAGTATTAGTATTATAGTACTCTAGTAGGCTATATCCGATCCAAAACTAGATCGAGCTAACCCCACATGCCTCGGTGGCTCGGTTGATGATGGCAAGTGGCAAGACAACCCGAACGGTCCATCCCACCGGTAGCTAGAAGTGGTCCCGCTTACGTAGTTTACGTGACTGACGTCAGTTCGATCTTTGACCCTAATCGAGGTGGACATGTGGACTGTGTACATCGTACATGTAATCGACATCAAGATGACATGGATACGGATCTGTGCATCAACCGATGCACTTGGCCGCACTGAGCTGCTACCAGCAATAAGTTGACAATAGGAACTACCGAGTGAAGATGCGTCTCCTTATCCTGCCAATGCTCTTTGTGGCATCAATATGCCTGGTACCTTCCAGTCATGGGCTGAGTTTGCAGCCAAAGCCTCACAAAAGCACCAAGGCCCTCCTTCCAAACTTTCAACCTAGCTCAGTGGTACCGTCGGTTGCCATTGCTTTTGCAGCTTTCCTGTTCGCGACCAGCCCTGTACTGGCAGATGAATACGGAGTGGAGAAGGAAGCGCCAACACTTTTCACAGGCGAAACTGTATTGGTACGACGATTTGTTGCTCTACTGTTGCTTGTACTCTTCCAGTCTTCCAGGCAGTGTTTGGGCCGAACTCACCTTATTGTTGTTGTCATTACACCCACATCGCTTTCCTTGCTCAGAAATGTGTAAAACGGGGTCCACTGGGAGCTTGTCTGCAAACAGAAACACGCACAGCTGAGAACGACAATGACAAATCCCTGAAATACTTTCAAGATCCTACCGAGGCTTCGAAACGAAAGGAAGCTGAAATGCGCAGCACGGCTCAGCCAGAAGAAGGTAACCTTCTGATTGAGAAACTACGCAGACAAACTGAAGAAAATAAGGAAAAGAATGAACTTATTGTCAAGCAGAAAACCCTGCTAAACGACCAGGTACGCTGCATTCTTGCAAATACCTGTTGGAGGCGTGGCCTTGCAGAGCCTAACTAACAGTGCATTGTCATTTACCCACGATGAATCGGGCAACCTTCAGAGCGCCAGTTTTGGTCCCTTTGATCGACAAGTTGTGATTCTGAACGAAGACGGAAAGGGCTTCACGTTGCTAGAAAATCCACAGGCCATGCGTCTGAAGAAAGATGGGTTCATTAAAGACCGCCAGTTTATCAAGCAACCAACGAAGGAGGAGCTAGACCAAGCTCTGGTTCCCGAGGGCCCAAGCCTCGGTGATGCTATTCAAGGCTTCTTTGGCGGAGGTGGTGGCGACTAAGCTAGAATGTCATTTCAGCCAAGTTTGGATGATTTGAAAGTTGTTGTCCTGAAAAATAGATCGATTGAGCCCGCTAGCTAGCTATCAGTGTTTTAAAGTGGAGCACTGAGTGTGCCTTCCGTAAACAGAAACGATCACAGACTGTACAAGAAACATGCGTAGAGCGTGTTATCAAACCAAAACTTGGGTCTGGGTATGTTCCATGAGAGCCATGTTGGACTACTTAGTAGGCGTTAATGCAGCAAGCCATAATGACTGTGATAATCTACACGTCCATGGTCACAGCACCACAGCAGAATCGTGCCGTATTCAAATAAGTTGCAGGTTAGGTTATTTCACTTGCAGGGCACCTATGAATTGGCATGCATCACCCCATAAAGAGTTCTTGTGGCTCCGAGAAAAATGGGATAACTTGATACCGGAAGCCACCGGGTACGCTGTGGAATGGGCTTTCGAAAAGCTATAAGGCAACGCGGCCTCCTACAATGAGATCAAAAAGCCGTTGCAGTCGTTGCGTGCAATGCCCGAATGGATGTTCTGCCTCAACGGATTGTCGAGTTGCCATAAGAAGGTTCCTGTTGTCACCTTTCGTGTCGACGCAAGTCCTTCTTTTCCGTCTGGCGCTCAATTATGGAACGGTTCACGAACCTGTCGGTTGTTGTTTGGGCTGTGCTGGCATTTTGGAATCCTCTTCCTCCTCGTCGACAACGCTATCATGGAATTTGACTCTCTTGGAAGACGGTTGCTGTGCTTCGCTGTCGCCATTTTCAGCAGCAGCATCAACAGCGGCGGCGGCTCGCTTTTTGCCACCGCCATTCTCTTCTTCATGTTTTTGTTGTTGAGCTTCGATTGACTCATGCGTCGCCACTTCCATTTCTAATTGCTCTGCCACGGAAGCCCGAATTTCCAATACTTCTACGGAGCTGGGTCCACGGCCATTCTCCTCTCTAAATTTGCGGAGCAACTCCGAGAGAACAATATTCAACATTGCGGATTTCTCTTCGTCCTCCGTCATCTCCTCCATGCCATCCACACCAGGCTCATAGCTGGGGTCATCTTCTTCGTTATCCCCCTCTTCCGCATCCTTATCGTTGTGTTTATCATCACCCCCCTCCCCCATTTCGTCTTCTTCATCCCCATGATTTGGTGCGGAAGGTGCTTCCTTCAGTTTTGCTGCTGACTTGCCCTCACTGACATCCTCCTTCTTCTCTTCAGGAGAGTCGTCATTACCTCCTTCGGCGGAGCTGGGAATCGGTTTCCCCTCCGAGATGACTGCTTTTGCATCGTCATCATCACAAACAGAATCACCAGTAGTCTTGTCCTCCTTCTCGTCAAGCGTGGTTGAGTCGTCTTTTAGTGCCTCTATTTGGCCGCTGGTGACTGGAGCTGTCTCCTCGTTGTTGCTATCCATACCATGCGTACTTTCAGGGACTTTCGAAACGCCCTCCGCTTCTGGTACAGACGCTGCCAATGATACTTCGATGGCAGTGCTGCTAGAGGGGTGACTTTCCGATGTTGCCATGGTGCAAAATAAATGTATGGTTCGGCTTTTGTTCTTCTGCCTTCAACAACCTCCGGGAACAAATTTTATGGCCTCTCGGTTGGAGCGTGGTAGAATTATTTGATTTCATGGCAGAGTTCTGTTTTACTCCTTGGCTAAGCAGTAGCTAGCTAGTCAAGGAATGGAAAGGAACAAGTGTGAGGCTTTTTTGTCGTTCAGTCCAGTCCAAAAGATTTTGTGAGTCGAGTCGAGTCTCGGTCCCACAGGCGTGGTGGTGCTTTGCTGGCTTGGATTGCAACCAATGACGCTCGAATCTTAGAAAACAGGGAACTGGGATAAACTTCCGGTAGCTGCTACCTAAGAGCTCTGCCAAAGCGGACCACAAGCGTTGAACAAGTGAGGATATTGCTCCAAGTTAACAGTTGGCGCAACTGCCTTGAATGAATAGCTCTTCAATGTCTCCTATGCTAGTAGCTAGCTAGTAGGATCCTGGACTACGGTAGCTGTGACATACGGTAGAAATCGTGACATCTGAGTACCGTACCAGGTACCATGCTGCAAAAAATCGTATGATAGTACTGTACCGCAGGATAGCAGATAAGCCCACAGTCTATTCAGGAGGATAGAACTACTGTACTTACTTGAATAGGTCTTTTCCAACAAGTCTTTATTACAACTGATGGTTTGGGCCTGCCTTTACTCTTTCTGGCATGCATAGCGCGCCCCATCAACAATGATTCAAGGGAAATAGATTCGTTCGATTCGTTGCCTGCATCTTCTTGCCATGAATCCAAGTGAATTCTGTGTTACAGTACATACAGTACGGATTGGTGCAGTGCTAGCTATCTACATAGTAGCTACCGGTAGAAACTGGCCGCAGCAAGCAAACAGAAGATTCGATTCCTAGATTCGAGCAATGATTACATATACCAGGTACTGGTAGCCTTTAGTGTAGTAACGTACCAATACCCCAACTCCTGATAATCAAAGATTCGAGGTCGCGCGTTGCCGATTTTGGTTGGCTGCAAAGCTGCATGTCTTGCTCCGTATCCAAAGCTGAAGAAGTGAGGCATTGCTTTAATGCTGGTACTTTCTCTCCCTTCTACCCCATTTAATTTCGTCTTGGGTGGATAGAAGCAGCCACAAATTGGAAAAGTACGGAGGTAAGCATTGATAATGGAGAGAGATCGTCGTCTGTTTATTTTACAATGGCAATGGGGACGTTTTGCGATGGGATGGGGGTATCCTGCAATTGCGTTCTGTTTCAGGGGATATTCGAAGCAGGAGAAAGATCTTCAACCACCGGCAGTGATCGGCATTTCTTGCCACGCGTGTTTTTTAATATTTCGTGCTTCTCGTTCCGCATTGGCGTAGCTTGTCCATGATCACATACATTTCCTCACAACCTCCTTCCCTGTCATTGCAGTTTGTTTGCCGGTCGACGATGACTATCTCCAACACGCTGACCAACTATGGCCTGTTGGCCTTTGAGTCGCTGGACTTTGAGTCTGCGTATACGTGGGTTATCTTGGGTCTTATTGCCTTTTACGTCGCAAGGAAGCTTATTGAGTCCAGTTTCAACATGATTGACCACATCTGCAATCGAACATACATCTACAACATTTGCTGGGAAGATCCCGCTGTGGACCACCAAATTCTCAATATCGGAAAGGACGATGTAATCTTTCGCATTTGCTCGGCCGGAGATATTGTCTTGGATTATGCCATTCAGGGACCTTCCAAAATTGTGGTCTGTGACATGAACCAACATCAGCTGTGGCTCTTTGAACTAAAAGTCTGCATGCTCAGAGACCCCAAACTCACGTATGACGAATGGTGGGCCATTTGGGGATCCTCCGATGTCGATACCGCTCTTCGCGTATGGAAACGCATGCGACACACCATGTCGGCTTCGGGTCGAAAATGGTGGGACGGACGAATTGAACGTGTTTTCCGCAAGGGATTTGCTACCTCGGGATCCACTGGGTTTGCCGCAAAGCTGCTCATCCCTTTCCTCATGTACCTCGTTGGTTTCGATGTCAAAGCTTGGGCCGAAACTGGGTTCTCACATGAATATATTTCACGGAATTCGCACATGATTGAACGATCAGCCTGGTGGTTCCGAAGGATTTTCCCTAGTATTTTGGCGCCCTTTGCCGGTGTCCCTCCGAATCAAATTGGACCCGAATTTTACACCACCGAATTCTATGAGGGAATCCTGCGGGAGATTTTTCTTGACCCTGATTTTGGAAGCAACAACTACTTCTACCGCTTCTACTACGACCAGGGGTACAAAGATCAGACTTGCTGCCCTAGGACTCTGATGGAAAAACACTTTGAGGCGTTGAGAGCAAATGCTGGTTGCTTCGAATGGCACCATGCCACTGTACAGGAAACCATGGAACGGGTCAAGCCAAAATCCTTCACCAAACTTGTTTTGTTGGATCATATGGACTGGATGCCAAACCACATGGTGCATGCGGAATGGATTGCTCTGCAACGTGCCACCATTCCTGGAGCTCAAATCCTGTGGCGTTCCGCTTTTACCACCATGGACGACAAGCCCTTCTTTAACAATGTCGACGCGACCGACTTGAGTCCCCAGTGGTACTCCAAGGACCGTGTCAAGATGTACCCCGGAACATTTATGGCACACATGCCAAAGGACGACTTCCCATTCGTCGACCCCGAACCATCACCCTGCCAACGAGCATCCTTTGCTCGAAAGGTCCAAACATCTACAAAGATGATTTTGCATCCACTCACCGCTGGAAAGGTCAGTGCTCACGGAGACAAAATGTCTCAATTCTACGCTCAGCAGGCCAAGGGATACGATGCAGTCAGGGAAAATATGCTGGTCGGTAGGGCGGACATGATGTCCGCCTTTGGACCCATCAAGGACGGCCACACCTGGTTGGATGTTGGCGGTGGCACCGGTCGAAACATCCATTATTTGCGGGCACAGCTCGATCATTTCGATCGAATCATTATCTTGGATATTTGCCCAGAGTTGCTGGCCATTGGTGAAGATCACGCTCGTCGTTCCTTCACACCCGCCCAATGTGAGAAAATTGAATGGGTCTGCATTGACATCAATTCCAAGGATATTCGTTCCAAACTTTCCAAGTATCTGAAGAACGATTTAGGCCGCGGCTTTGATACTGTCACCTTCAGTTACTCCCTGAGTATGATTCCTCAATGGGAAAAGGCCCTCGAGTCCGCCAAGGGTCTCATGTCTGACCAGGGACGTGTCCTCATTAGCGACTTTGACACCTACACCGAACAGGGCAATGGGTTCAAAGACTTTTTGATTCACACTTGGTATAAACAGGACAGCGTCCGAATTGAAGCGAAGACTCGCCAAGTCATTCAAAAGACGTTCCCAGCCAACAACTTCAAGGTCACCTTTGCACGCTTCCAGCGCCCACTGGCAGGTGTCAACATTCCTCATTTCGTTGGATGTTGCCGAAAGGAAACCATCACGACTACACAGGGACTCCGCAGACCCTCGGTAACAAACCTCAAGGATTTGACAGGCGAAGAGAAGAAGCAAGACTAAGCGAGCTTGTTTTGAATGTCTTTGCATTTTTATGTTCCTGCCGAGTACTGCGGGTTTGTGGGTCGATTTAATATTAATAAAATGATAATAGCAGCAAATGATTTCATGGGCACCAGGAAAGCCGTCTTCTTTTGTACCCGGTAGAACTATTAGCAACTATGCATTCACGTAATTCCCGGAGGACAGTCCAGCAACAGTAAAAGCCCCAGACAGTCACTAAATGACTCGACTCAGGAGTACGGTACCAGCTATTACCTGCACAGACTGCCACTCGCATTGAGAGGTGGCGATGGTTAGCTGTCCCTCGAGGCGGGCATCGTGCCACCCCATCAGAACTTTTCAGGACTTTTCCATCTACGTGTGGTGCTTTTGGTGAGGGTGGAGGAGAGGGGATGGAACCAGCTGAGGGAAACCAGAATGACAACCTCCCGAAGGCAAAGGAGGAGTCAATTACTGGACAGAAGTCGTAACAGTTACATAAGTTAGTGGCAGCAAGTCTTTCGCCCCAAAGGCACGTCTCATGTTTCTGACTCAGCAGGTGCTGCAGTGTCGGAGCTTAAAAACTTGCGCACTTTTCTACTAAACCTTCCATCCAAGCCTTCTTCTTCCGCGGCATTTGGCAAAAAGCAAAGATACAAAAGGTGATAGAAGAAAGAGAAGCATTGCTTCATTAATTAGGCTCCACACTCGTCGCCATTGGGTAAGGCCAGCAAAGCTCGGTTTCTTAAAACCAAGTGTAGAAGTGTAGAAGAACCCGAATCCTCGGTTTCAGAAATTCGTGGTTCGGCACGGTCGTACCGGTACTTGTCGACAACCTGCAAGCACACTTTACCCACGCTATCGTCTGTGCTGCAACCGTACCGTACATTTCAGCTCTCGGTTGATTGCCAACTGCCGATCCCATTGCTATCCGCCGCGAACGGCCCTACTGACACCACCACCAATCACTGTATCTTTTGGATTCCGACCAACCAACCATCACATCCCGGCTCCACTCACCCCTTACTACATGCCTCGGCTACTAAGTTGTCCTGATCGAATCATTTTATCATGAGGTTGCTACCAACACAGTTCTTCTTGTCAATGATGTGGGCTGTTGCTTTGCTCTTTCTTCTACTGGTGACAAGCTCAGAGTCCAACCCCATGCGTCCGCTCACCTTTGGATCGACAAGGCAACGACCGAGGCAGATGGTTGGCCAGATCAATGCCTGGGGAATCGGTGACAGCTACAGGCTTCTGTTGAGACCTTTTTCTAAGGCTACCAGTCCGTTTTTGACTACAAGACGAACTGCAGAAAGAGCTGCCTCGGCTGTCGCCACTATCCACCGCGGGGGTGACGACAATGGCGCCACAAGCCCTCCTAGTGACCTCAGCAGCACCGACAATAGTGTAGATGGTCGGATCACCCACACTCCCCACCATGGATTGACACCATTTCCTCCTCGCGGTGGAGCACGAAAACACATGACAAGCGACTCCCGGCAAGATAACCAAACAGCACCTTTGGCGAGCCTGTCAGAGGCACAGCAAGACCCACAATTCAGAGCAGCTCTGGGAAAACAGGACGACTTTGTAGAGACAGTCTGCCACCCTCATGAGTCAAGGTTTTCTCTTTTTCCCATTGAAAATCCTGATCTTTGGAAGCTATACAAACAACACGTGGCATCTTTCTGGACTGCCGAAGAGATTGATCTATCAGCAGATCTGTCTGATTGGCATGGCAAGCTAAACGACCAAGAGAGACACTTCATATCCATGGTCTTGGCTTTCTTTGCAGGGGCAGATGGAATAGTCGTAGAAAATCTTGCCGAACGCTTTTGTCGGGAGGTGACTGTACCAGAGGCTCGCTGTTTCTATGGCTTCCAAATGGCAATGGAGAGCATTCACCAAGAGACATACTGCTTGCTTATCGACACTTACATTAGCAACCCGAGCGACAGAGAAATCCTATTCTCTGCGCACATCAATGTACCGAGCGTGGCTCTCAAAGCAAAGTGGGCCCAACGATACATATCTGCGCAGGTGTCTTTTGCAGAACGGCTGGTAGCATTTGCCGTTGTGGAAGGTATTTTCTTCTCGGGTGCCTTTTGTGCCATTTTTTGGCTTAAAAAGAGGGGGCTCATGCCCGGGCTGACCTTTTCGAATGAATTGATCAGCCGAGATGAGGGCCTGCACTGCTCCTTTGCTTGTCAGTTATACTCCAAGCTGGAGCGAAAATTACCAGAGCATCATATCCACCAACTAGTGGGGGATGCCGTGCAGGTGGAAAAGGGGTTTGTCTGCGATGCATTGCCAGTTGATCTTATTGGCATGAACGCCAACCTAATGTCACAATACATTGAGTTTGTGGCGGATCGGCTGCTGATGGACCTGGGATACCGGCCACTATACGGGAGCAAGAACCCCTTTGATTGTAAGTGCACTTTCCCTCTACCCTCAAATGTGTATTTATTGCCGACTCACTCTCGATTGAACCTCCTGGCGTCGTTATACAGGGATGGACATGATAAGTTTGGAAGGCAAGACAAACTTCTTTGAGAAGCGAGTCGGGGAGTACAGCAAAAGTGGAGTTATGAGTTCATTAGATTCGAAAACAAGAAGCAATTCACTGAACTTCGACGCCGACTTCTAAAGGGGGGTCGGGAATCAGACAAGCTGGCCAGGCGCTTCTTCGCAAGGAAATGATCCTTCCTGCGTACCAACACAAACACGTCCAGAGGCAAAGCGCAAAGCTCTAAGATGCACACAACGGAATGTTGATTGCTAGCCTCCCGATTGTGATCGGCATATCTGCGACTTCTTGATTCATGTTCTCCTTTCGGTAGTCAACAATGTCTTTGTTTGAGATGACACAGCTATTAACCATTTGTTCGCTTAAAAAGTTAAGCTGAAGAAGATTCCTCTTTTATTACTTCACAGCTCGCCCGTCCCTTTTCGGTTGGTTGCTCTTTTACTTACTAGTAGTAGAGTTAGCAGAAAGGAGCGCATATGAACGGTCCTTGCCTGTTCTGCAGAGCGTGCCAAACATGGGATCCCAATCCTAGGCAGTGACTCTGAAGAACCTGAACACAGCACTCCAAAACCATTGCATGTAAGACTACCTCCACTATAATCAGCACTGTGGTGGAAGGCGGTCCCACATCCAGCGTTGAGTACCTGACAACCTTGGTACTTGCCCACACAGGTCAAAGATTGGGTGAGTGGCGACCTAGTCAGCCAACCTGTTGCTCGGCCTCTTGAGATAAGTCACGATGGGATGCACGCCGGCTGTACTCAGGGCATCATCAACTGGTGGGTAGCGCCAAACATCTCCAATGAGCTTTGGCATTTTGCCGGTAATTCGGCAAGCCACCTTGTGATAAAAGCCTCCCAATATGTGAAGCATGGTGGAAGTGAGGGTCCACATCTCAGACCCATAAAACAGCACCGTCTGGACCACAGCCTTGCAGCAATCGGGACGAACAGTGGAAAGCACTATGCTCGGCCTCCCTGGTGACTGAGGACTCTGCCCATGGAAATCACAGCAAGCCGCAACTAATCTTCGGAGTGTCCAAGGAGCATGACCCAACCTGCTCCTGGATTTTGTTGCTAGCTAGTGCTTCATTTTACTCCCAAAGCTTTCGAACTGCTTCGCATGGACTAACCAACCAGCCAACCACAAAATCCCTTCAGAAATCTGAGAGCTGCAAAATAAATAGTCTCTCTAGCTGGCTAGTAAATATCCAATGCTGCCGCGTTTCGATTCGATTCTTCATGCCATCCACCCTGTAAGCAAATAAACTCAGGAAATCCATATCTTTGAAAAAGCAGCTCTGCTGGGTTGACTACGTCGGTGCCGATCTTTTCAATTCAACAAGGAACGCTTTGACAAGCAGAAGGCAAACGTAGCGATTTCCAGCCCTTGTTGCCCGCTCCTTGGTTTCATCGACTACACGCACATCCCACTACACGGAATTGTCTAAATAGGTCACCATGCAGAAGATTATCCTTGCTTCCCTCCTCAGCGCTGCGGCTGCTTTCGCCCCATCCACATCCAGTGGTAAGATCGGTTGTTCGTGGAAAGTGTTGGGTGGCGGATGCAGTTCGGCTTATGCTAACGCCATGTTTGTTTTCTTCTGATGTCTACAGGAAAGGCCGTCACAGCTCTAAATGCCGAGAAGAGCCCTGCCATTCCCTTCCTTCCATACCCCGAAAACCTGAAGGGATATGTTGGAGATGACGTTGCCTTTGATCCTCTTCGCATTTCTGACTACTTCCCCATGGACTACCTTCGCGAGTCTGAATTGAAGCACGGACGTATCTGTCAGATGGCCGTCGTTGGATTCATCACTGTTGATCTTGGTTTCGTTGTCCACCCACTTGGACAAGGCCTCACCTCGGCCACCGCACACGACACTATGGTCGAGAATGGTGTCATGGGAAATGCTCTTGTTTTCATTGGATTCCTTGAGCTTGTGTCTTACATTGCTGTCTCCGAAATGCTTCAAGGGTCTGGACGTGAACCAGGTGACTTCGGTTTCGGAAACAAATTCCTTGAGGGTATGTCCGAAGATGAAGTCAAGACCATGAAATACAAGGAACTCGCCAACGGGCGTTTGGCTATGATGGCTTTCGGCGGTATGGTCACCCAATCTGTCCTTTACGACAAGGGATTCCCATACTTCTAAGCTGCTGCTACATCATTGTGACAGTGGCAATAATTAGCCCTTTGCTTTGAGTAAATCGAGTGTAATTACGCTAACATTTTAGAACATTATTTGCTCAGACACGACGAGAGCTAGCTCATGTCTTGATCGTTGGCTAATACCGGTTTGTAGTTGTTCTCTCCGCATGCTTACCTGATACTCTCTGCACATGCTGCTGCAGCCACCATTGTCCTTAGCATAGTACGTTTGTCCGTCTGCGACAGTACAGAACTCCTTCAAATCACGTTGGCTGGCCTTTGCCTGCTATTTGGTTGCATGATTTTGGCCTGTTTGCTACCCCCAAAAAGTGGTCCGGTACGTATCACCCAATAGTCTCTATCCGTTGTCATCCATCGCAACAACCATCCTGATAAATTACTTTGCTACATACATTATGGAACAAGTACAAAACAATTGACGTAGCTAGCTCTAAGCCATTCTAACGTAGCGATGAGGCCTTTATTCTATGCACTACGCAAACGGCGCGTCTACATACATCCGAACTAGCCGAGCCGAGGACCCACTGGGGATTCTACCTAGAAGAATTGCTTTAAACATATGGGAAAGGTCCTTGGGTCAAAACAGCTTGTGTCACCATTCCACTGAAGGCGATCATTGCAAGTCGTCCATTGGTGAGTTCTTTCAATTTCATTTCATCAACTTCTTCCTTGGACTTTCCAAGCAAGAAACCAGGGGGGTCAAGGTTGAAGTCACCTGGTTCACGTCCGGATCCACCAAGCATCTGCATGATAGCAATTCCATCAATGATTTCAAGCAAACCGAACCAGAGAAGCATCTGAGCCATAGCTCCTTGCTTCACAAGCGCATCGTGGGCAGTGACAGAGGTGAGTCCTTCGTATGCCTCTGGGGTGGGGACCACTCTAAGACCACAGTCTACAGCAGCAAAACCGACAACGGCCATCATGCAAATACGACCATGCTTAAGCTCGGCTTCACGGAGGAAGTCCATGGGGACGAAGTCCGAGAAGCGGAAGGGGTCGAAACCAACATCACCGACGTATCCCTCAAGATTGGGAGGGTACTCCAGGAATGGAAGGGCGGGGCTGGCCTTGTAGGTGGCAACAGGCTCAGCCTCCTCAGCTGGAGCTTCCTCGGCAACATCTGCACGAAGGACAGAAACCTGCCTGGCTGAAATCGGAATAGAATTCAAAATACACAAAACCGGGTAAGTGAGAATCACTCAATGAATGCAAAGCGGATCTCTACGTTTTGTTCGAATAACGTACCGTTGGGTTGAGCGGGGGCAAAGGCAGCAGCCGATGCGAGGAAAGAGGTGAGGATCAGTTTGTTCATCATGGTGACAGAGTATAAGTTTAATTAGCTCTACTTTTGTACAACCATCAGCATTCCTTGGAGCGCTCCTGTTGTTGCCGCTCCCTTGGTGCGAAGGTACCACACAGTTGAAGGCAAAAGATTTGCGTTCATTGCAGTCCAGTCACTAATGACGCGTGAAAGAAGCCGGTATACAAGCCGAAAAGCTGTCAAAACAAATAATAGACTAGTAACCTCCCATGCCTTCCGGTACAGCCGTACCGTACCATGCCTTCCCTTCATATCACAAACATCTAGCTAGACTAGCCTACCGGTACGGAGCTCAGATGGTACCTGGTAGAGGGATTCATACCATTGTTTGCATGGATATCTTCTTCCTGATTCTTGGGTGCCAAGGGCTTTGGAGTCCGCATTGAGCTGCAAGATTGGTAGAGGAACGGTCTTCGGTGTGAGCATCGTACGGTATAAATGTTGTAGTGCAAATCATTTAGGTTTGCAAACAAACAAAAAATGCAGTAATGGTCCACCTCCTGTCATAGTTGGCATCAGTGGCTGGTTACCACCATGGCAAATACATGTAGCTGCCGGTATCTGCATCGAAAGGCAGATGTCACAAGTCACCAAAAGGAAAGCAAGTACTGGTCTCGCATGGGCTGGCATGTCCCCCGTTCCAGAAGGGGCTGCTACATTGCACCCAAGCGTGCTATGTCTAACTATACTACTTCAGCTTTAGCTGTCGTGAGCACGGCCATGAACGGTACGGCATGGAACCGATGCAAGCACTCGGTAGCACTACCGGTACCGGTACGAGTAGTTGGACGGCGACTATCGAAAGAATTGCAATATCACAGTAGAAAGACAACCGAAATCTCTTCTCAAAGCTCTCGTGAGATTAATTTGTCCAACAACCGTTCAGGGAAGCTTGCCAGGATCTCCTCTAATACAATCTGGACGATAGCTGATTGTAGAATTTCCTTCATTCTGAAACTCGCGATTTCTGCCACGATCTCGATACGCAGACGACGACACACTCCCTTATCCGAAACTGAATTTTTCTTTAGAAACCTTGCTTACACGTTCGCTATATCACATACAGACATTGTAGAAGGTCTATACCTGCGCCTATGGATTGACGTTCTGATTGACGGATGATGGAACTGCATGATTACTCGGCGTGACCTTCCAATTGGAAACCATCCTTCTTTTTCCGCTTGCTAGCCTCCGATTCTTCGCTTTCATATGCAGAAAACAAAACATATCCCAGAGCCAAAAGTGGTGACAAAGCAAATAGAATCTGGATGGAGAGAAAAACAGTGTTGAGACCCAGGAGAAGAAAATGGAATTTCTGGAAGCGACTCGATCAATACCCAGCAGTATCAACTCACTTTTGCACCAGCAACTGCATATTGGGCAGGTGTCCATTCCTCTGCTTCTGCCATTTTGGTGGTGCCTTGGTTAAACGAGAGAAGAAGCAGGAGTTACAGAGTTTTGTGTAGGAGGTTTGTGGTCGAAGAAGAGTTGAAGAGTTGGTGATGGCTCTGGGTGTCGTTGTTGTGTGGTTGTCGCGGATGCCAGGGTTGAGAACTTGTGAGCGAACGCTGACGGAAACATTTCCCGAACCATGAACTCATGCAACTCTGCTTGGTTGAGCGAAGGAATTTTATTTTAACTCGTCATCACAATCAAAACCACAACCATGGCGGACTATTCTTCATTGGACGGAGAACGCGGCGATGGCCTTCTCTCTGTGCCATCGGGGGACTCCTCGACTTCCTCCAAATCGAGACTTAGGTTACCGCGCATGGGCAGAGGACCTTCGGGGGCATTATCTCAGCCGCTCAACGCGTCGACAGTCGAGGATGATGTCGATTCGTCGGATCCTTATTACGTCTTTCAAAGTGATCTGTGCAATAAATTGGAGCTGGTCGATGAGGCATTAGCAGAGTTTCTGAGAGTAGTTCATCAAACTGTAAGAGTTCTATTGGAAGTGACATGTTGGTTGGGTGATGTTGCTCACTTTTTATGATTCTTCTCTGCACGACTTACTTCGTGGTTGGTTGGTTGATGCTTTATCGATGTTTCTTTTTGATGGATGAAAGGACACTGCTGTCAACACTCACGAACTCAAAGAAGCCAAGAAACATCTGAAACGAGCTATCAAAAATGCGGAACCATTGCTGGGGGATGTTCAAGCAACAATCCAATTGGTGGAGAAGGATCGCGAGAAATTTCATATCGACAACACGGAGCTCTATGACAGAAAAGCTTTGGTCAATACTAGCATGGAACGATTAAACTTGGCAAGGCAAGAAATGAACTCGGAGGAAGTCAAACGAAAACTAGTGGTCGACAATCGAGCCAAAACCCTCCGAAGAACCAACAACAACAATAGCAATGCGGCGGAAAATGGCACTGCGCAGCAGCAAGCCAATGCCGAATTCATTGCAGATTCTCATGCACGGGCTTCCATGTTGATAATGCAGCAAGACGAAGCACTGGATGATCTTGATTCAGCTGTCGTTAGAGTGGGACACATGGCCGAGACGATCCATGAAGAAATTGGGACACAAAATAAAATGCTAGAAGACATGGATGCGGATCTTGCCAATGCCGAAGAACAATTGGGGATGGTCATGGGCAAGTTGGCAAAGTTGCTCAAAACCAAAAACAAGTGTCAGCTAGGAACCATCCTCTGCCTGCTGGCCATTGTTATTGTGCTCTTCCTTCTTGTCCTCTACACGTAATCACGAAGATCATCAACAACAACAACCAACCTTGGCCACAGGGGATCAGTGCGTCTTCCAGCGCGGGAACACAAAAAATCAACAACACTCTAGTCCACCGACGAGCCCAATTTTTTCTACGGTAGCAAGATGCGTCTGCAGGAATTCTCCCACATTACGCAACAATGCTGGAGGAAAGAAATCAGGCGGCCGCCAAAGAGCATTCAAAAGGAGTTGCATCAATGACCACTGTCGTCCGCCCCCTTCTTCAGTTCTCTCTCCAGGTCTCCCTTTATTGCTAACTACTAGAGCTTGTCAAAATATTCAAATCCTGTTTTCGCGTTTCTTCACAGTATCCTTTCCCCTTATACTGGCTCTAGCTAGCTACACTAGTATTAAGCCAAAATTTTGGGTCAAATTCCAGACGTCTGGTCAAGCGGCTGCCCCGGCAGAAACCTCGTCATCCTTCGCTCTTTAGGTCTCCTTCACCAGCTGGGAGAATTCATCCTCCTGTCCTGTTGGTGTTCCAATATTCCAATACTTCGATATAGCTCAGGTACGGTAGCCGAAACTGTGACCAGCAACTGTAGAAACATGTATGGGAGATACTGGTATCTGGTTTTCTCTGGACACCCTCCTGTTTGCTTGGGTGCTGACGGTCAAGAGGGAGCTTTAGCGGGTGCGGAGCTCTTGGCATTGGAGTGTTGCGTGGAGGCAAAGCGTGGAAATATTCACTTACAGTCAACTCGCTCTAATATTACTTGGGGGGGATTTCGGACTTCGGGTATATAATAGAGAGAAGTAATATTAGGCTTTTCAAGGGCCGGTTCCACTAGTAAAGTACGAATGGATAGAGCCGAGCCGTACGGCGCGTTCATGTTGGTCTAAGTCGGATTGGAGGGATTGGTATTGGTTTGCTTGCACTTGTTTTGTTGCTGAGAGAATTGTTTTTGTCTCCTCTCTGCCATTCTGCGCAATCTCGCGAAAACACCATGAAAAACCCCACGTACGAAGATTTGCGCGGACTGGCAGAGAATCGGACAGGCAAGGAGAGGTGCGGGGCTCCGGTTGGCCTCTTATTGGCACCTCATCGGCATGCATTGGCATTTACATGTATGTCTCTGTCGAGTTGGATGGTTTGCGATGGATTGCGAGCGATTGTTTTGCTGCTACGAGATTTGGGAGGGTATCGTCATTCACGGATATGCGGGACTGGGGGGGGATCCGAAGAATCAGGTAATATAACAGCGAGAAGTAATATTAAATAAGTAATATTAGCGCGAGTAGACTGTAGCAAAAGAGACGGTACTCAAAGACCACAAGCATAACGGTCTAATCGATTTGAAATCGAGCCCCCGAGAACAGTCTCACATTTTGAAGCTGGAGACGATGGTCGACACCACAAAAGCAGCTGAAACAAAGTTTGTGTTTGCGGTGGAACATCCTCTGTTGCTCTCCCCTTCTCTATCAGTAGGGAGAAGCCTCGTAACTGCAGCAGCGACGTCGGCGTCGAAAGGAAGTCCCCATTATTCGTTGTCTCACCCCAAATCAGCTTTCACACCGGTGAACATGTCTCAAGGCAGCCCGACAATGATGGCCTCTCCTCCATTTTCCACCCGAGCGTCTACGAGCATGCACACTTCCAGAGAAGTGGGCAACAAGTCCTCTGAAAAGACACCGCGAGGAAATCATTCCTTTAGTTTGATGCTGACTCCGTCACGCACAATTACAGAGTCACTCACATCCATGGTGGCCTCGACTGCCCACAAGCTGGAAGAAGTATGGGATGAAGTTGGCTACAGCCCCGAGGAACGAACATCGCAGCTTTCAGATCTTTTGGTCCAATTCAGAGGTCTCTGCGAGGCCAAGCTGGCCGAAGAACAAGGCGTGGCAGAAACCTTTCGTCAAACAATCATGGAAGCCAAAGCTGAAATCACGTCCACCGCCAAGGCGATGAATGTTCACATTAGTGACGACCTTCTTGCAGACCATGAGGCACGTCGTGGTGGCAAGGCAACTCTAACAGACGAGCTCGCTGTACTCGAGGCGACTTTGGAAGGATTGAAAGAGTCAGCAGCTACCGCCAAACTTGACTTGGAGGAATGCAGAGACTTTCTCTTGAAGGCATACACCATGCTTGGATTGACTTTGGAGGACCGATGGCAAGATGTCGATTCTGACTTGACAATTGAACGACGAAATCAGTTTCACCACAAAGTGGACGAGATGAAAGAAGAAATCGCAACACGATCCTCGGCTATCATTCAGCTCCTTCGGGACTGTCAACATCTCATGAAGGAATTGCAAATTTACGGAGATGAATCCGGATCTAAGCTTGATCGTCAAATTACCGGGAGTCTTGAAAGACAAGAAGATGGTAGCTTTGTCATGACATCCAACTTCCAGACCGATACCTGCATCGGCATCAATGCAAGCGCTCTGGAGGCTCTCACCGAACGCGTCGCCGTGCTGAACGCAGAGAAACAAAAACGTACTTCCAAGCTAGAACACATGGGAGCCCAAATCATGACCCTCTGGGAAAAGCTGCGCATTTCGGAGGAGGAACAAAGAGCCTTCTCCGAAACCATTCAAGGATTGGGGCTCGACACTATCGAAAAGGGTGAGACAGAGCTTCAGAGGCTTGTTTCTCTCAAATCAAAGATGCTAGGAGACCTCATATTGGAAGCTCGAGAAACCATTATTGAACTCTGGGACGATATGAATGCAACAGAAGACTTTCGAAAGGCATTCACTCCCTTCAGTGCTGCCAATGAAGAAGACACTACCGAGGACCTGCTCGAGGCTCACGAAAAGTACATCGACAACCTACGAGCTCAGCTTGATGAAATGAAGCCAATTTTGCGCATCATAGAGAGGCGAGATGTTATTCTCCGTGAGCGGAAGCAATACCAAGAGTTGCAGCAAGATTCTGACCGACTCAAGCAACGGGGAGCGGCGTTGACCAAGCAGCTAATGGAAGAAGAAAAGATGGCACGACGAATCAAGCGGGATTTGCCGAAGCTGACAAGCATGCTAGAGGAAAAGTTGTTTGAATGGAAGGAACAACATGGCGAAGACTTCCAACTCCACGGGGAGAATTACTTTGACATTATGGAACGCCGGGAACTCGAGTGGGAAGAGTTCAAGAACTCGTTGGTCATGCAGAAAAAGAAGAAGCAAACGGAGCTAAGACCCATTGGACGAAAGGCGCCCACCAAGAAGACCTCCTCCAGTCGTCCTTTTGGAGATGCGATGAACAGGGAGAACCGTAGTTCCAGCAATCTTCGCGGTCGAGACGACGGAGCACGAAAACCAAAATCTCAAGCAGGCAGTGGTAGAAGCACCTCCCGACTCCGTGCAGGATATCGCTAACTGCACAATTACCACCAAAAGACGCGTAGCTTTTGATTCGTAGCACTACTGTTGGCGTGTCTTGTAGGAAAGGACAGGCTAACGATTAACTTGTTTTCTATAATACATTGGAAGTTTGTCAACGAGGAGTCTACCAAGTACCAGTCGGTTCTAGTAGCTAGAAACAATGTAGTTGCATATACGTTAGGCCAAGTAGCCAGTCTACTCGTTCCTGGAACCGCGAGCAAGAGTGACGAGTCGAGTAATAACTTACTCAGTAATCGAGTTCCAGTGCGAGTTTATTGATCGAAGCATTACTCCGGCTTCAGTTTGGGCTGATTGTACGATGGCTGTAGGACTCTACTAGTGCCAGCACTGACACTTAGTCCAGATGTTTGGGCGATACTGTACGATGTACCGGTAGGTAGGTTCACAGGTATTTCTACGTCCTTGACATGGGAAAGGCAGGTAAAACAAAGGCAGAGATACAAAACCGTGCAAAGTTCCTACCAGGTACCACTGGGCCAGCTATCATAGCCACACCGAAGTGATGCAACCATGTGCAGTGACAGCAGCCTGGGAGCAGGGTGGCTGCAGCAGCTGCGCAGCTACTTTGCAAATGCACAAAACTATGACATATCTGGACGAGTTTGTAGTTCGTAAGCTACTGTGCTAGGTACCGTATGTTGACGCTAAAGAATCAAACTGGTAGGTAATAGCGTGGATTATCTACCTGACGTCACTCTTCAAGCAAAAAGGGGCCGATCCATTCCAATCTTAGTAGCTATTAATAGTTGTGATAAGCATCGTGGTGTGCTTACTTGTTGAAGAGTCCGGGGTAGGTCTTCTTGTAGGCTCCAAAGTTGGGGGCATTGATATCAAGACGGGTGACAGGGCTCTTCCTTTCAAGAGTCAGACGCTTGATAGGAGCGAAGTTCGAGTTCATTTGGGTGCGGGCATTCTTGTATCGAGCAATGCGAGCAGCCTCGGCCTTAGCGCCTGGGGAACCAGTTTCCCACTGCTCAGTGGGGTCAGTGACCAGCTCTTGGTCCATGGCGTTGGCAGGAAGACCAGAGAAGGCAGCTCCGACAACGGAAGCAGCAGCCACTGAAAGGAAGGCCTTTCGGGACTGTTCAGCCTCGGCGTTCAAGCATACCGAGGATGATCGGGGGACGGCCGAAGGGGCGAACGCCGAAACGGCGGCAAGAGCGGAGAGAAGAAGCACAATAACCTTCATGTTGTCAAGTCTATTCTGGATGATAATGAATAATCGCAATGCATGGAGAGCACTTGCTTTTCGAAGGACCCAACGTGATGAAAGCTCAGGTGCTGTTTACGTGCTCTTGATTGGATGATGATCGAAGTGTCAATTCACGATCTTTGCTCCCTCGCGATCTTTTCCTTCAATTTGATCAGAATACACGTACTTTAACTCTATAAATGGATTTGATCATTTGACTAGCTAACGCTATATAAATGTTTCTACTACTATTTTTCTACAGTATACAATATTATTGCAAAAGATCCAAATGCCTCCATCGCGATTGGTGGCCTCGTGGCCTGAACACCGGTACTGGACTATTCTGCACGTAGTGGTAGTAGCTTCGCTCTTGGCCATTGATTTAATCCTGGGCGTGAACCATGGCAACAGAAGAGGCAAGCAGCGTCCCTTCAGAAGCGTCAAACGAGGGAGCCGAATCAAAGTCGGAAGGGGAGATGGATGAAAAGGCAGCTGAAGAAGAGAGTCTGAGATTGAAGACCCTGGGCAACAACGAGCTGGTGGCCGGTCACTTCCTCCAGGCCATTAAGTTTTATTCTGAGGCGCTCGATTACACTCCTACCAATGCCATTGTCTTGTCGAACCGTGCCCAGGCGTATCTGAAGGTAGAAAACTATGGGTTAGCACAATCTGACGCCACTGCCGCCATAGAATCAGATCCAACCTATGCAAAAGGATTCTACCGACGGGCATCTGCCCACTATGCACTCAACAAGTTTAAACTGGCTCGAAAGGACTTCAAGCAAGTGTGCAAGCTCAAACCCAAGGATCGTGATGCCAGGGCCAAACTGGCCGAGTGTGAAAAGGCAGTGCGAGAAGCGGCCTTTGCCGATGCCATTGTGTCCGAGCAAACGGTGCCCCTTAGCTCGTCTTTTAACCCTGAGGACATTGCCATTGACAGCAGCCAGTACTTCGGACCACACCCTGGACTCGAAGGCGTGCTCACCAATATGGAAGAAGAGGAAGCATTATTTGCACCAGGAAAGCTCCCCAGGAAATTCTGTATGGTAGGTGCCATGGCAGGGGATTTGCCCAACAAATTTCCATTTTTGTTGTGATTCGACTCTGTACTCACCCATTCTTATGATATTGCATGCCCCTGCCCAAAGGATGCCCTGGAACAATTCAAGTCACAGAAGCTTATTCACAAAAGATATGTTGCCCGCCTTTTGATTTCATGCGCCAAATACTTTGAAGAACTTTCTAGTCTCATGCAGATTCCAATACCTGAGGAGGCTCCCGAACACGATCCTTCCGCCAAGCCACGGTTAACGGTGTGTGGAGATACCCACGGTCAATTCTACGATGTCATGAACATTTTTGAAATCAATGGCCATCCTAGTGCCTCCAATCCATACCTTTTCAACGGCGACTTTGTCGACAGAGGCAGCTTCTCTGTCGAAGTGATTCTCGCTTTCCTCCTCTTTAAGATCCATGACCCAACATGCATCTATCTGTCTCGGGGCAACCACGAAACCAAGAATATGAACCGTATCTACGGTTTTGAGGGAGAAGTTCGTGCGAAATATGACGACAAAATTTTTGATCTGTTTTTGGAAGTCTTTGGTCACCTCCCGCTGGCGGCCACTGTGGGAGGTAAGGTGTTTGTCACACATGGAGGGTTGTCAACTAGGGAAGATGTTATGCTGGAAGATATCAAGAAAATCAAGCGTGGAATGGAACCTCCTGAATCTGGTTTGATGAGCGATTTGTTGTGGAGTGACCCACAGCCCTTCCCAGGGAAATCGCCGTCAAAGGTAAGCATCACACAACCCTGTACTGTACAAACGAAAGGAGTTCATGCTGAGTTTTCTAAAGAAGCTCTGTTTGTATTGCCGGGTCTTCAGCGAGGTGTTGGCTTCTCGTTTGGACCAGATATTACCGAGGCTTTCTTAAAACGCAACAATCTCTCTTTGTTGGTGCGGTCACATGAAGTCAAAGAAGAGGGATACCTGGTGGAGCACGGAGGAAAGACCATCACTGTCTTCTCGGCCCCGAACTACTGCGATACAATGGGAAACAAGGGAGCATTCATTCACTTTGATGAGAGCTTAGAACCAAAGTTCACAAAGTATGACGCCGTCCCTCATCCACCTGTCAGGCCTATGGCTTATGCGGCAGGCCTTGGTGGCCTCATGTAGTGCGGTATGAGTGGCCATAGAGCAGGATCGTGTCCCTCCTATTGGGTATTTTGCAGAAATCACACCTTGCTGGCACCCGCAACAGTGGCGTGACCAGACTAGTAATGATCTTAGCTACCAAAGTATTCCTTCTCAGACTGACGCAAAAAGCCGCAGTTTGCTAGCTAGGATTTTTTTAGGGCCTGTTCTGTGTATCACTTGGAGTATGGCCCTCGGTGAGTGACTCAGTCCTCCTCGGCAAAGCCACCGTGCGACGCAGAAACCAGTGGGCCTCCCGAGTGAGCATCACTGCCTGCTTCTATCTTAGCACTGCCAGTGGGCGTCAAAACATCCTTGTCGAGGCTCTGGAAAGACCACAGCCGAAGGAAACCTTCTTTGCTAGTGTACCTCAGCTGCCTACTTGTCCGATTTTTCCTTCTGTCCAGCGTCCTCTGCTTCGTCTTCCGACGGCTCCCAGTCTCGATCACCGCCACTCTCGTACACATCCTTTATTGCCTCATCGAAATCATCCCTCGTCACTACGCAGTCCAACATGGAATCAGGAGGCCTGTCGTTGTCAATCACCGCGGTAGAGTACTCTCCAACTACTCTCTCAAGAGCGTGACTAGCCGCTGCACGGGCAACCCCCGCTAACGATGCACCGCTCATGCCATTTGTATATTCTGCAATGTCCGACAAAAAAGATTCGTACGAAAGCACATCCTCTCCACCGTTTCTCTCCAAGTATCTCGCGGCAGCTGTATTCGGGGGTGGATCAGACACTAGCAGGCGTCCAGCGGCATGCATACTTTTTGTGTGAACTTTCAATATGCTGATGCGCTGTTCGTTGCTTCGGGGCAATGGAACCTCGATTTGTACTTCAAATCTTCCCGGTCTCAGAAGTGCTTCGAATGAAAGAGGGGCAAGCTTCAGCCTATAGTTCCACCGCGATTACAAATGTTCACAGCGGGCGATGAAAACAACGTACCAGGGTCTATCAGGCTTCTCTTGTTAGTCAAGCCAATACATAGTGTTGGTACAATGGGTGGGTCAACCCCATCAAGACATGCCAGGAACTGATTTACAAGTGAATCACGAGCAACTCCTGCATCTCCCTGGCTGCCACCTCGCCCCCCACGAGCTCTGGCGACTACCCGAAAGCGGAACAATAGTTAGCATCAACGCAGAGAAACCGAGCACTCGGAGAACCAACCGCACTTAATACTCAACTGGCATCGAACTCATCAAGAATAATGACATGAAGTGCGTTCCTGATCAATGAAGCTGTGCATGAGAAGCGGAGGTTCACAGAATAGGAGAACTGTATGGACGAAACCTAGCAGATCAAACGTACGCTGCAATCGAGTCCCCACCGTCAGGCTCACCCAGCCGGAATGTGTCGTAGATATCAGGGGGGTTATTGAAAATCTCGCGAAGATTCTGAAGTAGAATTGCCATGCGGTGAGACCCTTGCAAAATTGATTGTTGCTTTCACTTGAGCGACGTAAAAACTAGTACCTTTTCACTGGATCCAACGAATTTGTCCATCACCTCCGGGCCCGCCACAACGGTGATAGGGCGTGCCGGGGAGAATAGTTGGCCAATCTGCCTTGCAATGAGAGTCTTTCCACATCCCGGGCGGCCATATAGAAGCAATCCTGTTTGACAATGAACGGAGAGAAAAAGTGTTAGCACAGCCAATAAATAACTTTCTGCAACGATCATTCACAAACTTGGAGCCCAGTTCTGTATGCCTACCTCGCACAGGGTGAATGCCTAGTTCCTTCAAAAGCTTTGGTGGTGCAGCCAAGGGCGTGAAAACTCGTCTTTTGACTTGAGATAGCACCTCGTCCAGTCCACCAATGCCGAGCCGATCTCCTGTAAACGCATCACCAGCTCCTGCCCGTGCAACTAGCTCGGATATCCTCGTCAAAGCCGCCGAGTCTTCGTCAGTCCCAACGAGGCCTAGACCTGCGCTGGAAACTCGAGTCCCTGACGGCTGACTATTGTCGTTATCTTCTCCAGCAAACTTTTCCATTTCAGCCTTATCTTCTGCCACTGACTGTGGGTCCAGCCGTCGATCAGTGTTTTGCAGGAACAAGTCTGGTTTCCCATTTCGCCCTGCTCTCCTGGAGAGAGCTGATCTAGCCACATTGTCCCCGACTGCATTTGTACTTGCAGTTGCAGCCTCCCATCTCTGTCTTTCCTCCGCCACATTTCTCCGTTTTGCGGCATCAGTTGCTCCAAGTTCATACTTTTTCCTCTGGGAAGTGTCCTCCAAGGGCAGCCCAGCCCGTTTCACCATTCTCTGGTATCCATAAAGACAGTGATGGGATTGCGAAAATGAAGGAATCGAACCAAACGGTAGCATCAGATGAGGCCACTCGGAGTCCTAGAGCACTGCACTGTGATACCGTACATGCACTGAGACGAGCCTTACCTTTGCTTTTTTCACCAATTCTGGATCTTGAGCCTCTCGTTCTATTTGCCTGACAAGGTTGTAAACACTGGTTTGTGTAGTCCTCGCTCCATTGATGATCCATTTGTCCAATACTTGAGTCAGATTATCCAAGAGTCCATTGACGTAAATGGCGTTCTATAGTAGAGCAACATCAGTTTAGTGAGAAAAGTGAGCAAGTGAACCACAGTACCAGGAAACGGGAAGGGAAAAAGAGAAAAAAGTAGCGAAGTCACCAGACCAACCTTTTCAGCATTCTGAGTATCATTGGATAAGCCATTGGCTATGTCAGTACCAGTCTCTGATGGTAACGATTGCGATAACAGTTCCCACGATCTCTTGCAGCCATCATCCATGCAGCGTGGTTGCAGGGAGAATTGGCGGTAACATCGTCTTTCGGGTTGAAAAGTCAGCCCTGGGCACAACCAGTGACATGAGAGAACCCAATACAGAGAGAAAGAACAGACGTTTCTCAGCAACGATATCCTCATCTTGCTCAAATACTCCTTGTGGGCGCTGCCTTCCAATGAATGAATGAGGAATGAGACCGTTGCCCTCGGGAATGGCGGCATGTGAGGGTGATGGGCGATGGGCGGTCGTTGGTTCGCAAACAAACGCACTGAGAGAATAGTCCTGAACCCTACCGTACCGGCTAAAGGTCCTTAACTGTCAGAAAGGTATTTTCGTATGACGGACAGACGACTCGGGATCCACAATCACGGTTCGTGATTGGGGATGTGTGACTCAAATCAGATGGTTATCCGATCATCATCAGATGGCCAGGTGTACGAGGAACGAGGACAATGGTCGTCTAGATGATGCAACTACAAAGGTTAGGAAGTTAGGTCGAAGAGATGAATGCAAGGAGCGACGGGATGGAGCAAATGAATGGACGGATGAAGGTCCATAGGTTTAGTAAAGTGGGAAAGCCCTCCAGGGCCAACCATGCACTTCAGGAAGATAGATCGACGAGATCTATCTGTAGATGAAACTGCGAGAAGCAGAGGATCGAAAGATCCTGGTATATGTATGCATATCGGAGCTCAGTTGTAGAGCTCACAATCTGAACGAGAGAGAAAGAGAAAACGAAACGAATAGCCAGTCTACTAGACAGTAGAGCTGGAAGGATATTGATTAAATTAGAGAAATTGTGCGTTCAAGTTCACACCTTTTCAACACGTTTTAAAACGATAGCTATCAGGAAAGAGTGAGCTTGGATCCAGGTTGTCAAACAGAAGAAAGAAGAATTGAGAAGTAAGTAAAGATGTCTACGGAGGTAGAGGTATCATCGTCGAGCAAGTATCCCATCTTCGATGGGAAAGATGAGAAGTTCAGGTTCTACAAGGTCAAGATGATGGCCCATTTATCGAAGTATGGGTACGTAGAACTGATGAAGACTCTACGGAGATCAACCGGACAACTGGGAAAACCTACAGGTACGGGCAAGTTGTCGGACGACGAAGTAGAAAGATCGAAGTCTCAGAAGAAGAACAGCAAGGCTGCTGGAATACTGCTGGATTCGATCAATGTGGAGACCATCGAAGGGCAAGTCGCCTTCGACCTACTGGCCTCACACCAAACGACTGACCATGCTGCTGGGAAATTCAAGGGCATGTGGGAGTCCATGCTGGACCTCTACGATGCTGAAGACAGTGGTGAGGTAGCAGCTCGACGAACGGAATACTACGCGATAAAGATGGACATCAAGGAAAACCAAAGAAGTTCGAGATTGACTCGACGTGAAACGCAAGAAGCTAGCGAAGGATGGGTCAAGATATCGGACGAAGAGTACATCAAGGACCTTCTCGAGAAGATGCCGAAGAAGGAAGGAGAACTCGGAGTGTACCATGAAGTGAAGAAGAATGTTCTGCGAAGGATCAAGACAACAGGACATGGAATAACGGTAAAGAGTGTGGTGGATGACTTATGCGAAATCTACGATGAGATTAAAGCACGGAACAAGTCGACAGACCACAATGGCGAAACAGCTTTCATGATTGAGGAAAACAATTCAAGGGCAGATGCAGGAACTGTGGAAAGATCGGACACAAGCAACAAGATTGCCCAGACAAGAAAGGCTCGAACGGAAGAAGCTACGGACAAAGGTACCAAGGAAAGTCAAACGGTAAATTCAGCAAGGAACAATGGGAGCAGTAGCGGATTTCAAGGAAAGAAGAAGTTCAGCGGAAAGTGCTTCCACTGTGGAAAGATTGGGCACAGGAAATCGGATTGCCTAAAACTCAAAGCGGAACAGCGAAATGTAGAAGGAGCAAACACAGCACAAGAAACAACGGAAGAGATGGCATTCATGACGATGAGCGAAGAAATATGCATGCCATGCCGAGGAGTAGAGTTGTCAGACGATGAAACAGGAGGAGTAGAGAAGCATCGGAATATGAAGGCAAAGAATGGGACGCTTCTGGGAATTTTGAAAGCGGAGATGACGTGGATGAAGATGGAGAAAGCTTGGAGCAATTAACTTATGAGGCGATGGACGCCCTTAAATCTCTCCGAGAAGAACAACAACGACTGACTAAAGAAGAATCAGTCACATACAACAAGAACCCAGACGTTACCTATCTGTCCTGCGAAACAGAGAGCAGGGCAGATTCCGACAGCGAAACACTCCACGATTTAAAGCAAAACGGCTACAACGAAGAAGTTTCTGAGAAGGAGGAGAAACAACGAACGACAAATTCGCCACAATCTACGAAGACGACAACTACTATAGCTGTTTGAGCGAAGACGACGAAGAAGTAAAAGATGACGAACAGATTCCAAGATGCCCGGAACGTGCTAGAGGAACAGCTGTACCGAGGTTGGAGTCGACACATGATGAAGATCAGCAAACATCCAATCCCATTGAACAACCGACATCCCATGAACCGAGCAACCGAAGGATGGGAATTGGACGATTCACACATAGGTGGTATACAGTGGAGGAGAATCGCGGAAGAAGCATGCGAACTAATCCCCGAAGAAATATGGGAAGGGGCACTCGAGCCCAGAGATGAAGCAACTGGTCGGAAACTTCGAACAGTTCAGAGGTTGCTGAGGATGATGCCATACGAGATACAGAACAACCCCCATCTCGTGGAGCTCCAGGGGAAGTGCTAGGTTGGGCCAGCAGTTTGTTGCTCTTTCGCGATTGGACTCCAGACACGACACAATCGCAGGGGCTATGTTAACGTGCAAGATAAAGCGCGGACCAAACGTCGCCGAAGGAACAGGAAACGCAGGAATTGTTCGGGTTCACGGCATTCAGCATTCCCGAAGTAGAAGTGAAGTATGTAACGGAGATGGTCGCACAGGCTCAATACAATCGGGATTGGAAGGTACACGTGGATATGCCACTGTTGGGAGAAGCGGATTCGCACAACCCATGGCCAGTGATTGTACGGTGGAAGCGCTTGATTCTGGTCAGCGTGCTCGTGAGACAGACAAGCAGACGCATGGGCAACGAGGCAATCAAAACCTGAAGAAGGAAGGATTACCCCAGAGTATGATGCTCGGAGAGGAAGATTTTCAAGTGCGAACTCTATCCTACGGAACTATGGTATCCCAAGGGTCGCAGCCGATCGCATTTACCGTGAACAACAACGTCGCAAAGTCAATGGGCGAGCTGCTGACATATGCTTGTTGGGAGTGGACGACACAGTCCAGACGACTGGTAGCGATCAGAAACGAGCTCATCCCTCAAACTATTCTAGGCACGAGCCACCGCGAACGAAAGTGGGAAGGGCTTTTGATGTTTATGTTGGGTCAGTATACCAAGGACGGACCTGGATGGCAAAAGATCGGGCAAAACTATTGGCAAGTGCGTTTGAACTTTGCAGGAGTGATACCCTACCGATGGTATCACCAGATTCCACGTTACTACAAGGATTGGACGCATCAACTTTTCAGTACCAACGAGATGGACTGCACCGATCGTGATCGAGAACTCCCCCGGCATCGACATGCTACTGAATGCTGGCCTAGTCACACAAGGACAAGTGAGTCACTTTGTGGACGCCAACGTGCAGACAGGAATGCAGGTGATACATCCGTCAGTTACCATACTTCCCACAGCGTCACGTAATGTGGCTCAGCTAAAGCGTGGCAGTCGGAAGGTTCGACAGGCAAGGAAGAAGCGCTGGCAGATGTACAAGGTAATGAAGGAAGCGGATGAGTATGTATTACCATGAGGTCAGGAGAAGGTTTCAGCCGGAGCACATGGATTGCAGACAGTGGCGCATCAACTCATATGGGCAATGTGGACGATGGAATGACTGATGTGGAAGAAATTGATGAAGGAATCAAGGTTGGAAGTGGAGACAAGATCCGAGCAGTAAAGAAAGGCACGATCAAGTTAACGGCAATGCAACGTGAGGCACGACGTATGACTTGACATGTCGGATTACAAGTATGTCCCAACCTGGGTGTATGTTTTTTAGTTTGGTCAAGGCAATCGCAGAAGGGTTGGAGCATCTCGAATAAAGGAACCAAGATTGTCTTGACGCAACGCAACAAACGAATAGTCTTTGATAAAATTAACTCAACAAAAGACGGATATCTTTGCGGCATTGATCTCTTTCCACAGGACATGCCACAAGAGAGCAGTTAGCGTGCACGGATGACACGGCACTGGAAGCGACTGAAGAGACTTCGCCAAAGTGAGCTGCGGATACCCAAATCAAAGCAGTAAGGTGAAGTACTGGAAAATCAATGACCTCCACAAGAAGCTGGGACATGCGAGTGAAGCCGCACTACGCAGGACAGCACATCAGTACGGATGGAAGCTCACAGGGACATTAGAACCATGTTCTCACTGTGGAGCAGGACGAGCAAAACAAGCACCCGTAGCCAAGGAGACTTCAACGACATCAGAGATCCCTGGAGAACGAATTTTTATCGATACCTCGTCTGTGGATGAAGGCACGTCTACCAAGGAGGAAAGTATTGGCTGGCGACATTGATGATGCTCCAGTATGCGATGGAGTAGATCATTCAGACCAAACGCGATGTCATCACTTAAGTCAAGAACTTCATCCGAGTGATGGATCGCAGGCGCACTCCAGTACACTACATCCGGATGTGACGATGCAGGAGAGAACAATGAAGCTGAGTGACGGAATGTTGAAACGCGATTTGAACCATTTTTGAGACGGTTTAAGTTTGAGCTAACTGGACGAGATACCCTCAACAGAACGGCAAGGTAGAACGATGGATTGCAGTAGGCACCGATCGAAATCGGGCCATGTTCCACAGAAGCCGTTTTTGATGAGAAGCAACGACAAGTTTCTCTACGGAGAATGCAGTCATGCACTTCACTGACGTTAGAATGTCTACAGTCAGCATCTCATGAACAATCCATGCTACCGCAGTTCTATGGGGAAGACATTCCAAAATTATCCAAGTTGCGACGATTCGGAGAATTGAATACGTCAAGTTTGTTGGAAAAGATCAAGAGGAAAACTACAAAATCGCGATTACCTATGCTGTATCTTGGAGATGCACGGAATCACAGTGCAGAACACGTACAAGATGTACAATATCGCAACAGAGCACAAGTAGCTCCACACGCGATGTATCTGGATGGACAAGACGTATGCCGAATGAAGGGTATGGGTCTACCCAGCACAGTCAGAAGAACTCACACATATGTGAAAAGAAAACTCCTCAGCGTCCTACTACAGAAATCGGGAATCGAACTCTCATGATCTGCTGCCTTAAAGCCCGCGAAAGACTAACCAAAGCAGCGAGCAATCAACACAGAAACTCAAGAAGATTAGTAAAGTTCTGCGATCCCACAGCCAAACCACATGACCCGTGTCGCGACCAAACTATCACAAGGCAACGCGGGAACTACAAAACCCAGTGCGAGCTACAACCCCAGGCCCTACATGACACTGACAAGCTAGCGCGGTACAACCTCATGACGGGGCTCCCTCATGCAAGAACTTTCGGACGATGCATCGAAGGAGGAGAGAAAATAACAGCTCAGCACGAACAATCCGGAATCAACGCCCAATGACAGAAATGGCAAACTTTTCGACGATTCAAATGACAGAACGTTTTGGGAACTCACATGAAGACTGGATGGAGTTTGGGTACACGGCATCAGAAGTAATTTGACGGAGGACTAGTACAGGCATCCATTGATCAAAAGACTCTCGCATATGACCAAAGAACTCAGGTTCCAGCAAAGTACAAGTATTTGTTCACCAAGCAAGCACGTTCGAGAAGCTTGGGACAACCCGGAACCATTTCAGCGAGAGAAGTGGGGGGAGGCGATCAAAGGCGAGCTAGGCAAGATGGAGAAACTCAAGGTCTGGCGCAAGATCAAGAGATAAAGAATGGAGAAGGGAGACGATGTGTCAAACACAAATGGGTGCTGGAAATAAGCGGAATGGAAGATTCGGAGCTAGATTGGTGGCCTGGGTACAGTCAGGTACCGGAATTGATTTTGACAACATTTACAGTCCGGTGGCTAACGACATCACCTTCGCATCATCTTGATTCTACTACTAAAGAAGATGGGAAGAGCGAAGGCAATTATCTTCGATATTGAGACAGCATTCCTACATGGAGACATGGACGTAGTCAATCTACATGGACTGCCCAAAGGACTAGAACACCAAGACGACGAATGTGTCTACTGGACAAGACCATCTAGGGCGCTTGCCAGAGCGCACGACAGAACTACTTGAAGATTTGCGAGTGTCTTGGAAGACTTAGGATTCGTTACATGCCTAGTGATCCATGCCTCTTCATGCGGAACAAGAATGGGAAGATATGCGTGATTCTATGTTACGTGGATGACAATCTCACCATTGGAGAGAAGACGATATCAAGGAGTGCTTCAAGGGATTAAAATCGAGGCTTGAACATGACATAGAGTACGAAACTCACGGACTACCTGAGCTGTGAGATTCGGATGAATCCCGAAAGGATGCTGCTGGGTGGGACAACCCCACATGATTAAGAAGATTCAAACCAATTCGGAGAGGAGGTACAGAAGCTACCCAAGTAAAGACTGCGGGAACACCTGGGCTCGGAATAGTAAAGACAGACGAACAGAGTGAATGGATCGCTGAAGACAACAGAGCAGATATCGACAGGAGTAGGCATGCTCATTTACCTATCAACATTCAAGGCCAGAAATCTCGAACGCAGTACGAGAGCTAGCTAAGGTCTTGGGATGCGCAAGCCGGCAGCGTACAAGGAAATGCTACGCTGTGTAAAGTACGTGTTGGACCAAGGAACCGTGGACTTTTGATGAGACCAGAGAAGAACGAAGGACCGTGGAATTGGAAGTATTCTCGGATTCGGATTGGCCGGAGACAAGAACAACAAAAGATCAGTCACGTCCATGATGATCTTTCTCGAAGGTGTACTAATTCACTGGAGGTCCAAGCTACAGAAGTTCGTAGCATTGTCGAGTTCCGAAGCTGAGTTCTACGCGTGTGGCGAAGGTACGAGAAGTCCCGTTCACGCGCAGATTCTGAAGTTCCTACAGATCAACGTGGAACTACCTGTGCAAGTGAAGATCGATAACGTAGGTGTCTATCTTTATGTCAGAGAAACAAGACAAGTGCAAGTCGACAAGGCATATGGATACGAGGTGCACTACGTGAACCAAATGCAGCAGGACGGCCTAGTGAGATTGATTTTGTTCGCTCGGAGACAACGTGAGCGACATTGGACCAAAATGTCAACGTCGAGACCTCGACAGACATGCACCAAAACTAACAGGAGACAGGAGCAATTGGTTTGAGTGGGTAAGAAGGTCGCTGCCATCATCGCGAAAACAGGAAGGGTGTCAGAAAGGTATTTTCGTATGACGGACAGACGACTCGGGATCACAATCAGGTTCGTGATTGGGGATGTGTGACTCAAATCAGATGGTTATCCGATCATCATCAGTGGCCAGGTGTACGAGGAACGAGGACAATGGTCGTCTAGATGATGCAACTACAAGGTTAGGAAGTTAGGTCGAAGAGATGAATGCAAGGAGCGAGGGATGGAGCAAATGAATGGAGGATGAAGGTCCATAGGTTTAGTAAAGTGGGAAAGCCCTCCAGGGCCAACCATGCACTCAGGAAGATAGATCGACGAGATCTATCTGTAGATGAAACTGCGAGAGCAGAGGATCGAAAGATCCTGGTATTGTATGCATATCGGAGCTCAGTTGTAGAGCTCAAATCTGAACGAGAGAGAAAGAGAAAACGAAACGAATAGCCAGTCTACTAGACAGTAGAGCTGGAAGGATATTGATTAAATTAGAGAAATTGTGCGTTCAAGTTCACACCTTTTCAACACTTAACCCTACCGGTACTATTTTCGACGGGACCTCCATTCATTCCAAATTCTCGCCTCACTCACAAACCATCCGAAGAGTTGCTCAATGGCAACAAGTCTGGTCCCGTCGTTGCAACAATGCCCTCCGACAAGAGCAACAACAAGCGCAAGAAGAAGGATGTCTCAGACTTCAAGCGCGTGAAAGCCAAAGTTGGGAAACGAGCACTGAAGCCAGCGAATGAGACAGATACAAGCTTCAAGACGTCCCGTGTGGCAGTGTCGGGCAACCAGTTTGGTTCTGAGGAGGATGGATCATTGGCTTCCGGTAGCAGCAATGCACTTCTTTCCAGCAGAGGTCGGTCTCTCGACGACCTCGTGAGCCACTTGCGCCATCCTGCTGCAGCTGTGAGAATCAGTGCTGCGAAAGGGTTGAGAGATGCCATTGCTGTCCATCAAGCGAGTCTGGCAACTATTCGACACCATTTGCCCGTCTTGTTTCCCGTGTGCGCCAAGTGCTGTATCGACGAAGACGGAGAAGTCAGACAGTTGGCTCTCTCCATTCTCAAAGAGATTGTTTCTCGAATGTGCAACAACAATGACACTGAAGATCAAGGCGCTAATGCGTCTCATTTCTTGCATCTCAAGCCATTCATTCCCTTGCTCATGGCACACGTCCTCTCGACTCTCAACAGTCTGGACCGTAGTGTCCAAAAAGACGGTGTCATGATTGTCAGAATGTTGAGTGCCACTATCCATCCTTTGATCACTCCCTACAAGGCTCAAATTCTCTCAGCCTTTGTTTCCATTTTCTCGGACAAGTCGAGACACGTGAGAACAAACCAATTCACAAAAGGAACAGATGGCGGAAAGAAATCGTCGACAACCAATGATTCCATCAAGGACCATGTACTGCAGTCGTTGGTTTTGCTGCTACGGGATGACGAAGATCACGAGAAACACCATCTCTTGTCAAACAACAACAACTCTCGCTGCCAACCAGAATCAGTTCTTGAGGTGAAACAGAATGGCGGCAGCATCACGGCCATGTTTATTCCTGGATACAAAGGGGCAACTCGACCAATGCCATTGTCTAGTCTTCCACACGAACTAACGCCAAGGGCGGTTCACTCTTTGCTCGGTTCGAAAGAGCAACAAACCTCGCCATCCTCCAATCCAACCAGCCAAACCACCTGTGATCTTCTGGGAAGCCTCCGAGATGCCTTTGCCGAGGCGACTCAAGCAGAAAAGGGTCCACTAGATCTTTCAGATGTGCTCTTGATTATGAAAGCGGCACACTTAGTCTACAACTCATCTTCGACGACTTGTCGAACCGATCCATCATTCGTCAAAGCTTGGTCTCAATACACTTCTCTCTTGACCGACATCTGTCCTGTGTCCCCGGCATTGATAGGCAATTCTCCAAAGTTGGTAGCCGATGTAAACCTGGAGTACTGTTCCACCATGTTGGTCACCTACGCGGATAGCATTGGCGTTGTTGACAAGGCCTGCCTTGACAGCATTCTGGCATATTTGTTTCGTGAGCTGAAGAAGTGCCAGCCTTTGGAGGAAGCCTCCACCAAAGAGCAAGCCTTGTTCCGGCCTCTCAATCAAATTCTCTTCATTTCCAAGCGCAAGAACGATGCATGGGCGGAGAACGCCGCTCGTAGACTTGTCAAGGAAGTTGCAAATAACTTCTTGGGTACCGATGGAAAGGGGGAAGTGTCAAAGGACACTGTGGCAAGATCTGTTGTGGCGCGCAAGTGCACCATGCTGATCCACAGTTTTCTGGAACAGTGTGCTTGGTCGATTCGTCAAGACATCGAGGCTGACGGTGTGTTATTGACCCGGCTAGTAAAGGGCGTTGGCAGTTTCCTGGCTTCGTGGGGCAGCGACTATTTGGCGGAGTCAAGTCTGGTGATTTCACTACTGCACCAAATTGTGAGGAGGTTGGATGTAACGAGCGCTAGTATTTCCAAAGAGGAAGCCCGTCTCGTAGAGCATATTCGCTCGGACCTGGTCTTGCTCGTAAAGCAAGAAAAAGGGAAGACATCAATCTTTGAAGCCTATCCTACAGATATGCAACGGAAGATGCTTGGGCTAATAGTGATGCTCAAAGCTCCTCCACAGCCGCTGCTTGATGGACTGGCAAAGATATGTGCACGGTCCTGGAGGAAGAATGACAATGGCATCAGTCCCTTCATTGCATCACTTGCGGCACAATCGATTCACAACATACGGAGAACCTTGTCGATGCAAGCCTACTTGGGCTTCATTACAAGCAGCACTGGTATCTCCGGAAAGCCTTTGAAAAATACCGAGAAAGGCCCCGATGCTATTCTTCGGTTCGACGGCAGCATTGCTTTAGCATGCCAATTCTTGTGTCAGTGTGGCCCAACCAAAGTCCTGCCCATGCTGCAGCCACTTCTTGACGGGTGGCTGCGACTTGCAGAAGACACTGCTCCTACGGTTAACCAAGTATTGCAGGCACGAGCAGCAACATCCGTTCTAGGGTCCTTTGCTGCTAGAATCTCCACGGAAAGTTCGGTTCTGGAAATCGTTCCAGAGTACCACGCTGCAATCGTGACGACAACTTGCGTGATTCTGAGACATCTCTTGTCTCTAATCGAGAACACTAGATCAGAGTCAAGAGACAGCAGTTTGTCAGCGTTCCTGGAGCCGTTTGTTGTGTTATTTCAATACGAAGGAGACTTGTTTGTGAAAGTGTTTTCCAACGCGACCGGAGACATCCAATCAGCAACCATTACATCTCAAACAAGCCTTGTTTCGGCCTTGTTGGTCATGGTGAACGACGATCGTCTGTCGTCGGTTCTCAATGCATCGCCTGACCTGCTTAAAGACGCAAAAGTAATTGAAAAGACTCTGGTGTCGAGCTCCGCTCAGCAAGTCGCTGGAAGACTCCATGCCGCTGTGGAGTTGCGATGTGGCTCCGAATTGAAGCAATGAAGCACTTGATCTGGCCAACAACGAACAAACAACCTTCTTTCAATGCCTGCAGCCCAGGTTTGTTCCTCCCATAATAACAGCATAATAACAGGCCCAGCACCTGGGTAGCGAGTGTAATATGTTGAAACTAGAATACAAGTAGCTGGCTCTAGCTAGCGAGAGGGAGTATGTAAGCCCAAATTCGGAGGGAGAGATAGTACCACGGTAGTCTGGAGAGATAAGTTCTTTTTCAACTTAGGAAGCCACCTAACGGGTACTCGTACCGTAGCAGGTCGAGCTGTAACATCCGTCAAAATCAAATTGGATGTCTATTATTATGTACAGTTGGCAGGTTCTTTTGCGCCGATCTATTGTAGCTCATTTCTGTGTTGCCTTCGCCGTGCTGTAGCCAATTCGATTAGGCCGTAAGGGCATCCTGGTGCTCTTTCAGCTTCTTCTCGTACCAAGGACGGCGAAGCTTGCGAAGAGCACGACATTCTTGGGAGCGGACCCAGGCCTTGGACTCCTTCATTTGAGCTGCCACCAACGTGACAGTTCTAGTTAATCCATCGGTCAATCCATACCTGGCACAGATGACTCTCTTTTCGTCTTCGTTCAGGATCTCGAGCATCTCGTTGAGGTCATCATGAAACAAGCCACGATCCACACGCGTTTCCGGGTTTCCATCATCTGGGATCACTCTGCCTGCATCAATGGTATCTCCTAGAAGGTCCTCACTCTCATGCCCCAGATCTTTGGGGTTGCTTTGGTATTTGGGCATCTCGAGGGAGATGGATCGCTTGGTAAGTCTGAGCATCTTGTTGTATTTTTCAACTGTCATGTCCAGGGCCTCTGCGACCTCTTCATTGGTTGGTGTTCTACCGAGCTCGCTTTCCAGTTGAAACCGTACTTTCCTTACTCGGTTGAGCAGGTTATGTACATGAACAGGCAAGCGGATTGTTCTAGAGTGATAAGCGATGGAACGAAAGACTGCCTGTTGGATCCACCTTTTGATCGCGGAGAAAGAAGGGGCGGCATGTTAGATTCCTTCAATGGCCGATTCGATTCTGTTGTCACTCGTGGTACCGATCCCTTTTTGCTTACCATGATGCATAGGTCGAGAACTTGAATCCTTTGGAAGGTTCAAACTTTTCTGCAGCTCGAGACAGCCCAAGACTACCTTCTTGCACCAAGTCTTGCAAGCTAACGCCGACATTCGAGTATTTTCGCGCAATGCTGACGACCAGCCTCATGTTGGATTGGACCATCCGTTGTTTCGCCTCTTTTGCAGTCATCATCATTTCAATGAATTGGGTGACAGTTCCACGATTGATGGGTTCGAGCTTTGGTTTCTTGCCGTCCACTGTCCCTCCAGCCGCTTTGATTTCACTGTCATCGTAAAAGTTGGCAAGCTTGGTCGGCGGCGGCTTCTTGGCACGACCCCGGCCTCGTCCAGGTCCTGCCGTGTATGCGAGACCATTGCCAACAAACAAGTTGGGATCAGTTTCTTCAAACTGGTTTTCGCTGCCTGCAGGTCGAATCTGCTCGTCTCCCTCTTTGTGGACGAAAAGCGGATCTTCTTGCACAAACCTGTAGATAACAGCGAGGAGTAAGATTTGGACCAAGCAATGAATAGGAAAGGTTAGCAAGTTGGCTCCTGATTCACCAAACTGAGCTTGCCAACTACTACGCGGTAACTTACCCACATGCCTCGGCCCATTCCTGGATGGTAGGTAGCCGCATGAGGTTGGCAGCCAGTCCCTCGTGTACGTGCTCGCACTTCATCATGAACTGAGTCTTCAAACCCAGCGCGTACTCTTCGTCCGAGCTGAGGAGCTCTGTGCGATAATACTTGAAGAGATCTAGATTGCCTCCCTTGGATTGATTTCGCGAGACAGTCTTGGACGCCTTTCCGTCGGCAGATTTCCGAGGTTTGGGAAGCGTCTTGACCACTCGCTTTCTTCGTTTGGGTGCCGGTTCCTCGCTGTCAGCATTGTTGTTGAGACTATTAGTGTTTCGTGCTCCTTTGGTGGCCGCTCCCTTGACGCCTCTGCTCTTTCGTTTGCTGGTTTTAGCGGTTTCTTCCACCGTACTCGGCAGTAGAGCTTCTTGCAACTGTGGATGTGCCGAGTATGGTGCAATCATGTCCACTCGTTCCTTTTGCTGTTGTTGCTGTTTCTCCAACATGTCAATGACTTCCTGTCGTTCACGGAACTTGACCATGGTGTCATAGTTCATTGCCCCAGGAACACTCTTGGGACGTCCCTTGGGTCTCCCTTTGTTGGCTTGAACTGAGGCGGAAATGTTCTCTGGATAGAGAAAGTGTTCGGAGAGTAGTTCGAGTACTTGGGCGTCGACACCGTAGAGAGCGGAATCGACATGGTAATCTTTTCGGGCCTTGAGCGCTTTCCGCCTCTTTGTTTCCGAGGTGGAAGTTCGTGGGCGTACTTGTGTGGCCTCTGTTGGTTTCTCGAGCACTGCAGCCGCCGATTTGCCAGCATACAGTGGTCCTTGTAGCTGTTGCTGTTGTTGTGGTAGTCTCACAACATGGTGGTTGGTTCTGGACAAAAACGCACACGCGGATGGGACCATGGCAGCGGCAAGGAGAGCAACTGCAGCCATCACCCGCCGTCTTGTGCCGACTGAACTCCCTGCCCGGCATCTCTTTCTCCCCTTCATGATGCAGGATGGTGCACCGGCACGGGTACTAGTACTAGTAGTGGTCGATTGGAGGTTCAGCATGGTGATGAGAAAGTGATCAAAGTTGATGGAAATTCCTGATGGAAGGATTGGGAAATCTGGAGGGCTTAGCTATGGCTAGTAGAGCTACTGGTAGTAGAAAGTAGTGGACTCCCTGATCAAAAATAACATCAAGGTGGAGTCGCCAGCACTCCTCGCTATGCCTATCCCAGGTGGAGTTGTCGCAGCCAATAGACAAAAAGGATTTGGGACCTTGAAACATCAATCACAGTAATCTCCATTCTCTGCTTTCCAAGTTGCAGACGGTTCAGTCTGGTGGTGTGACTGATGCAAAGAAGAAAGAAAAGAAAGAAACCGCGGGATACCTTCAACTGCGTCGAATGGGGTATGAGCTCAGCAAGTTGTTTAGGAATGAGGATAAATTAATGCTTAGACTAGCTAAGCAACACCTTCAAACTGACATTCTTCAGCTTTCTTTTACTTTTTAATTTTGTTGCCATTCTCGTCATTGGGCATTGGAAACAATCTAAGAATTCGAAACGGTACCGGTACGATAATAAAAGTAGACTACAGTAGACTATCCCATTGAGAACATGACTTCTCTTGCTCCTGCCCCCCATCGATGTTTTGTAATGGATCTACCAAGCGTAGTGTCGAGACATCAACAAGAACAAAACTGTCATGATGTTCGTTTGATGGGGACTGTCGTGTCCATCAAGGATCTCCCTCCGTACACGGAAGAGGACCCTTCCTTGTCATCCTCATTCTACCAGTATGGCAATGACGAATACACAATGCTGGAACTCGATGATGGAACTGGAAGCATTATCTGCTTAACACCCATGGCGACAATGGAGAGGCTGGTTGCATTGAAAGTCGGAAACATGATTGATTGCATTGGGAAGTGTCTCCGATTAGGTGCTGATACCAAGAGTTCAACTGATAGTAGAGCCAGTAATACTGCAAATTCTACCAGTACTTATCTGCCACAACAGCAACAACCAACAGCCCTGATCATTCAAGTAGATACACTATTGGAAGTGAGAGGGGAAGCATCGGTGGCAGAACGACTGCGGTGGTTGGAAATCACTCAATTGCAACCAAAACTATTTAGGAAAAGTACTACATGTACGAATGCCATTGGGAGTATGCATGGCTACCCTTGTCCTGAGATGTCCAGCAATGATATTCTCCAGATTATTGAGAGCAATGAACGAGAAGGTGTCAAGCTGGCAGATTTGGCCATGGTCATGGATATCGAAGAAATACACGCCAAAACACTCATTGAAGATCTACAGATGCAGGGACTCGTATACGAAAATGAAAAGGGGTGCTTTGTGCCGTTATAAGAGTACTACCGGTAGTAGAGCAGCAAAGGATAATGAATGGAACGACCATATGCATGCAAGGGTCAATCACGGTTCGTTCTAGCATCAGACGTACGGTACAGAGAAAGGGGGCATATACCTTGCCGAAATAAATGGATTTGGATGACATACAGCATTGACCAAAGACGTCTCAAATACATGTAGTCCTCTTCTAAGGCTCCTGAAAACGTACTCGCAGACTACATGTAGTTCCCTCCATTGGGCATGCTCTTGCCGGTACGGTACTTATACCTACGGGACCTGATGCCGTCCGAAATTATTCCTTGGCACTAGTCTAGTTGGTGCATTGCAAGTGAAACTCTACTTTGCAGAACTGAGCAAACTACATGTACACTGACTCTTTCTAGAGTAGCTCCAGTCCATGCTTTTCTCCAAAATCTGCTGCCTTCCAGGTAGCTACCGACACTAGTGATGGTGTTGGTTTCTTTTAAAATAATAAAAAGCTGAGTTATGGTTGTTTCATTCGTGACTTCATCCGTGACGCTGATCGTGACTCGATTCTTCTTGGGGGCAAGTACGTAGTACGTAATCCTCAAGATCGGGATATGGAAAGCCAACACGCACAGGGTGTGGGGCCTGTAGTCGTACGCTATGGTAAGGTTCATGCGTAAGCGAACTGATGTTTGTCCGCAAGGAGTGAGGTACCTACCACGAAAGACAGGAGGGAGAAAAGAGTTCGGACCCCCTTGTTTCTTGCGTTGTGCCATGGGCGCAAAGGGTATTCAAGTCATTGAATGAGAGTGCAGCAAAGACACCGAAATACCGAAATCGCAAGCTCAGAATTTCTCATTGGCTTGACAAAATCTACCAACGGAGAGCCTGAGAAAGTCGAATCTAAAACGGAATCGACCTTGGGTATCGTCTTCATTATTGTTGGTATTCTAATACCGTTATCAGGAGGCGTCCTACCCCATTCAGCAATAATTGCTAAGAGCAAACGATTGAAGCGTTTTGTTGGCGTCTAAAAGCACCGAAGAATCTTTGGGTTATTCCCTCATTTTTCTCAAGATGTCCGACGATGCAGTATCCGTCGATGAATCCGACTCTTCTGCCTTTATGGATGAAATGGCAAGCTACCTGTACTTGACCATTCGGCTGGTGGGAGCTCTGGTGGCTGTGTACTGTGGAAGTTTTGCATCCAGGTGAGAAAAATGCGGTGATTGAATCATGCTCTTGCTTGGGTGACGACCAAGTATACCCAATTTGGTTGGGTTTGCTCCGTTTCGTGGTCTAACCATTGGCACTTCTTCCTTCGTTCCTTTTTTTCTGACATTCCGATAAACAGCCAATCGAGGCTCTTTTCTGGATTGAACACTGCAGCACTGGCAGGATTCTTATCTTTCACCTTTTTGGAACCCCTTTTTGAGCCTGTTGGATTGGAGCTGGCAAAGGTCGCACTATGTGTCTTGGCTATCAGTGGAGGATTGGTTGGGCTGAGCTTGGGAGTTTTGCTTCCCACGGTTTTCCCAGGAGCGTGTTTCGGTGCCTCTCTGGCTTTATTGATTGGATCTTTTGGAGTAGCGTCCGTGCCTCTCTACTTCCCCATCGTGGGGGGTGGTCTTGCATTGGCATGTGCTATTGCTTCGGTTCGGTAGGTTCCACTGATTTGTGCCGCTCTTTTCTGTACATTTCTTGGCACTGAATTGGACACCAAAGTGAGATCTATGCCAGCAAACTGACTCACCGTCCAACCTTCATTTCTTCCTTCATTCTGTCATGTTCGAACTTGTAGATGCTGCACCAAGTTTATGGTTGTCTTTGCTAGTGTCCTAGAAGGAGGCGCTGTGGTATGTGCCCTGGTTCTCAAAGCTGTACTGCCTCACATCATGGACGTTGCAAGAGGATACCCCTACTATCCCCATGACGATCATGGCTCTTTTCCCTTTGGTCTACCCATCCCCAGAGAAGTCGTGCTAGCCCTTGTATGGGTCGCTGCATCCTTGCTGGTATTTGCAGCTATTGTCCATCGTGATGGAAACTGCTCCTACTTGGATATCCGTGCCATGTTCAGGCGGGGGTACAAGGCGGTTCCGACATCGGAGGCATCAAACGGCAGCAGGTCCAAACCGACTCTGCTTCGAGACCCACCTGCAGTCGCTCATGATGCATACAACATGTTTGACCCTGCTAATCTGCCTCCTCGCCTCGCTGAATACGCCAACATGGTGTACTCAGCCTGTGAAGATCTTGGTAACTTCTTTGGGTTCCAAGACTCTTCAGTACGCAACCAGGCAGAGCACTTGCTTATCCTTCTCAGTAACAATCGCCGTTACATGAGCAGTCACATCTTGCCTCCTTCTGTGCAACCACCAAGTCCCATTCATGCCTTACATGCCAAGGTCTTCTCCAACTATGTCAAGTGGTGTCGTGCTATGGGTGTCCCTCCTCATTTCTCCAAAATGAATACCTCCATGAATGCTCCACCAGCTGTCGCAAGCCGCGTGGTTGACCTGGTGCTGTTCTTTTGTATCTGGGGCGAAGGATCGAATCTTCGTCACATGCCCGAATGCCTGTGGTTCTTGTACCATAAGACAATGGAAGAATACATCAAGAGCGAAGGTTACACTCAGACGAGGAGCTTGTATGCTGGTCATTTCCTGGACTTTGTGGTGACTCCGTTGTACGAGATTTGTAGCAATGTAAGTTGTCTTGTGGTGTAGCATGCTGCGAAGTTTTTCGTTTTTGTACTGCAACTGAAAATTTTCTCTTTGAAACTTCTTGATTTCAGAACATGAAGAAGAATGCTGACCACCAGGACAAACGCAACTACGACGATATCAACGAATTCTTCTGGTCCCGAAACTGCCTCAAGTACCACTACTCTACCGGTGACGCCAAGGATATGACCGATATCGAGGGAGATGGCAACGTCCTTGGTCCTCTCCCGGGGGAATCGTTGCCTCCTGTAGCCGAGGCTCTTGCCAAGGCACCAAAAACCTTCCTCGAGAAGCGTTCATGGTTGCGTGGTATGTTGGCATTGAACCGAATCTTGGAGTGGCACATCGTCACCTTCTATCTCCTGGCAGTCATTGCCTTTGCGAGGGAGCTCGTTTGGGGATGGGTGTATTCTCTTCAGGTTGCCAGTGGCGTTTTTTGGATATTCAACGCTTTGCATTTGTTCTGGGCTCTTCTGGAGGTTTGGAGCAGTTATCCCGGGATTCATCTCTCTGGAACTGAAGTTTGTGGATCTGTCTTTATCCTGGTGGCACGTTTCTTGACGTTGGTGTATCAAACGCTGTACATCATGTGGGCTTTCTCCCCGCAAAAGGGTGTTTACCTTGGAATCGAGGCCGACACAACCTTCTGGTGGTGGCAGTACATTTGGCTGTCTCTCCTCATCATGGTGCCGTACTGCATCGAAACCCTCCTTCAATTCTGGCCGTCGCTGACAACTGCGATTTGCACAAGCCAAAACGACTACGTGCAGTCTTTCCTCAACATGCTTTACCCTCTCAGTCGGCTCTACGTTGGCAAGGAAGTCCACGAGTCGGTTGGTCACTCTGCCGTGTACATCATCTACTGGCTGACGTTGATGGCATGGAAGTTGTTCTTCTCGTACATTTTCGAGGTTTATTCGATGGTTCTGCCTTCGTTGGAGTTAACGGATGACTACGTGAACTACCCGAACCAAAGCTTCATGAAGATGTTTGTGTTGCTCCTGATGCGTTGGCTCCCCCAGTTCATTGTCTATCTTATCGATATGAGCATTTGGTATGCTGCTTGGCAAGCGTTTGTGGGAACATCAGTTGGATTCTCCGATCACCTTGGAGACGTCCGTTCCATTGATGACATTCGGCAAAACTTTGGAAAGGCACCGGAAAACTTTTGTAAGAAAATGCTGTCGCCAGATGCTGGCAGTCGTCGTGGCTCGTCTGCAAGTTTCCTGGGAACTTCGTCTGGTAACATGACCTCTGAAGGAAGTTCCTTGCTTGGATCGGACCCGCAAAAGCTGCAGAGTTATGTCAACAGGCTTCTTGATGTGCGCATCCAAAAGTGGGTCATGTTCTCCGCTGCTTGGAATGAAATCATTGACTACTTCCGACAAGAAGATATCGTGTCGAATGATGAAAGCGACAACCTGAAATTTAGCCAATTCGATGGATTCAGTCAAGCTATTTATCTACCAGTGTTCCAGACCGCAGGGGTTATTGACGACGTCATGTCTGAATTGGAACGACCAAGTGATGAATACAAAGACCCAAAGACAGGCGTTGTCACGGACGAAAGCTTCTTCAAGCCGATCATCGAGCATGTCACGATGCAAACGGCCGTTTCAGAGGTGTGGGAACTTGGATCATTTCTTTTTGCCCAAGTCCTTGGACCAGTGCACAGTAGTGATGTCAATGCCATCTCAAGCACTATCAACAAGTGGATGGAAAGCTCAAGTCTAACATCTCACATGAAGCTGGAAAAGATGAGAACTGCCATGAAACACTTCGTTGGTGCTGTGATGACTCTGCAGAAGGGAATTGGCAAAAGGAAACCGGCGTTGAAGCCCAGGTCGTCGACAAAAGGCGCAGGCAAGAAGCCATACGACATCGCACCGTTCTCCAAGGGCGGAGACCGCAGGTCAACTGGTATGCGAAAAGTTGTAAGTGCAACTTCGCTGAACAGTCTCGAGGACGTCAAGCCCAGCTTGGATAGGATGGAACAAAATCCAAACGTTGTCAGCAAGCAAGCCGAGATCGACGCTCTGCGAGACCAGGTCCGAGATAAGCTTCGCAACGTCACTCACGCTCTAAAAGGTCTGTTGATCAGCACCGACTCGAACGATGAGAGCAGGGATGTTCTGGATCGATTGACTTTCCTCGGGTCCATGGAGAATGGTTTCTTCTGGGACGACCACTATGCTTCGGACCAGCTCGATGATGTTTCGAAGAATGTCACTTTCAAAGCAGTTTTGAAGAAGATTCACGGGTTGCTATGCATGCACCCAGACGAGGCAGAGCCCAAGTCAAAGGAAGTTCGCCGACGCCTCACCTTCTTCGTCAACTCTCTTTTCATGGACATGCCAGATGCACCATCGATCCATGATATGTTCTCATGGAATGTTTTGACACCGTACTATTCCGAAGATGTCACCTACAGCAAGGCTGACCTTGAGAAACGATCGGATGCTCTTGGAGTATCAACTTTGCTCTACCTGCAAACCTTGTTCCGCGCCGACTGGAATAATTTCCTGGAACGTTTGGGCATCACCGATGAAGAGAAGATCTGGTCTAAGAAGTTCGTCGAGGAAACAAGACGATGGGCAAGCATCAGAGCTCAGACCTTGTCGAGGACTGTCAACGGTATGATGTACTGCGAAAAAGCGCTTCGTTTGCTGGCCAACTTGGAAAGGCTAGACGAAGACACAACCAACGACTTGATGGGCGAGAAGTTCGGCTACGTTGTCTCGTGCCAAGTGTACGGTAACATGAAGAGGAACCAAGATCCGAAGGCAGACGACATTGAGGCCCTGCTTCACCGTTTCCCGCACCTTCGCGTTGCTTACATTGACAACATTCGTATCAACCGAGCTGGAGCATCCGTGTTCTACTCTGTTCTTGTCAAGAGCGACTGCAAGGGAGGAATCCAGGAAATCTATCGCGTGCGACTCCCTGGTAACCCCGTCATCGGAGAGGGCAAGCCCGAGAATCAGAACCACGCTATGGTCTTCACCCGAGGTGAATTCCTCCAGACAATTGATATGAATCAAGAGGGATACTTTGAGGAGGCTCTGAAGATGCGCAATGTGCTGCAGGAATTCGCCAAGAGGGAAGGCCCTCTCCCAACGACGATTCTTGGTCTCAGAGAGCACATCTTCACTGGAAGTGTGAGCTCCTTGGCTAACTACATGGCTATGCAGGAGATGTCCTTCGTTACATTAGGCCAGCGCGTTTTGACAAGGCCACTTCACATTCGTCTTCATTATGGTCACCCTGATGTATTCGACAAGCTTTTCTTCATTACACGAGGTGGAATCAGTAAGAGTTCCAAGGGTATCAATCTTTCCGAGGATATCTTCGCTGGTTACAACAACACTATTCGAGGTGGCACTGTTGGTTTCAAAGAGTACGTCCAAGTGGGCAAGGGCCGTGACGTTGGAATGAGCCAGATCTACAAGTTCGAGGCCAAGCTGAGTCAGGGCGCGGCCGAGCAGAGTCTTTCCAGGGATGTTTATCGAATGTGTCACAGACTGGACTTCTTCCGTCTTCTCTCATTCTATTATGGAGGCATTGGACATTACTTCTCGAACGTCCTTACAATCTTGACCGTTTACGTTGTGGTCTATCTGATGGCATTCTTGGCAATCTTCCAACTGGAGAAGATTGGAGACCGCGTGATCACTCCTATGGGAACTATTCAAATGCTGCTAGGGGGCCTCGGACTGCTGCAGACAATTCCTTTGTTTGCGACTCTTGGCGTTGAGCGTGGATGGATCGCAAGTATCCAGGAAATTTTCTTCATCTTTGTCACCGGTGGTCCTTTGCATTTTATGTTCCACATCCAAACGAAGGCAACGTATATGGCACAGACGATCCTTGTTGGCGGTGCAAAGTACCGTGCCACCGGGCGCGGTTTTGTCACACAGCACACACCTTTTGACGAACAGTATCGGTTCTTTTCGTCAAGTCACTTGTATCTTGGAGTTGAGCTCGCCGCATGCCTTATATTGGTTGGCGTTTACACCCACGCAGGGCAGTACTTTGGAAGGACTTGGTCTCTGTGGCTTGCTTCTGCGTCCTTCCTTTGCAGTCCTTTCTGGTTCAACCCGCTTACATTCGACTGGAACGTTGTTGTCAATGATTACAGTTTGTGGCTCAGGTGGATGTACGGTACATCCGGAGGATCTCAGAGAAGCTGGTCGATGTGGTGGAACGAAGAAAATGCCTTTTACAAAAAGATGCCTTTGCCATCCAAGCTTCTCTTTTTCATCAAAGCTTGCCTGTATGGCTTGATGGCTGAAGGTATCCGCCGATCGAGTCTTTTCAAGTCCGACATCACATTGAACAAGCCATTGATCTCCATCGGAAACGTCTTGATTTTCATCATTGGTGTCTTCATCGTTGGGCGACTTTTCACCTACAAGGAGAGTTCGTTGCCCTATCCAATTCGCAGGACCATTGGGATTCTTCTGTTCTCCTTGATGGTTGCTGGTGTTATTACCCTCCTCCTTGAAGATTCGAACTTCATTCGCTATGCCTTGGCAGCATACTATGCCATCGGAGCATTTTGTATGTTGGGACTGTTGCTAGGTGTGAAGATCGTCAAGATCCCCTACATGATCCATGATCTCGTGTGCGGTCACATCATTTTCATTCCTCTGTTCGTCCTTGCGGCTCTTCAGCTCCCTGGTCACATCCAGACATGGCTGCTTTACCACAATGCCTTGTCCACTGACGTTGTTGTCAGCGACATCCTGCGATACGCCAGAAAGACTCAAGAATCTGGTGGCGCAGAAGCTGATGAAGATCTGGCTGAACAAGTTGCCGAACTCAAGAAGATTGTGCAGAGGCAAGAACAGCTACTTGCAAATTCAGGAGTACTAGGAGGCGATGCTACCGTTGAAGGCGTGGCTGATATCTTGGCGTCCCCCAAGTCCATGGAGCCACAGGTTCAACCAAGCATTCCTGCTGTCAGAACCACTACCGGCAGCGGCCGTTACGGTAGGGCATTCAGTATGTCGGGCATCGATGTCTGGGGAGATATGGCTCTCGGCGATACCTCTGAGCTGCGTCAAGCAGCGAATATGGCTTCAGATAATGGCGCACATGTCAATGCGATGCCTGCAACGAGCGCAGACGGCTTTTCTTTCACTCAACCGGATAGGATGCCTCCAAGGTAAACGAGCTTTGAAAGCTTGTTACCAGGACAAAAAAGTTTTTCTGGAACTGCTTCACCCCCCTTTCGTGTTTTGTGCCGCAAGTGATTCTACTAGCTACTTTTTAGAATTTGTATGTTGCTATCCAAGTCAAGTGTATGGCTCGTAGCTAAAGTCTGTTTAAATTCCATTCAACTTACATTCCAGCCAGTAGTAGCCACAGTTCTGTAGCCAGGTAAGATCGAACTCAGGCTGGCCACCCTTTGTGCGATGCATCCTGCATCGCAAATTTGGCATGCTGGTTGGCGGTTGGGTGCTACAAGCTGCTTCTCAAGGCTGGTACATGTACATGTACAGGCTCATCGAAGGGAACTGTAGACACGGAAGAATGGACTCTTATGTTCATTAAGCAGATTGGGGTGAATAAATGGTCATTCTTTACTTGAAAAGAGCTGAAATACTCTTTTTGGCGTGGATGTTGAAAATAGCCTGGGCGAGCAAAGGGGCTACAGATAGTTCAGTTAGTTTTTCGTTGGCTGCCCTTTGCGGAGAGGTTGGAATGGTGTTTAGGATGACGACTTCTTCCATCTTGGAATGCGCAATGCGATCATTACCCGGTCCACTTAACAGACCGTGGCTGGCGAAGGCGAAGACTCGGCGAGCTCCACTGGCAACCAACACATCCGCTGCCTTGCATAGAGTGCCAGCGGTATCAATCATATCATCAACCATGATACAGTCGCAGTCTTTGACATCTCCGACAAGATCCATTTGATCCACTGATCCAGCCCGAGCACGTTGCTTGACAATCATAGCCAGGCCAATATCTTGCATGTCATACTTCTGTTCCAGTCCCTCCTTGAACTTCTTTGCCCTGTAGACACCTCCAGCATCAGGGCTAACGACGACAGGGTTGTGCAAGTCTTTGGATCCAAAGTAATCCAAGCCCACAATTCCACCATCGAGGTTGTCGACGGGGACTCTGGGACCAAAGAAACCTTGAATCTGACCACAATGCAAGTCTACTGCAATGACACGGTCAACACCCATCGCCTCCATGAGGCGGGCAACGTCAGCAGCTGAAATGGGGACACGAGCCTACATGCACATGGTCGAGTGAGATTGCCGCAATGGATGCTGTAGACAGTGCACACAATTGATTCATGACTTTTTACTGTACCTGCATCTTTCTGTCTTGTCGGGCGTACCCGTAGTAGGGAATGACAACCGTGATTCTGCGTGCCGAGGCTCTTCTCAGGGTGGATACCATAAGCAGCAACTCCATCAAGTTGTCGTTGACGGGAGTGCAAGTTGGCTGGATCACGTAGACGTCCTTCCCACGCACATTTTCATGAATAACGACATTCACTTCTCCATCCGCGAATCTGCCAACAGTAGCTTTTCCTAAGTTGATACCCAAGTTTTTGGCAATCTCAAGTGCCAAGGACATATTTCCGTTTCCACTAAAGATTTTGAGACCACCAGAGTGTTGTTTTGCCTTGCGGGTCTTTTCTTCGATGCGCACTTCAGCCGCTGTCATCTGTGGTGGCTGAATAGGTGCTAGTGAAGCATCCAGAGCACTGGATGCACTTGTCGCTTGGGCAGAGACAAGTTCTGTTGCTGCTTCATCTTGTGCTCCAGGAGGGTTTTTAACAGTAACAGGCTGAGTGATGCTTTTTTGGGAGGTTGCTTGCAGAGTCTGTTGTGGGGCCAAGTCCTCTTTGACATCTTCTTGCTTTTGTTGGTTGTCTTCTCCCCCCTTGTCTTTCTGTTGGGGTTCTTGATCCTGAGCTTCTGTTTCTCTTCTGATAGCATTCTTTGCATAGATTGTCATGGGATCTTTCATGTTTTTGTGATAGGTCGGCTCAAATTCCTGATCGATGGAAGCATCACATGCAGTGACCACGGCACCTGCACCCATGAGAGCTGCAGCACCAGCCCAAGTAGCTCTTAAGGATCCTGGACGAGAACGTCGCCCTCCATCATTTCCTTGAGCAACACTGCATACTGGCAGGGCTCTAAATGGCTCAACGGATCTACTACCCTTGAGCACCTGGGAAAGAATACGTCACAGAGTTGATAATCATTATTAGGCACAGGGGTAACATCAAGATTACTGCCGAGGAGACTCTTACACTTGTGGAAAGCCGCAGCCGTCTGGACAAGGCCGAAATAGATCTCATTGTCACCATCAACGGATCGGTGGCTGGCTAAGGTAGACTACTATCTAGCTAGGCTAGCTAGTATTGTGAATTCTCTGGGAGGCTGGATGGTGGAGGGTGCTGTGGATGATGATGTTGCTACCAAAAAACACAACAGCCGACAAACGAAAATCCAATCACCTGGTGTCGAGGGCACTGTCCTGGATCCTTTGGAGGCTCATAGCCCTTTCAAGATTGGAGTCTCCCGAGGTGCGCGGCGATAAAATGGCAAAGCTGTGAAGGCGTTCCCAGCCGAAGGACTTTGGGGTGCTCTCGACCTCCTTGTTCGAGCAAGTTCGCTTTTCCCCTCCTGTTCAAGGAACCAAACTACATGTACCGTACATACTGACCGTAATGGAGACTACTGTTCCACCAATTAATTAATTCTACATATAGCTTCGACTTGGAGGTCTTGGAAATGAATGAACTCAAGTTCAGGGTTAAAAGCAATCTCCTGAACGTTCGTTGAACAAGCCCACAAAGCAATGCAGCGAAGCAAGAAAGCCACTTGCTCAGTAAGCCCTAATCGTATTGGCATTGTGAATCTATATGCTATTGCGCCACCCCCGAAAACAGGACGAATTGAGAGTTTGCCACATTTGGTGACGAGACCGTACTTGATGCCCTCTCTCTCGAAGGAATTTTTCAGATGGCTGATCGAAGAGGGTATATCGGAAGCGGTGGCAATTCCTGATGGAATAGTCTCATCTGACATTCCTTTTGGGGAGATGATGCCTTTCTAGTAGCTAGCTAGAGCTAAAGGTGGATGCTAGCTAGCTAATAGCTAGAGCTGTCACACCCCGGCCAAGACCAAACTGGCTAGCACGGTAGGTCGAAGCATGTGCATCTGTCCCCGCAAAGAGCTTGAAAATTTTCAACTCGCGACTCATTTCTTTTCTGCAGCTTTCTGACCGTTACTAACTCGTCAGCCATCTCTTGCATTGGCTGGGGTAGCCCCGCTGTCGTGCTAAGAAAAATTGGTTCTCGCATTTATTTCTATTGCAGACACGCCATGATACCATAGGTAGCCTCCTTCTATCTGTCAACGACCTGCCAAGATGAGCGCCCCTAGTAAGTTGAAGAGTTCTGAATTAGTTTGTACTAGTAGAAGTAAGTTTGGGCAGATTATCTCACTTTCGTAATATTGTTTTTGTTATCATAGTGAGCATGGAAGAATGGCAGAATCGCCTTCGAGCCCAAAAGAAACAAGACCGCGCCAGCATTACAAAATCAGCAGAAATACTGCACACTTATCGAGGTGGAATCAAAGCAGAAGATGAAATCCAAAGGAAAATTCGTCTAGAGGAACAACAGAAAAAGAAAGACGCCGAGGAAAACCTGCGCAATTTTCGACCCAACAAGGAAACTATTGACGCATTGGCGCCCCCCGACACTGGCCGTCGTACTTCGCTGACGTCTCCCAAGTACGATGGACCACTTCCCGAGTGTGTGCAACCCCCTTCGAAGGACGATCCACGGAATTCCATCACTGCAGGAGCTGTTTCATCCATTGCCGCAAATTTCACGGGTAGCAGCACTCTGACTGCACCAAGCGCAAAGCAATCGAGTTCTAGAGCCCTAGGAGAAAGTTGGAAAGCAGGAGATACTTATAGAGGGGGAGAGAGCTTCAGAACATTTGGGGATATCAAAGAAGGCAGCGTGTCAGCTCCAGACCCATCACAACAGCAACAACCACCACCAGCAGATCCAGCATCTAAAACACCCACTTCTACCGTTTCTGCGGGACATTCAAGTTGGACTTTTCCGGATGTAGCCACTCCAAACGATCCTGCTCAGGATGCCAATGATACTTCTCATGACTGGGTTCAGGTCACTCCCGAAGAAGTTCGCACACCAACACCACAGCAACCAATGACTTTTCGGCACCGACGCCCTCCAACGAAGAATTTAATGCACCCACCCCCATGAACAACGAGTTTGCCCCGGGCAACAATGGATTTTCGGCACCCACACCAACTGCTGATGAGTTTGGTGCACCTTCCCCAACTGGCAAGGAATTCACATCGGCTTCACCAACCGCGTTCAACAATGTGACAGCAGGCACTAACAATCCTGCGGATACTGGAGAAGTATTTGACTTTAGTAGCAGCCCCAACAATGCTTTCGCAACGACAACCACCGACAACGCAATGGCCCTAGACAACAGTGTCACTTCAGAGGATCGTCGACGCGCCGATATTAATTTTTCATTCGGTCTCATTTCCACCAAAGCACAACCTACTCTCCATGCATACATGAGTGCCGTGCAAGAAGTTGTCCAGACAGCTTTGGCTGGAAACAGAGAAATGGGACAGCTCATAATTTGCGACCCTAACGTGCGTCCTGTTGTACACGAGATTCAAAAAGATGGTAAGACGAGACCCAAACAGGAATGCATGCACAAACATGAGCATAAATATTGTGCGGAATATTTACACTTTCCCCTTCTTTCGTTTATTCTCCAAGAATCCTATTCTGATCCTGGTGGTCGAACTCATATCCAAAGAGTGCTTGTCAGAGCTGTTGTTCCCGTCTTTCTGACCAAGGGAATCACCAACAAGAAGGCACGTTCCTTCCTTATTCGGGCATTAGCAGACGCTTTGAGGAAAGGATACTTTCTGCAAGTTGGGGAACGGCTGCAGTAGTCACGGCTCCCAATATGAGTACGGTAGTTGATTTGGCTTGGGTTGCGTGTTCACTTTCACGGAAAGTTATATTGGTCGTGATAGAAAAATGGAACTCAAAAGTAGGATAGTTCTGATGGACATGTTAAAGCTACGAAAAAAAGAATTTTGGATAGGTTGATTAACGAGGAGGCCGACTTCAAATGATATAAGTGGTCGCCTCTAGCTACACGTAGGTTTACTTCTTGCCTCCAGGTCCCACTGCTGGTTCCAGCTCCTGGCCCTATGCATACACCTGCAAAGACGCCAGCACATGCCTCTGCTGGGCTGCTGGGCTCACCTCTCTCGCCCCGTTCCAGCGCCAGCACCAACTCCAGGGCCCACTGCTGGACTTGCTCCGGGCCCACACCAAGACCAAGAACACCCGGACCAACTCCTGGACTCACTAGCTAGCTAGTCCTCCTGGACCAACTCCTGTGAAGTACAGGGGTTCGTGGTTCTCCAGCCAAGTCCCAGACTAGGGCCAACATCTAGCTACCGCACCGGTACATGTAGCAATGGGATTGGCGGTAGAAGGAGCACACAGTTATAATCTACCATGATGTGATAGTTTGTTTTTGTCCGCAGAAATTCAAACCAGCGTTTTTAACAAAGGGGGGAAAAGAAATGCGGGATTTCCTGCCAGTTTTTTGATGTACCGGTACGATGTATGCTGTAAATCAGCACTCTGCTTGACATTGTGCTTCGTCCCAGCTAGTTGGATTTTTTGCGGATGCTTCAGCAGAGATACCTGTCGAAAGTACGGTTCGAGGGGTATCTCAGCAGTCAATCCTCTCAGATAGCTACAATAGCTGCTACAATCCCATCAGACTATCTATATGATGCCTATAGTACTTTTACAACGACATCTACAGCCTCTTGAAAGGAAGCAATGGCATGCATTACTGAAAACCACGGAGAATGCAGCAATATCCTGGCAGGCATTCTCTTTTCACTTTCCAGTCTCATGCAACTGGCCAAGATTTCCCTCAAGCCATCTTCAATTTCATGTGTTGATTCGATGGGAACAGCGGGATCTGTCTCTTCAACTGTTACGAGAAGATCTACAATAGAATTCACGTCGTCCCAAGGCTTCTCGCCTGTGATCATATGGCACAAGACAAGCCCAAAACTCCACATATCGCTGGACGTTCCATATTTTTGTGCTCTGAGTCTTTCCGGGGCCATGAATTTCGTTGTGCCAACAACTGTCTTGTTCATGGACTGGTCGCCCATCAGAGCAGCAATGCCAAAGTCACAAAGTTTGGCTTCCCCTTTGGAGTTCAGGAGACAGTTTTCACTTTTTACATCCCGGTGAAGAATTCGATGTTTATGTAAATGATCCAAGCCATGCAATAGCTGGAATGCGACACCAGCTACAGTTGGTGGTGTAAAGAGAGTGTCTCGTTTCGAAATGACGTTGTCCAATGATCCTTGGTCCATGAATTCAAGCACCATTGTGACTGTGTCTTTTTCCAAGAATGCACCCTGCAGCTTTACCAAGCCGTCACATTCTACTTTGCAGAGAGACCGTAGCTCTTGGATCAGCATTTGTCGCTTCTGTTGTGTTGCACAAAGCAAATATTGCTTTACCGCAACGACCATGGACGATGATTTTGAATTGACATCCTTGCACTTCCAGACTGCTCTTTGGACTCGACTAAAGGCCCCTCTACCAATGGTGGCTCCCAGAGACAGAGATTCGGGATCCAACTTTCCTCGAATGATAGTGTTACCTTCGAACCTCAGATAATCCTTGCCAATGGTCAAACCTTCTTGACGGTACGTAGAATTCCCCCACGAAAAGTCATTGTCGTCCTCATCCACTGGATTCTGTTCAACGATTTCCAAAGGAAGGATGGAAAGGGGCTTTCTCATCCTCATGGTAAGGTTTAATAGTGCAGAGTAATGAGCTACCAATGCCCTCTTGGTTCTGCGTTCTGGCAGAAGATGGCGAATGGCGAGCAAAAAATGAGGCTTCCGTGGACAGTGCTGTAACGACTGGCGATATTTAGGAAAAGGGTTAAATATATTGACCAACGGGACCGAAGATTGAAGATTCGATTGATGAATCGAAGTCCATTCACACCATGTTGGAGGTTTCCTTTTACATGTACAGTGTAGTTACACGTAGTTAGACGGTGGTACCGGTACGTGCAACGTCTGACCACCCCATGGCAAACTGGCAAAAACACCCATTGAGTTTGCTGCAGTCGCTACGTTTCCTTGTCCCGACACCCTAGCTAGCTAGACTCACGGATACCGATACCGTCAGAAACGAGCCAAAACCTGAAGGATCTATCCAACAAAAAGCAAGTACAAAACAGCGCTCTGTATCCTTGTTTGTTGAAAAGTGTTTGTTCGGCACAATCTGCAGCAGGCGATTGGTACAGACCTATCGTGACACCGCTCACCTTCACCCAACAAACCTGTATCAGGAGCGAGCTACTAGAGCTATATAAATTTGCAGGATCGTGGATAAAGTTGGCTTGGATCTTCCATTTGTTTCCTTGCTGAAAGATCCGATCTTTTTGAGAACCTTTATTTACACCGCTTTAGCTGGGCCCCATGTGTTTCTTCGAGTCTTTTTTGTGAGCAGAAGCACAAGTGGGAGTCTCATCATGGCAAGTTGTAGGCGATCTTTGCCGTTTATTACAAGAACCTTGTCCTTCACGTACTACATGTAGCTGGATAATTTTGCAATCGACTACCATTACAAGAACCTTGTCCTTCACGTACTACATGTAGCTGGATAAATTTTGCAATCGACTACCAGTAGCTAGATCAGTATCGCACCGTAGCTACGGCAACGAGGGCAAGGCTAAGGAGTCTAGCAAGTGCTTCAATCCAACGGAGCCGATCCAACCCCTTTCTTGACCTATGCCACTACAAAAGCGCCATGAAATCTATGTATCAGCTCTTCTTGTAGTATTTTGGAATGTACTCATACTGTACAGTATCATATCCCAATCAGCCATTCCAGCAGGCGTGTGCTGATGAGTGGAGTCGAGTCGAGTCAGTCACCTGTTGGCATCCGGTACCAGTACCGGTACAAGTACAAATGTTTCTTTCACAGCTAAACTGGTTTATGGAGTGTGCACCGAACACTATTGTCGCAGGCACGGACGGGTTCTCTATGACGTTGGCTTTCTGCAAATAGAAATCCCTCTGGTGCTGAGTTGTCCGGCTCTCTCTGGGGGAAAGTGGAGAAGACTCCACATGAATGTACGTGTCGGTGTTGTGACCTGCTGCCCAAGGCCTCGCTACAGAAAACAGCACACTGGCAAAACCCGCCCTCTCAGAACAGTACTCTCAGCCTTGCGCCACGACAAGTGGAGCGAAACAAAAAGCATTCTCTTCCATCCAGCAGGCAGCCAAAGACTCAATAGTGGCCAGCCAAAAGATAGATTGATCCTTGCCAATACGATAGCGCATGATCATTCGTATGTATTGAAGAGCAGAGCCGCAGTGGACTGATAGATTTGTATCGTAGTGGTATCAGGCACACCAGCCCAATAGCAGTCAGTTGGAAGAAACAAAGCGGAGCATTGCAACGAAATTCTCATCTACCCCAAGGCTAACTTCTGTACAGAAGCGGGCATTTGTGCATCCAAGCAAGACAAGGCTTGCCAAGCTCCTCTTTTCTTCTTCTCCGGTAATGCATCTGGTACCCAATTACAGCGAAATCGTTGAGTACAAGAGAAGAAAATCAGTGGGTGCATTGGAAAGATCGAATCAGAATCTTATTCGCAGCTATACAGAGCAGAATCCTCTTCCGAGGAAACACCAAGTGTGTAGTGCTGTGCACACCCACAACTGTATCTACAGCAGTGGAGGGCCAGCATTGCGACGTCGTGGAAGGTTACGGCATATAGACAGGCATCGCCCAGTCCTCACACAAGAAGGTCTCTAGCAAGGGATCCATCTTCCACCAAACACTACTAGCTAGCTAGCTACAAGGGTCAAGGAATTGAGAATCAAGAAGTCTTGCCGTTGCGGCACCTGTACAGCCATCCTCAAGATATAGAGAAAGAAGACAAGCGTGTTGGATCACTGCCATAGAGCCGCCAACCCAAGCAATCCCAAAAGAGCACCAATAGAAAGAATACACCACCCACTTCCACAAACAACACCAAGAATACAAGCGAAGATGTCGGTCCCATCACCTTACAATCCTCGGGGCGCTATGGTCAGCACAGATCCTCGGGAAGATTGCCGAGATTATCTACGCACTGGAAGATGTAAGTACGGTGCATCGTGTAAATATAATCACCCCTCAAACGTGCAGAGTGGAGGTGGAATGAAAGCTCCTGTGGATCCAAGTGAGCCCATGTTCCCCGTTCGGCCCAATGAACCCGTCTGTCAATACTACATGAAGCACGGAACTTGCAAATTTGGTCAAGCTTGCAAATTCCATCACCCGCCACATTCCTCGGTCACCGCTGCTCTCGTCGGTGGTGGAGCCGTCGTGGTCAACATGGGACGAAAAAATGATGTTCCGCACATGGTCATGAATCCTATTGGAGACGCGGGGGGCAGCAACGGAACAACAATGATGCTTCAGTTCCTACCCCAGCGTCCAGATGAACAGGACTGCATCTTCTTCTTGAAGAATGGTCGCTGCAAGTACGGAGCTACCTGTCGCTACCATCATCCCATCAGCTTCAATCAGAGAAGGGACGATGGACGCAGACAGCGGGTACAAGTGCAGCAAGTGCCCGAGGGGTTCTTACCACATGCTGCGAACGTACAGTTTATCAGCCAAGCAGGTGCGTCGCTCGTGAACTACCAGCAGGGGCCCTCTTCGTCCTCCAATCCAAGTCACATGGTAGTCACCGATGGTCCGGTCGCTTACATGACCGTCGATGGGTCTCAGGGCAAGGGTTCTTATCAAGCTGTCCCCGTGGTTACCAACAACGATGGATACTGCGCTCCCGTGGGGGCTCCCATTTCGCACAATCAAGACCACACGTCTTCGACCTCCTCGATTGCATCGTCCTATGACACGGCCAACTCCAATCTGGACCATTTGGTAGCTCACAACGATGCACAGTCCAGTGGCCTTTGGAACCGTCAGAAAAACAATGGCAGTCATGCAAGTTTGAATGCCTATGACACGGGCAACAGTCGCCAGCAGTTGGGAGGACGACTTGCCATGCCGCAAAGCACAAGTGATGGGAACATTGCTAGACGTCACCGCGCTGCTTCGCACGGAAGCGCCAGTGACAGCGGTGTATTCGTGGACTCGGCTACAGCGTCGAACCTCGCAAGAACCACTTCGGCTGGCGCCAAGCCTACAGGGAACTCGGCATCGGGATGGCACACGGAACGCTCTCCTTCGTTTGAGAACGTGAGGCGCGGTGTTTCGAATCAGTACATGCCGAGAGGCGACTTGCCACCTGGATCTCAAGAAGCGTCTATGCGTCGACCCGGTCCTTCGCAGCCGCCAGGAGGACACGGCCGAAGGCCACCGGGTGGTGGACGTCGCCGTTCCAGTGAAGCTGTGGATGCTGGCCTTTCCATGATGACATCTGCCCTTTTGACGATGCTTGACACACCTGAAGAAGCTGCCGAGGGCTACGAATACTACGAAGATATTGACGAACAAGGGGGCCCGCCAATGGGCGAATCGAGAATGCCCATGATGGCCAATCATGGTCAACATATGCCCGCGCCTAGACCGCACGAAGGCAGCAGAATGCATGACAACCGCACATATCGCATGCCAGAAGCAGATCGCCGATACGATGGCGACATGTTTGGAGGCATGATGGTGAATTCTCCTGGATCCGACAGTCAATATCATGATCATCGAAATATACATCCTGGCGATGGTTCGTCGAACTGGTTGCCGAGTTGGCAAGGAACCAAATCTTTAGAAGGCGACGCGCAGTCTATGTCGGTGATTCAACCACGCCACGCCCCGAACTCACCCCACAGCACAAACGTCGGGCTCTTCCTTCCCTAGAAAAGAATACATATCAAGACTCGCTCTGTCTGAAGGAGGACTGCCTACCGGTACTCCATTGTTACGCTAACCCATTTGAATGTTGAGATGCCTTAGAAAAAGAGAAACCAGCTACAAGTATGTTGTGACGGGGGGATCACGAGGGGGTGCAGTTACCGATATCCTGTTGCTAGATCGGGCACGGATTGTTTTTGAATGACTATGAAATCCTGCCACACAAGGAAAGAGGCGCTGTATTTTAGTAGGTCGCGATGAGACGATAGATGTGTGAGCTACCAATGTTATGGAAGCCACGCTCTATGCCGTTTCAATCTGTATATTACACAGTTATAGTTGGATATCTTTTGCTGGTCTAGCTAGTAGTCTCTGGCTTCGTCTACCGTATTAAAATAAACGGGCAAAACTTGAAAAGCAGGTGGCATCCAACTCCATTCTTGTAGCAGAGCTCGATCAATACTGTAACAAAATCCACCCATCGATCGTAGCCTTGCACATGCATGGTTCAGGCTGCACTTCCATCTTGTTCGGCATGAGTGCATGAGTTGACTGCTTTCGATGAAGGCTGCACGGAAGGCGAGCCTGTGAGCGGACCTGAGACAGATGCCACGGTCCCGAGTATCGGAGGGGCAGGCCAGCATGGGAGACGACCTCCAGACAGATCCACTAAGGTATAAGAGCCAAGCTGATTGCCCCGAGATATCTTGCATGCCAGGTACCTGCAACATGTCTACCTACATTACTGGCATGATCTACATATAAAATCATAAACATCAGCTGAGCATGGAATTTCGTCCAAGAAAAGCCACATCAAAATGAGCTCCCTTTTGCTCAGGGCTTCTGCTGTGGCTGGATGGGAGCAAATTGCCATTCTGGCAAAGCCTCTAGAACTTGAGCAAATTGCAAGCCTTTCGTCTGAAGAATCATGCCGATTGGATCACCAGCTAGATGAATCCAGCGGGTAACATGAACACAGAAGCCATGGATCCCAAGTGACACATTGGATCCAGACAGCTTGACTTTGTATTGCATTGTTAGGCTCGTCTCCATGCCCCCATGTTCATAAATAGAATCATATAGGTCTAAATGTGACAACAGTGAGTCGTCCGTTCGGCCGGTTGCCATTTCTGGATTACCCCGTGCACTGTGGAATGTATGCAAAATTTGTTGGCTTTTATCTTCATCTGTTTCTGGGGGGCTTATCTTTTCATTGGATTCACGAACATTTACCAGTTGGATGACTTTCCTGTCCGGCAACCTCATTAGGTGCAATGTTCCCTTCCAATGGGAGCCAAGGGGCACGTCAAAGTAGCCAGGTCGTGGGGGAGGTGGAAAGGCTCACAACTGACGGTATTTTGTTTTCGCGCCCTTATTTTTCATTTGGTTCACTAGGCGCGAAAGCTGGTTCACTACGCGCACCAAAACGCGCTCCTGTAAACATTAGAACGCAAGGCCGTTCGATCATTCACAGCGTCACACTCCCTAGCATTCCATAAAAAGATGTTTCGTCTACAAATGAGCGCGTCACCAGAAGAGCTGGCACCAAAGATCTTCCTTGAACTTAATAACATCGATTACACGTTGTCATCTACAAATTCCTCCATTAGTGTTAGCGAGATTTCCGAGACTGAATCCGAACCCACTTTTAAAAATCAAACCGATTCAGAATCAGAGAACCTTCCAGAAGAATCTTGGTTCGAAGGTATCCTTTTGGTCACCGTTATTGCATGCTGTGCGTTTGTAATCGGCTTACTTGTGGGAACCGTGGGTGTCGTGTTTTTTTGAGTTCATTTTTTTGACTATGTCCGAAATACCAATCCAAGTCGCGTCGTCCGTTCTGGCATCACCGGATACCACAAAATCATCCATAAATGAAGAGACATTGATCGATGCCCTCGAACTATGCATTACAGGCAAGCGTATTCCTTACAACAACACTGTTGAGTCTGATGTTCACGATGTCCTTGACCGTGCTACTGTTACTCCCACATCCGAGATTGAGATGGAGGGTATTGATA